AACAATTATTATCAACTCTCATTATAATGATTAAATTGTGTCGGTTATTAACATTAGAGCATATTCTTGACATATTTTAATTACTGGCTATTTATATTAAATTTCAATTATAATATTGATGCTGTAAATAATAATGTTCGAACTCATTATCGAATTAATTAAATATCAACGTGAACATTTTGTAAACAATTAAACTTATGAATGAATACTGGGAAACTTTTCATTTTAATTAAATATAATAATTGTTTCTTTGAAAAAAAAAAATATTAAATTTGCTTGAAATAGAGTATAAATCACGATGGATTCACGCTCTGAATAAATTCATGATGATGAACTAGTGAGCTGATTATGTTCTATTATCGTGCAGGTACCAGAGTTGGCGATGAGAAGGGTCGAGTCGTGAACACAACAACGAGGAAGAAATCGTCGGTGGCGTCGAACGCGTGGGAGACTTTCAGCTGTATATAAATCGTAACATAGGAAAGGGACGAAAGGCTTGTAATAAAGGCTTTGGTGTGACTCATGCTCAGTTCGCATATAAGCTAAAGGGATGTTAGATATTTTAAGGTCCGTGGGAGGTTCCTGATAAATCATTTCAAAGAGTCGTCTTATCGTTCAAGTGTATCAAGCAATGTTACACTCAACTCTATGTTGTTTATTATGTTGAATATGTTTTGTTTTGGTTCTATTTACTGTGGATTCGTGTATTACCGATTAACATTACTACGTAACGATACTTGTTTCATTGAGATATAGCTAGAGTCACACTAACGTAAGCAGGATGATGCCTATAACGTAGATCCCAGAGTAGGGGAAAGCTCCAGAAGCCTAAGGCATGATAGTTAAACTTGATAGCACTCGACCCTGAGACTTCTTCTCGCAATGGAATATTTTATGAGAACGAATGGTGAGAAAAAAGGGTAGATAGTCTTCAGGCCACAACCAGAACAGTACATCCATCCATGAAATCACTTTTAATTGGAACAATAAAACTGCTAATATGTTTTTTATCACCAACTTATAATGAATATCATGTATTAGAGAAAAACTTAACATTTACTTTGTACATAAAGAAAGATAAAATTTTTCTCTAAATAAAAAATAGATGTTCTAATTAGCAGTTGGAGATATAATATATTATCTGATTCAGTTAATCTGTCAATTGCTTATTATGTTGCTACTGCATTTATGACCTTAGGATACTTCTTTTTCCAAGTTATAATTAATATTTATCATGCGACAATTAATAATTATTTTTACCTGTGAGTATCAATTATAGAGTCATTTATTAATTCTTTATACTTAATGAGGAAATTACTTGTCCTTTGTTCAATGATTATATATTATTAATATTTTTTTAATATTTATCTTCTGTTGATTAAAAAACTCCAGACAAGTTGTAAATAAAAGGATAAAAAATTTTCAAGAGTTATTGCTATTATGCAAATATCTCAGAATTACTGGTTGAGTTTCATGTTCTCCATAATCAATTTTCCAACTGACTGCATGAGCTTTTTTAACACTCAATTTCATGCAATTAGTAAATGAAGCAACAAAGTAAAGCTTCATTTAAAACGAAACATACCAAGAAACACATAAAACACAATATCAATTATTGTTCATGGAGAATTATATTGTTCAGATTTAATATCACGGTGGAGATGATGTTTTGTTGTTGGAATAATCAAGTTTTATGCATTCCTTTTTTTTTATTCTCTGAATGTAAATGGTAATGGTGTGTCGACTAAATGTTTTGTCAACTTCAACGCAATTTGACGTCAAGTGTAAGAAGTGTATTATCCGCTTTCACGCTTTGAATGCAGGTGCAATGTGCTGTTTACCTTCTTAAGTCTTGACTGGTCTGTTCGTGCCGCCGTTGACTGGCAATGAGAATGCTAATTAGACCGAGCCTCCATAATAGTAATACTTTAGTTAGATATTATATGACGTTATACCATATATGTATGAATAATACTGAAGAGTCATCACCAAGCATTACATTCTCAGTTTCTATACACTTATACATGTAACTCTTGTCTAGGTTTTTTTTTGCATTCCCACGACAAGCTAAACTCATATTATTACTAACAAGTTGAAAGGCTTCATGACATTTGTGCCAGTGGTGGAATTAAATCGATCTTCACTACATCTTGACATCAATGAGAATATTGTAGAAACGCTTCTCGATAACGTAACCGGGACGCGCTAATTGAGGCCAATAGGATTACCAGAGACATGAGAGGTAGCAGTAAATGACGTGATCTATCGTTACTATTATAAAATTACTTGTCATGACCTGACTATCTTGTACATATTTTTTCCTTTCATTTTTTCCTTTGATCAAAAGCAGTAGAAGGTTTAATTAAATAAAAATTACCAATTTCCTAGGTTAAATTAATCAACTAGTCGATAAAGTATTTAGTATTTTAATAATTCCATCAAAAATTAAAAAAAAAAATCGTCATTTATGATCATAGAAATAATTAAACAACATTTTTTGATATTTATTCTTGATTCTTGGTGATGATAAAAGAATTATGATTCCTAGATGTTTATAAAAATAATAAAAAAAATGTTAATTATATTAATATAATAATGACATAATGAAAACAAGGCATAAATTGTTTTATCACATGTTTATCTACTAGCCTAGTTACAGGAAAAATAATGTTACTGTGACAGTTAAATAGTCTTTCACTCACAGTCAACAGCTACTGGATTGACATTGTTTAGCTAAAAAGGTTGGAGTTTACTACTACAATCTTAAAACAACCTGAAAGTGATAAAACGTGTATCTAAATCTCTAATGTACACTTGAGCTAGTAAGATATGACATTAAAAATATATTAGTGGTACTTGTTCAACCCAAAGTCTGTATCAATTGAGTGTATATTTATGGACCAGCATCAATAGCTGACCTCAGCATCTTCATTTATGGGAGATGCTACTTAAACAACAACATTGAAGGACATTCAATTTGATTTGGTTTGTCTGAAGGGTCTGACTTTAACAAAGACCTGAATGAGTACAGACCATAGTTAAACTAACGAATAAGGTTCCCTCTAGACTTGGAGGCGTTAGAAATAGAGGAGTCAAGGGACTTGCTTCTGTAATTATTACTAAGCCTAACTATACCACACCTGTTCAGTTTATCTTGAGACCTGCAGTTTATGATACTCCTAGCATTGCAGGAGGTCTTCCGTCCACTTGAGGCATTTCATGTAAATGTGGTCGTTTCCAAATTAGATCCATCCAGAAGGCCCCTCCCCATTGATCCCTTGTACTGATCTGAATGCAGCTGGTTCCTAACATGTAGGAAGCTGTATCAGATCAATTGCTCATAACCTGATTGACGCCCTGCAGGAAGAAATTAATTTTTAAAAAATTATCTCTTCTTACCTCGTTATCTGTTGAAAAATTATGCAAAGCAAAAAATGGAAAATATTTCCAAACTTTATTCAGTACAAGGTTTTGTGTTTGAAGATTTTATTTTGTGATAAACTGCTATGATTTAATAAACTTTTTTAATCTACTAGTAATTACCTATGATCTAGCAATTATTTATTTTCTATTGTGGTCTGTTATCCTATTTGCCTTGATTGAATTTCTGAACTCGACTCCTCTGTTGGAATTGATTTCCCTAGTTGTTTCTAAATTTCAGATATGGTTTATTTTGGTTTTAATAGCTTGTGACTGGCTAGTAACGGACTATCTCCCAGTCAGGCAATTTTACTTTAAATTGTTGTTATTTCAAACATAAAACTTTGGTTTGATCTCTACAATTGATTGAAACTTTATCCATGAGTTCGAAATTTTTCGATTTGGATACCCAAGTTTACCAAACAGATATTCATCTGAAAATGTTTTATCAATGATTTCTTAAGTTGATTTATTGAAAACTTCTGAAATAGTTGCTTTGCTTGAAACTGATTCATCTAAAAAGTGTCTGATAAGGTTTTTCAAACAATCCATCTGAGTCAGTGGATTTATTTTCAGTTGAAATTTAATAATTGCTCTTCATATTGTGAGGATGGTGATGAAAGGTGAAGTTTAATAACCAAAACTTTTGATGATAAAGGATCGTTATATGAAACTTTTCCAACAGTCTCATTCAGAATAACTTCCTTGCTAATAATGTCAATTGAAGGGTCATTATTGTTTTATGAATTTCAAGGAATTCTTGATTATCACTTTGAAGTGAGTTGAAGAAAGAATGAAATGGAATCCGGAAGCTAGGCTGATTGTAACGAGGTGCGTCATCGTTCCGCATCCTAGAATATTTATCTAGTAATCTCCACAATGTTTTTAGAAAAGATTGATTCGACATTGCACTAAGAACATGAATGTACCGTTTACTTGAACGAGTTATTGCTTCACAGACGATTGATCTTCAACCTATCTCAACTAAACTCCTGCAAGCGATTTTAAGGGTGTCAAGTTCTGTAGTATTAAATATTCTTTAGAATATATTGAAATTTCAAACTTTTTCCATATATACTTACATTTTTTTTTGTAATATATCATGACAGATAAAGATTACTTATCTCCAATTTGTCACTTCATCTGAGATTTATTTAGTTGCTTGATAAATTTATAGTCTGAAAGAGTTTTTGGAGTGATCGTAGGAAATATCATTTTATGCTTCAATCATTAGATTTTTATCATCATTTTGACAGCCAAGCAAGTTATGGAACATCTTATCTTCAATTTTTCTGCTATCATTAATTTTTCACACATAGTGTTAATGACTCTGGACTGCTCGCATTTTTTTAAGGACCATAAAAATCAATATTATCAGGTACTTTTTAAAGTCATACGTGTAGGATGTTGAAGGTAACTTGCTTGGCTATAAATATAATACAAGCTGTCAGTTAATGATTTAAACCGGATCCAATATATTTTTCAACACGAGTATTATAATTAATAAGGCAAATCATAGTTTAAAATAAAGTATTATTTAATTAGTCCGAATTAATCTACAATGAATTCTTGTATTCCAGGTCTTACGAGAGCGGTGAGGAGATTCAAAAAGAAAATAGCGGGTCCGATTAGGCTGATAAGAGCCTAAAAATGCCGCTCCCGAAAAGGTTGGTAGAGCCTGTACATGTGGCTCGGGGTACAATCCCTGAGGCCTTTCCTCTACCATCAGAATTGGAAGCTGCAACAAATGGGACCTTAGCCAATACAATTAGGCAGCTGTCAAGTCTATCAAGACACGCAGAAGACCTGTTCGGGGAGCTGGCAAAAGAGGCACATTCGCTAAGCGATCGAGCCAACTCTCTGCAGGCGAGAATAGACAGATTGGCTGTTAAGGTTACACAGCTGGACAGTAATGTTGAGGAAGGTAAGTTGAAGCTTCCTGGAAGATATACTTGGTACTGCAATACCAAAATAGAGCCCCAAGTTAGTGGCGAATTTAATGATTTATGCCTGACTATTTGCATTTTATTATTGCAGTTTCCTTGCAAGATATTCATATGAGAAAAGCATTCAAGAGTTCGGTTGTATTTGATCAACAAGTCGTATCTCGAGATACTATGCCAACAGCAATGCTTGAAACTTATCAACAGTGTGATACTCCGCCTCCATTGGATAAACTCAATGTTTACAGGTATGGTTACTTTTTTGATCATTTATTTTTATCACTTTATTCGTTTTCTTATAGCCTCTGAATAATTTCCAAGTTAAAACCTCTGCTTTCACCAGATACCAAAGAAAACGAAAGCTGAGATTATATTAATATTTACGAAATCTTAAGTAAACTAGAGACAGAAAAAGTTGAAAGCAAAGTTTGTATTTCTTATAAAAGAACATCTTGGATATTCGCTTTTATTTCAAAAAAAAAATGTTTATATTCAATTCTGATTTACAACTCATTGATAATTCTAAATTAATTGATGCCTTTTGACCTGATTTCTCCAAGTGTATATGCATGATTGTTATAATGATCAAAGAAATATTCATTAATTTGTGGAATTGAACAATGTATACTCCATCAGATGATTTGCATACAACTGTTTACTGTGCTGAACAGAAGTCAGTTGGGCGTGAGCCAGAGGATTGTCAAAAAAATTATGATGATTCATGTTGCCCCAAGCTAAGTGATATGTTGCACAAAATTGTGTACTGACTAGTGCATGAGTGCACAATGCAGCCATGATTACTGTGCTAATATGATTGAGCTCATGCAGTATTGAAATGATTACTGTCTGCCACATGGATCATTCATATGTTACCCCGAATGACATTCAATTTCTAGAATTAAAGGGAACAGATGTTACCTTCAATTAATTATAATTTTATGATAAATTTCAATACATGAGTGCTTTTCGTTGTAAACTATACCAATTTTAGTACTGAACAAGATTCAATAAAGTTGACACAATGCAATAATAATCACTGCATTGTGCAGCATATGACTTAGTTTGGTCCAATACAAACTATTTCATTTTTTTGACAATTTCCTAGTTCACGCCTGACTGGTTTCTTCGCAACAATATATCCAGTTGTGTGCAAGTCTTTTTGTGTTCATAAGTTTGTCATTGTGCATTTTTTCTAAAACCGGATATTCAGAGAAAGCAACTATATATGGAACAGAATACTGTTTTGTCTTCAGATTATCAACTTAATAAATTTAATAACTGTTTCTAGTTTTCTCTAATTATTTACAGCTATTTTAATGATTAAATTTATGATTCTAAAATAACTTTTACATTTTTAGGGAGGATGGTAAAGATGGATTAAAGTTCTATACTGATCCAAATTACTTCTTCGACCTTTGGAGTCAAGAAATGCTGAAAGATACGGAAAAGAAATTGCATGATCGAGGGAAAAAGGTAAAACTAATGATTCTTTATATACAAATACATATAATTATATTTACACAATTGTTAACAAAAAAAAATGAGGTTTTATTTTGTTACTAATTATTATGCCTACAATCGTAATTCTAATTATCGAAAATGTCCCCTTGATTATAGACTGAGTCTGAATATGCCGAACCGTTCAGAGAGGCAAGTCGATGGTTTGGATCTTTGTAGTTTTTCATTATTCTTTTATTAATTATAAGCTAATATTTAATATACATCCCAATACATCGATTTTTAAATCGATATTTTTTATTGTTAAATTACTCATTCACTCACTATTTAATCGAGCTCACATTCTGTGTGGATTTATGTCATTAACAAACTTTTTTGCGCTGTTAGATTGTTCTAGCTGCTCGCTTGAAAATTTATTGTAGTTCTGCTAGGTATAGCTAATTCATTTCATAGGCCTACATTGTTTAGGTTGTTTTTTAATTCAAAGTCAATTGCTGTGATTTTGTTTGATTTTTAAATCGATTCATACTTTTTGTTTCATTTATTTATCTTGAAAAATCTATAAACAAATAATCTTATATACTTTGAAATTTTATTCATAGAATAAACATTTAATCATTTTGATTTAAATAAATCATTTGAATATAATTGTTATTAAGAATAAAATTCATTAATGATATTCAATAAAAAATTGAATTCACTATCAATATTAATAGAGATACATTGAATATTGCGATATTCATGTAGGCCTGTGTTTTCATCATTAATATCTTCGTGTTCCCTATTGTAGTAATAAAAAAAAGCGTCACTTTCTTCATTACGATGTTTATTTTATACTACATTGTTCAATTATCAGCGTTTACAGTTAAAAATTTTTGTTTTTTGTATTTGTAAAAAGTCATCGATAAGTCATACTCATTAATCATTTGTAAGTGTGATAATTTATCATTCACACAAATCACGGCATACTCATGGATTGAGAACTTTGGCTTGCCTATTCTTGATATGCACCTTTTTTATAATATTAAATAATGAAATATATATTAATAAATATTTTTTTCTCCATGATAAACAGCCTCATAGGCCTCGGAACGATGGCAGTAATGTTAGTGGAGGCGGTAGACACAAGAAGCGTGTAAGACAGCCTCATAATACAAGAGAAAGACAAAGACAACTTGCAGTTGGTCATGGCGAATATATAATGCCACCACAGGGTGTACAATATAGAACACCACACAATATTCCAGATGAATCACTGTTAGGAATGGTGATGACGGAGCCAAGACCTCCAAGACCAAATAGTATTGAACTTAGGCGGAGCTATCCACCTGATGAACAACATTTGTATAGTCCTCCTACAACTGATCACTACAGGTAATCATTTGTTCCTTCATTTATTCCAATAATTTTCTTGAATTCCATTAAAACTTTAATTTTATCAATCTTGAAACATTTTAATTACAGAACTACAAATTACATTTCTCAAAGTTACGATGATGGAAGTCTGTATAGTTCCCATTACGCCCCTGGGCAAGGCCAGCCAGGTAGTGAAACTTATCAAAGTCCTGGTGGTCAAAGTACTCCAAGTCGTGGTGGACGGTCGAGACCTTCGCAGCCCCCACCAGCACCACCAAGTAATGCTTCAAGTAATTCAACACCTACAGTGGCATCTGCAAATAATACACCAACGAGAGGAAGGTCAATGAGTTCAGGAAGAGACACTCTTCCGCCTCCTCCACCTCCTCCGGGAGAAACGATGTCACCGCCATCAATGAATGGAACGATTCCGGCACATCTGCTTAATAGAAATGGCAGTCGTTCTAATAGTCCATTACCAAGTCATCAATCAACACCGACTCCACCAAATCATACAATTCCTGTGGGAATCGATGAGCCGGATCCTGCGCCTCAGGATCTACCGCCACCACCACCTACACCCGATCCAGTACCATCAAGACCAATATCACCTCCTTGCAACATTCCACCGCCTCCTCCACCACCGCCACCACCACCTATTGCAAATGGACCCATGCCATGCGTACCAATTAGCAATGGTGATATTGCCAAGATGATTGCGACTAATCCACCTAAATTAAAACCACTTAAAAGCATCGATGATAGACAATTAAAAAAGCCGCAAAATCCTAATATTCCTATTGTGGATCCACGAAATGATTTACTCAAGGCTATTAGAGATGGTAAATTTTTTTTGATTAATTTTTTTTCAAGTCTTTTTTATTCTTTATTTTATCATTATTTCATTTCTGTAAAGTTAATAACTTTTAATTACTTGAGTCTTTCATCTAATTGAATTTACTCTGCAAACTCTGTTGATTAACTACTATTGATTGAATAGTCATAATTTTTATCGAATTTAATTGAAGTTTTAGTTCAGTGTAGTTATAATTTCATCTAAATATTTTAAAATTTACAAAACTATCCGTGTTATGAATAAACCAATTTTGCAAACATTTGCTTGCGGAGTAAGAATATTAAGATAGTAAAAGATAAACAATTTATTTAATCAATTAAAATTCAAATTTATTCAAAAGTTTAAGAAAAGAATTTACAAATAATTTTATTTTAAAAAGAAATAGTTATCAGACTTATGTCGAGAATAAATTATTATCTTATTCAAGAATAAATTAATTCTTTTTTATAAAAATTGTCGATAAAATTTAATCATTATTATTGTCTTTTTAGGAATTAAATTACGTAAAGTGGAGAAAATCGAACAAAAAGAAGTGGAGCGTGTAAATGCTTTAAATGATGTAGCATCCATACTAGCAAGGCGTGTTGCTGTTGAATTTAGTGATAGTGATTCTGCATCAGAAAGTGAATGTGACAGTGAAGGATGGGGAGAGCAAGACTCGAGTATCGCCTGACCCGTGTCATTCCCTCCTGCTGCATCTGCCTCGTAAAAGAGTAGCCAATCATTGTATTTAAGAAAATATTCTTTGGTCTCTATTATAAATTAGATATGTTCGATTTTAAAAATTTTCATTATATCTGAATTTCTGTAATTACATCAGAAGACAGAAGTCATATGAGGCTTGTATATTTTTAATTTAAATATTGTTATAAACAATTATGATAAGAGTTCAACATATTAAAGTAAGAAACTTTTCTGTAACGAAAAATGAAACGAGCCAACAATTTTAATGTGCGAAATCATTTTCAGTACATTCCGCAGTACTAATTATTGATGTATACACGTGATAAGTGATTTCATACTTTATAATACATGTTCATCATTTAAAATGTTCATAATAATTACGAGTGTATAAGTAAAATTATGCTAAGTAGGGAAAATGCTTAATTTAATGTGAAAATTATATGTGTATGCAAACAAAATATGGAGAAAAAAAAGAGCTGCAATACTTGCTGTCTTCCTCAAAGTTTCAGAGAACTCAAGAGGAGAAAGACATTAATACATCGTAAAAAAAAAACATTTGTTAAAAAACCAAAATACTCCATTAACAATAAGGTTAGAGTAATAATGAAGAGTATATTATTGAAAAATAATCTCAAAAATTTTAATTATAAAATTTAGTTTAATATTCATCTGCAACGACAAATACATCATCATATAATGTATAAATAAGAGTAATTTATTAATTATTATTAACTAATTAATAATTCTCCTCCATCTCTTTTGTCTTCAATCAGTTTTTAATTAGACAATTGAATTAATTTCACTGAATACGTCTTACTTATGATGGATCTAATCAATAGACTTTTTTTTATTTATATGTTAAAAAAATAAAAGTATCAAAATTAATAAAAAAAAATCCTAATACATAGATTTTTGTTTTATTTTTGTAGCAATATACAGTAGTTGATAAAACCGATTTTTTATTACCCTCATTAAAAACAAATTTTTTGTTTTGTCTATTACTTCATTTTTAGAATAAAATTCTCTAAAAATAACATTACATGTTATAATTTTTGCCTTTGTATCATTTAAAGAAATTATTTGCGATCAACACGACGTGATTTCTATCTCAATAGCCCATAGTGGTCCGATCGCATTCGGAGCTTGGCTAAAAGTTAAACATCTACCTAGTTCATAGCTTGAATAATTAACTCCAATTCTTTAATGCTTAAATAACTAAACATTGAATTTAGAATTTTATTAAACAATTGTGGGGTTAGATCTAAAATACTCTTCGGCTTGATTTATTTCAGTCAATATCTACATCAATACCAATGAAATTAATTACTTTTACAAATAATGGTAAACACCATCTAATGGTTTTTCTCCAAGCAGTGACTTTTTTGACCTATTTCAGCCGCAAGCAGTCTAAATGGTAGTTAAATTGGCGATTCATGTGGTCAAACAACTTCCATATTTGATAAGTGTGTTGAGCCCATATATTTTGCTTTAAGCTTTATACAGAAACTTGAATGAAGTTAAAAAATACTTGCATTGCTTCAGCGTTCTTGATTTAATCTTCAAACTGTTCTAATGACAATGCTACATATCTTTCACTTACTGTTATTGAGAAGATTCTAAATTCATGCACTTGTTCATTTTTGTGAAAAGAATCATGGATATGTATCAAATTAAACTTCAGTGATGAATATAAATACGTTCCATTTCAAAGACATATTCGAAAGTGTCTTCCCTTCAGCGCTTGTTGATATATGCGATTAGTTTTCTTACAGATATTTCAAAATTTCGGCCTTTGGAATCATGGTCGTCATACCTATTGTTGGTTATTAATTTCCTTCTACATTGAAGTTCATTTTGCAATAAATATAGTGTTTTGTTTATTGTTTATTATGAACTTTTTATTGCAATTATTCATAAACAAATACGAATATTTATCCATGCGATCACTGAGCCGACGATCACGCCACCTAATGGTAATTTTCCCATTTCTGTTGGTAAAGAAGAAAACTGGATACTGACGGTTTAACACATTGGACACGAGATTTTACTTGAAGTTTCCAGAAAATATTCTAAGTCAAACAGCATTAGTATTTGACTGCGATCGTTCGAGTGTTTGTCGTTATTGACTCCAATTTTATTTTAATTCATTTTTAATCAACTCAATTTATAAAACCGACTATACAACTCATTAGTGTTGAATTACTTGCATAGCTAACTCATTTTTATTCCTCAATTAATACATAAGATCACAAATATATAAATTTCTTATTATTACAATAATCAATCAACTGTGAAGACTTGGAGATTTTTTTGGAGGTAAGCTATTAGTATAGTTGATATAGCCTGCACATGTGAGATGTCAATTTTATTATTAGATTTTTTGTCAATATTCTGATTATTTTTGAAGTAACATCCATGAGTCTGAAAAGTTTGGTTATATGTAAATTATAAACTCGTGATTAATGATTATGAAGTGACCGAAATGATATTTTTGTCATGATTATAGGGTTAAGACAAGTCTAAAGTAGTTGAATCACTGTCTATAAGTATAAAATGGCAAAGTGGGGCCAGGGTGATCCAAGGTGGATTGTTGAAGAAAGGCCTGACGCTACTAATGTCAATAACTGGCATTGGACTGAAAAAAATGCCTGTGCTTGGTCGTTGGAGAAAATCAAAGAGTTATTTAAGGATTTACAAATTAAAGGAGACGGAAGTGAGTGATTATACAATCAACATATTTGAAAACGTAGTTGGAACGAAGTCTGACAGTAATGACTCTAGTTATAACAAAATAATATTAATTGAAGTTTCTGTATTATTGAGTAACTAAGTAAAATTTCTCTTTGATAATATATATAACTACACAAGAAATATTTTACTCCATTTCAAAATCTTTTTGCTTCATAATTAAAAGCTGTCAAATTCAGATATTCTAATACAAGTATTATATTCTATCTTTGGAATTAGTTAATATTGTAATCAATAGATTAGTAATTTTCGTATTTTCTGCATTTTTCAGTACAATGTACAATAACAGAAGTAGAAACGTGTGATGGTGAAGCAGTGGCCAATAACAGAAAGGGCAAGCTTATATTTTTTTACGAATGGAATATAGTGTTGAAATGGGTATACGATCATAAGAAAGAAATTGAAGGCAAAATAAATATTCCTAATCTATCTGAAGAAAACGATATTTCAGAAGTAGATGTAAGTACTGGATCTTTTCAAAGCTCGAAATAACATATGTAAATCAAGTCAAATTTGTACTTACATAATTTGGTTTTATAGATTGAGATTACATTGAAAAATAGTACAAATGAAGGGGAGAAGATAAAACATTTTCTGCACTCAAAGGGAAAAGAAACTATACGGAAACGACTGAAATCTTATGTTTCTGCGTTGAAAGAAGGTATTATAAATTTATTATTCATTTATTGATTTTTTTTTGTATTCATTAATATATCAATATGTGCATTATGTTATTAGTTTATTATTAAACGAAAATTGGAAGTATTTTCTTGGAATTTATCTTATGTCAAAATTTTATAAAACCTTACAAGTTTGAAGAACTCATATAAAAGTGGTATATTTGATAAGATGTTCCGAACTTATAGGGAATTTCAACTTTATCGTAAAAATTTTATATATAAATACAATTCAGAAGAAGTTTACATACGTTTATTAAACATAAATTATAAACTTTTTTTGTATAAAACTTCTTCTAAACTTATTTAATACGATTATTATATACATATTAATTAATAAATTTTTTTGTTTGCAGAATTTTCGAAAGGCATGATTCTTCCAAAGAAAGATAGTGATACGAAAAACGCAATTAATTCATCAACAACAGTTAACAATGTTAAAGCACAAATGAATAAAACGATCACGTCAAAAGATAATAATAAATCGGTAGGATGCAAGATTGACACAGTTACTATAAAACAACAACAAAAATTCCAATGTAGAGCTGAAGAATTTTACAATGTTCTTACTACTCTTGAGGTTAGTAGGAATTTCTTTATTGGAAAATAATTTAAAACTAAAAAAAAACTCGTAATAAAAGCTGTTTTTAAAAGAACCTTCCGTTTAAATTGAAAATATAAACTAATATACTTTGCAAGACAAAGTTAAAAGTATGAATAATTTTCATTCCAGATGGTGCAAGCTTTCACAAGAAGTTCTGTGAGACTAGAGCCTAAAAAATCTGGAAAATTTGAATTATTTGATGGTAATATTTACGGTGAATTTGTAGACATTACACCAACAAAGATTACTCAAAAATGGCGTCATAAACAATGGCCAGATGGACATTTTAGTGAAGTTACTATTGACATTAGTGAAAAGAGTGATCATACGGAAGTTAATCTCACGCAAATTGGTGTTCCTTCTAGGTAACTGCTACTTGTTGATTCAATTATTCTACATCTTAATTATTTATATTATTTAATTAATCAACTATTGTTATGATCACGACAAATTATTGAATGTTTTTTCTTCTTGAATTTTCAAAATTTAATCCTTATAAATGAATGTTTTATTTTATTTAATTATTTATCAAATCATTAATAAAGATGTACTTCTTTTTCAGTGAGGAAGAATCAACAAAAAAAAATTGGGAGCGATATTATTGGAATGCTATAAAATGTACGTTCGGATTCGGCTACTTTATGTGATCAATTTGTCCTTATGCTGTATTTATTTAATGATAAGTAGAATTATATATAAACATTTGAAGCTACGTTCATTTCAATGCTTGAAAAACAATCAGGTCTTCAATCGAATACAATTCACACGTAATCTGATCATTTTTCTTTGCATCTAAAATTCATCATCAATCATGTTTATAATACGAACCAATTGGTAACGAACAAGAGAATGAAATAAATTCAAGTGTATTATACACATCGCTACAGTGAATAAAAATCAATTCACAAGAAAAGAATTTTGTTTCTTTTTTAATTAAAGTCTTTCTTTAATAATTAACTTGATTAGGATCCTCTTTACAAATATAAGATGTATTCTATTTACAAAGAATAATGGTTCTAAAAACAATAGTAAATGGCAAGTGGCAGGTAATGAAATATTCGAAAACCCTTCAAAAGGCATTACACCATTTTCATTGTCAACTTTTCAATTTATCGTGTCAAAATGTAGTTGATAATTTATAGATAATTTAATATTGATTAATTTATTTTATTATTGTCTATAATTAATTATAAACGTGTTAAACTATAATCTACTTTGAAAAGCATTAAAAAATATCATAAGAATCTCGTTGTAAAGGGCAGATTAAAAATAATTAAACGATTCGACCTACTTATCTATATAATCATAAATATTATGTTAAAAAAAAAAGAAAGGTACATCATTAAAAATGGATATTTTTTTTTAGAATACTCTACCACTTTGCTAATAACTTTTTCCAATGATTCTAATGCATTTTTTGTGTTAAAAAAAAAATAGATGAATATTGGAAATTATCACTGAATTTATTATCATAGTATTGAGAATGGATTAACTTCAGTATATCAATGCAATATTTAGAAGTATGTATGTATGGAGTATGTTGAAATGAACAATAGGATTCCAGTAATTTAAAAAGCAAAATTATTATTATTAATAAACAATTTTTTAAAACAATTTTTACACGGTGTACTCAAGCGTAATAGATTACAGTTCTTATCTATCATTCTAAGTACTAGAACGCAATTTACTTGGCTGGATAACGACTTGAAATCGGATTAAATATCATTTTAACAAATGGTAATATCTCAGCGCTGCTCATTTCAAGGGTCGAGATGTCGAGATTTTAAATTATTTCCTGTGAGACAAGTTGTGCGGAAACAATCTCTATAATGACAATTATTATCACCAGTTATTTGAAATGAAAATGGATGAGAGTATGTGCGATAAATAGGGAAATTTATTTATTAGAATGCATCGAGTGTCGACATATCAGACAGAAAGACCGATGTTTTATTTGGGTGTGGGATTCGATATGATCGGCATGAATGGGCAGAGCTGCAGGGGGTGTGATGTTTAAGTAAGACAGAAAAACATCCAAGGAAATAAGATAGGGTTGGTGTTGGCGCGCGCTTGTACACTCCTATTATGTGCTGATCATAAAAGAGGGGGATTCAAAGTGGGAGAAGGATAGTAGGATACGAATGTTCAGCAAGTGCGCGCGCCTTCGAAAATCAAAATCAATGTATGTAGTCGGCTCGCGCGGTTCGCTCGGATTGCTAATGCCCACGCCCTAGTCCTCCGTGGTCCTCCACCACATTCAGTTCACACTAAATCATCTTGATGTAATCAAGTAAATCACGTTGATCGCATGAATTTATTTATGACTGGGATAAGGATCACAATAATGCATAACATCTTTATCATTTCTACAAATAATGATAAATAGAAGTAAACTGAGGGTAGGACGATAATGCCAATGTGTTTAAGTGGTTTTAAATAATTAATAAATAAGTGTGAAAATTAAAAAGTGTGTCCATCACGACCTCGTGCTTTTCGGTACACTGAAGCCTCGGTACATTTCCGATGTGGCAGCAGCATCGTAGGGGGTAAGAGGTACCTGAGATTATCCAGGAGAGAAACCGCACCCTCGTGAGTGAGTTGGAGCCAAGCAGAGGAGAAGAGCGCTAGCTGTCCGAGCAATAGGACGTGTGTTTTCTTGGTGCTTCAATCAAAGTGCTGATGATGAAGATGGGTATTAAATCAGACCGTTGATCCCCACAGACATCAAAGCTTTCTTCAGGACACCCACAAGGAAAATAAACCAGCAAGTAAAATGTACGTGAAAAAGGCAACTGACGTGTTTTGTCACCTTGTCCTCACCCTGGACTTATTCGGTTCAAGAGAACTGCTTCAGTTTAGCGAAAGATGTAACGTAGATGATAGCCGTTAAATTTACGTTTTCGTTCAGTGTGTCCGTGTGTTTTTTTTTCTTTTTTTTTAACTTCATTTATTTGTTATATTTCATTATATTTTACATATATATGTACATCTTGATATCATTATTTTTATATATTTGTGTGTGCATTCCCAATTGTCCTACGCTTTTATGTGCACTTCCTCTGCCATCGAAATAATTCATCGAATAATGATTGTATATATAGACGTAACAATACCGTCTATATTTAAACATAGAAAAATTTTATCATCTCCATTTTATCAAGTAGTCATTCAATGAGTAAAAAAAAAAAAATTAAGTAAGTGCAATGAGGATCTACCGAAAACAACGACGACGTCCAGGGCGTCGTAGAAATATCCTTCAATCTACCATCAACTTAAGGAGAACCTTATCTTAACCTTTTAATCTCAAAATACGGTAAGGCATTTTTATTTTTATTTTTTTTTTTAGTGCCATTTGCCTTTTTTCTATTTGTTATTGACAATGAGCCATGGCTAAAACTATCTGAACGAATTTATGAATGCTCATCATAATAGTAAACAAATCAACCTCAAAGAATTTCATATTTTATTCTCTTTAGTAGAAAATACTTTGAATGTAGTCTTTGAAATGTAAATAATGTTCTTTTCATTTATTTATACGCTTGACAAACTTTAAACTTTGTAAATTTTTCATGTAATTTCGTTTTATTGATGAAAAAAAGAATTTTTATTTTTTTAAAACATTACAGTTTTGATCATTTTGAAAATTTATTATGGTTTTTACATGTGTATGTGTGGGAAATCTTTTACTAGCTACGAGTATTCGAAGTGAGTAGAAAATTGCTTTGGTAATGTCTCAGAGAGAAAATTACACTCAATGTGAAAAAAAGAAAATTAAAGTTAAAAGTTTGTACTTCAAAATAATAAAATAAAAAAGTGTTTAATTGTTATAGTCTACATAAAAATATCATTGAGTGATATAATTTTTTTTTTTTTTATCAAATTATGTTACATTTTATACATATTTTTTAAAAAACAATTAAGCTTTTCATGCAAACTGGCACGAGATTTTTTCTTTTGGTAATCTATTTTTTTTTGTTTTTTTATATGATAAATTTTTTAACTACTAGTGTAGTTGTAAAGAGTCAAACAAAAACTGGGTTATATAATTTTTAGTTTCAATTTTTATGTGATAAATTAAAGAATTTATTTTTAAATAAAAATATTACTTTCAACTCTTAAAAAGGATTCATAATAGAATTTTAAACAATTAGTTATTTAGTACAGTGATGGATTACATGCAACATTTGAAGTGAATTAAAAATTTTAGTCTCGACAATAAATAACTTGGTGAACTATACTTTATAAAGTCGTACATCAATTTGTGAAAAACGAAATTCAAGTTGCTGAAAAACTATAATTTAATTTAACGTGACAACTTTTTTCAGTAATGTTTAGTTTTTCAATACGACTATTGATTGAGAATAAAAAATTCTAATCATATGTAAATATTAACTATTCTATTAATTAATTAAACTAAACTAATTAAAAGTAAATTTATATTTTAATAGGTGTAGTTAGAAGAAAAACAAACAATCGTTCGTTTATTTTTGGCCAATATTACTCTTTCACTTTTCCCTAACTAATTTTAATACTTCACTGTTTGCATGTAATACTTTTTTATTTGAATATTTAATTTGCTTGTGGATTCTTGTTATCTTGTTTATCATTTCATCAAAAAGTATTTTTACTTTCAGGAGAAGAGATGCCTGTCACTGTTGGATGTGGATTTATCATTAGAAAAAAAGAAAAAATTTAATCCTCTAACTAAAGAGATGAGTCATTTATGAAATTTATCCTAGGGTTTTCATACAGCTCCGAGGTACATTCTGTTGCATACGCTGAAGGGGAAAACATCTCTAGGGATAAAGAGAAAAAAGAGAGAAAATAGTGAAGAGATTTAATAGTATAAAAGAGTAAAGAAACAAGTATGATAATTTTTAATAAAAAAAAAAACTTTTTCTCTTAAGTTACAAAATTTAAAAAAATACTTATATATATATATATATAAATTTTACTAATTACCCCTCACACGTCATTATTTTTACTTTACGTGGAATTTTATCCTTTATGTGGATACTTTGACGGCGAATTATCGGGAAGATTTATTTTTGTCAGCAAAAAAAAGAGGGTGCAGAGAACGATTAATACTCATACATGCATTTACCAATGACTTGTGAGCACCGTTTGCCATTGCATGAGGCTAAATGATTATCCTAGTGACTAGAAAAGCTGTTATAAATGTTCTAAAAGAAAGTAATATTTTTATCAATAACTGGCTTAATCATTTAATATCATTAACTAATTAAACATAATTAATCCAATACTCTATATAATATATTATCTTTTAATTAAAATATTTTTGAAAATTTTATTTATCAGCAACATTGACTGTTTGTTTTCAATTTTACTCGCTCAGCTTGCATTGTGTATGGATAAACATAAACTTAATAGATATAATTGCTGTAGACAGTTGATGTTTTTTTTTCTTTCAGTACTTTTTTCACTTTTATCCGCTTTTATTATTAATCACCTTATGCACGAGATGATTTTTCCACTATATTAAGCTTCAAGCTATTTTTCCTCTTTGCTTCCTCCTGTCCACAAGTACACAAACTTGTAAATATGACAATTATATACATGATGAAATTGTCAGTTGACCTGGAGATTAATCTTGTTGTTTTTGTTCAGGCAGCGAGTATGCAATGCGCGGTTAACGGAGGGAAACACGCGTTGTCGTGTCAACGCAACATGCATTACCGTGCATCTGCAAGCGATACAGCATCAACAAAAGCACCAGCAGCCACTCGACTACTTTATCATCAACGGTGTTGGAGTTTGCCATGTCCAATAGGAGAACTGTGCCACTGAAGAGTAAGTTTTCAATTAAATATCATCATGTCCTTATGGAAAAATGACATGAAAATTCAAAGATAATTCCATCTCTTCCATTTTAGACAACAAAATTTATTCATTATGTTATGTTTTCAGGTTTTTTTTTTTTATTAGAATGCAAAGTTAAGAGTAATTATTTTTATACCACGTTAAGTGTTCAATGTTTTGAAGTATCGTTCTACATTTTTTGTCTACTTATTTGAACTCTTTGATTTTATTGTCGAAAGATAAAGTCTTTCCACCATTTTTGGTTCACTCTATGTGAAAGTATCGATATCTAATGTTACAAGCTTTTATAAAAAAAAAACTCTAGAGTAGTTCATAAAAAACATTTTACATTATTTATAAAAGAAAACTATAAATTTCTAACTAAACTTTAAGATATGAGTTTTTGAAATAGAATAAATGTTTTTCGATTAATATTGATTGGAAGGTTTTCAAGAATTGTAATAAAATTACATCTACGATTGGTATATTGATGACAAAAAAAAGCATGATGAACTAAAATATTTGATGATCGATAAATCAATTAGTCAATTTTCCAGTACAAATCGGCAGCTATTCGATACAACACTTGATGTATATTGAACCACTTGGACCAGAAATTCACTTTTCAGAGTATGTCTACAACAGTATAATAGCGACCAATACAAACGACAAGTCGAGGTCAATCACACGAAAATCACGTTCACAATGCACATGTACACGTGACAGAATTTTTCTTTTTGTTTTTCTCTCTTTTGATTCTTTTTAGAATTTTGACTCACATTTTCTTTGAATTTTGTTTGATCTTTATTCCTTTCTTCTCCATCGTAAAAAGCTGAAAAAGTTAAATATTAGATGTTTGCTGCAGTAATAAGAAATTTACTTCATACAAATAGAGTTTATTCATATTTAATAGATATATTATTTGAATAGACAATTAAATAAATACTTGTTAATAGTTTATAAAAAATTTCTTGTAATATCTCTAAAAATTAAATTAATTTATTTGCTATTGATTAATATGTATACAAGTAATTAAAGAGATTTAATTGACATTAGATTTTATTATAGATCAATTTTTATTTTCATTAAATCAAAATCAGTGAAAAATATGATTAAATTGATAATTATTATTATCATTATTATTATTATCATTATATTTGTTTATCAGTATACTTATAATTAGCTGCTACGTTCAGGAATAGAAAAAAAGAATAATAAAAAAAAAGTAATCAACGCTTTGAAAAGGGAAAAATACGCTGCTATTAATAAATAACTTGAAAATTCTCTTTCAATATAAAATTATTAAACAAAAAGTTGTCATTTATGGGAAAATTAACTTGATAAAATACTAATTATATTTATAAAATAGTTAATTTCTATTTCATTAACTCATCAGCAATAAGAGTCACTGTAAATGAAAAATGTGAAATTTCAGTATAATCAAGGTTGTCACACTTAAGTAAAATAATATTTAAGAGAAAAAATGTATGATTTTTTAATACTCTTTTATAAGAGTCACTTCTATAAAAAAAAGTTGACTCAATTTAACGTTAATCTACTTCAGGTCTAAATACGTATTATATTTAATACCCACGCAGATTTTTAAATCGATAACTCTATAATAGTTGAAAAGCTCTAACACCGTGACAGACAGATAGATATTGAATAACCCGTATAATAATACGTGATTCATTCAAAGAATAATAAAACTTATAGTTCTTTTATATGATTAAAAAAAAAGAAAAAAAAATTACAATGGTTATAAAGTACTCCAAGTTCTGGGTGATAATTTTGGTCATAAATGTATGAGTAGAAGAACGCAAGTGGCATTGTATATAAAAGCACTATAGATATATGAGTAGAGGGTGATTGAGGAAGAAGAAGAAGAAGAAGAGTATTAATTCAAGAAGTGGAGGAGTAAAGTCGAGGATTGTCTCGTGTATAGAGAAAGTCGATTGCGTTTTGGTGACATATATAAGGATAAAAGAGGGATGGAGAAAAAGAGGAGACTATACGAGCATGCGTAAAGATGCGTCAACTCCCTCGCGGGTTTGAATCGTCGGTGACTAGATCTTCGTCTGCTTGTGTAGCTCACATTATTCAATGGCCAGGCAGGCAGACAAGTCAACTTCCATCAAGTTATTTCATCAGTGTTAATTGGCAAAGACAGATTGGATCAGTGAAACAGAAATAGATAGAAGCTGAGGATTAATACGAAATATTACAGCAATTGAAATCAATTTAATTAGAAAAAATAATAAAATAAATGTTAGTATATTAAGTGGTGGTAATACTTTTCACGCCACCATTTTTAAATTAAAAGCTTACATGCGAACACACGGTTTGTTATTTCTTTGGTGGAGAACGCACGAAAAAAAGAGCAACGCGAGTTGAAGAAGAAGGAGCAAACGAAAAAGGTGGGGGAGAAGTTGAACCGCGAACTGAGATCATTGGTTGATCACCTGGGGGCCGACACTTTCAGCACGTTTAGCATCTATCTTTCTTCATCCTTTCTTTATCTCTTTCATCTTCGTGATTTAATTCACCTAGGAATTTAACTGATATTAATATTAATTCAAGCGGAAATTTTCGGATATTACATAATCTCAATAGATCTTATCTCATTTAGAATCTTAGAATCCAATGTAAGACATAAGATTTATGGATAAATAGTAGAAGTGATAGTTTGATGAAATAAAACATTTATTATATTTCAGATTCAATGGTTGTAAGAACGAGGACAAGATTCGTGGGATGTAGTTGACGTTGCTCATCCCCTTGGAGAGAACGCGAGTGAGCGTTGAAGGAATCGAGAGGGTGGCCGAGGGTGAAAGACGAAGAGAAGAAGAAAGGAAGGGTGGATTTAGGCACTTTTGGAATTTCAAGGGGTCGCGAATGTGTTTTGTGCAACCCCCAAGGTATTTGTCGTGTTCTCTTGAGGCTAACGAGGGTGAAAAGACGATAAAACGTCTAAAGTACGATAGCTAGGAGAGCTAAAAGAGACAGAGATCGAGTGGTGAGCGTTTATAAGTGACGAAATGAACGTAACTAAGGAGGTGCCAATAAGTCAAAATTACTGCAATGGTTCTGAAAGCAGCGAAGTAACACAGTATAAAATTTGGGAAACGGTTCTGATAACAATAGTGGCGTTTGCTTTGAGTGTTATAACCGTCATTGGTAATATTATGGTCATGGTATCCTTCAAGATTGATAAACAACTCCAGACTATATCAAACTACTTTTTATTCAGTCTGGCGATTGCTGATTTTGCCATTGGCCTTATTTCCATGCCACTTTTCACCATTTACACGTTGCTTGGCTACTGGCCACTTGGTGCACACGTTTGTGATACCTGGCTCGCCCTCGATTACCTTGCCAGCAATGCCTCGGTCCTCAATCTTCTTATCATCAGTTTTGATCGATATTTCTCGGTCACTAGACCTCTCACCTATCGTGCTATGAGGACACCGCGCAAGGCAGCTGCTATGATCGGTAAGCATCAACTTTTATTTACTCCACTCCTTATAACACTATTCAAGCACATATCGTATAAATAGCTCACTTTATACTATATTCTATATTCAATTGTAAATATTTCAGACATACTTTAGACTATATTAAAAATTGCCTCTAACTTACACATTTTATGTTCAAATATCTCCTATCCAAATTCCTCGTTGGGTATTTGATTCAACGGAGATTACGTTGTTAGTATTCAATTCGGTGTAAACTGGTCGAAATCATCTTTAATTTCCAACTGATACAACCATTAACTATCATTAATGGAAGTAGAATAAAATTCATCTATAATTGTTTATCAACTTTTGCTTCAAAAATATATTCCTAGATCACAAAATAAAGATTTTTATAACAACGATTATGTTAATTTTGTTATGTTAGAAAAAAATTAACTGAAAATTTAAAACTACGTAAATTTGAAAATTTTTTATAATAAAAATTAATTTAATTTATTCACAACAAGTCATTTCTATTGCTTGATGGAAACTTTTTGAAATATATATTATAAATTCAAATGCCTTATTTCTTTTTAACTTCATTAGAAAATTTCTAAACAGTTTGCTCATTATGGTCTAATGCATTAGACAATAAATTCTGAAAAGAAGAAAAATTTTCCATGCTTTGATATTAAATTTATAATGCAAATAAATAAGACAAACTATTGTATGAAGCATAAATTTGTTAAATAAGCTAGTAACATCTTTGTTATCTAATGCAATATTTTTCTTTATTTCAATATTTTTATGAGAATTCTTAGCGTAAACTTATGTGTGCGGTAACTTCCGTGTAATTACCGACTACGATATTATCATGTCCTTGCGTCTGGAAGAGACTGTCGTGACACATTGCGACATTATGCAATACTTAGAGAGATGCAGGCGTGTAGGCGAGTGCAGGCTACGGTGTATGTGCGAGAACGATAACGTTTTTGATGATGAATTGGAATTTAGCGAAAACAAATGTACATACTGACATTCATGTGCATTGAAAAGAACTAATTTCTCTTTCTCATATGATGAAAATAATAAATACACATGTAAAAAAAACAATTAGACAAACCTTACGACTTTACTCCAAAATTATATGTATATATATTTTCCATCATTTTCATGTGCAAGTTAATTCAATTATCTATAATTAAAACTCTGAGTTTAATGAATCTAAAAACCTTGATGAAATATTTTTAATTGTTTTAAAAGCGGTGTTATATGTTTAAAAAAAACATTCAATGTTAATATTTTATAAAGCTTTACTTTTTTGAAATGTCTATGAATTGATGAAAAATCGTATTTCGAAAAATGAGTGAAACGTAGTAGAATTCGTTTTTGGAATATGAAACATTTCCTAATCAATAAAAGTTCAAGTATAATTTAATAATACAAATGGAACTGAAAATAAAAAATAATCGTAGTTGAATGATGATACTATTTATGAAGTACTTTTAACATATAAAATTTTACATTAAAATAATGATTGAATTACACTTTATGAGTATTCAAAGTTCTTTAAATAGTTCTAATTATAGCTGGTTGAAACAGTATTAATTTCATTTATTAAAGTAACACACTTCAATGAAAATGATACATTTGAATGAGATATATGGCATGTTCTAAATAAATAAAAAGAGAAGACATTGAAGGTGGATATGATACGAGAGATGTGTTCTCTATATTGTCCTGTTAGTTTTCATAAATCTGTGTTACAAGATAATACGTTGTGGCAACCCACATACATCCTATAGTCCATAGGAAAGAGTCATGGCATGAGGAATAGCATGGATGTAGAAGCTTGTTCAGAGCTTGGATACACACTATTATCAGAGAGAGTTTATAATGTCCAAGGCGCGTCTGAAAAGCCGACAGCTCTAGAATAGATTGCGAGTTTGTGTTTATATCTTGACTTTAAATACTGCGTCACCTGACACCTGTTGCCATATAAAGGAGGAACTGTATCGACTTATCGACATACAATGACAATACACAACGTGCTACTTTGCGTTTCTCTTTCTGCCATGTTCTCACGATTAATGTTAAGTGTGAGTGAGATGCTAAAAAGTTGTTTAGTTGCTTTGTACGTTAATGATGAAGAAAGGAATAGCTTCAAGGCAAATGTAAACGCGTGGTCGCTAGTTGAGTCACGTGATGATATAGCTGAGGAACTAAAGTTGAAGGAGAACAACGATGATGACACTTCCGAGGTTGAGATTTATACTTGGTTACGACTCGAGACAACAAACCATTCTTGTGAATCGCTTTACCTACTCCTTTTGTTCTTTTGTCTGTCTCTCTAGAGTCATTTCCTGCTCCTTTTGCTCAACTCATCTTCAGAGCTTTAAGAGTTAAGAAAATCCTAGTTCCAATTTAGTCGAAATATTACTATACAATCATATCATTTCAATTATTTTTACTTTTCCTAATTAATTATGTGCTCTTTCTTCTTTACTTTCAAATGATACTTTTTAATTTATAATATAATCAGCTATATAATATAAATCTTATTGAATCAATTTGGTAGAGACATTAATTATAGAATAAAAGATGAAATATAAAATGTCACTATTAATTTAAAAATAAGTAAATGATGATAATCCATTTTCTTTGAATTACAAAAAGAAAAATATTTTTCAACCACTTTATTCCTTTAAAATTATTGATATAAGTTGATGACATTTCATGTTTTATCCTTGAACTTTTATTGTGTCTTATTATATTGTTAATATCACACACTAATTGAATGTTTGTTTCACTTTTAAATAGAATCACCCTTTTAGATATTCATCATACTTTTATCTTTCTATTTCCAACACATTTATTGAAAAGCACAGAATCAGAGTGTGTACATATTGAACTGACATGTATAACAATGAATTCTGAAAATTTTTTGAATTCACTTGATTCGTAATTCTCTCAAATGTACTTGAATGCATTTTGTATGTTTTACAGGTGGTGCATGGGGAGTATCTCTTCTCTTGTGGCCACCCTGGATTTATGCATGGCCTTATCTAGAGGGAAAAAGGACTGTGCCAGACAATGAGTGCTACATACAATTCATTGAGACCAATCATTATATCACCTTCGGTACAGCAATTGCAGCTTTTTATGTTCCTGTTACTGTCATGATTTTCCTCTACTGGCGGATATGGAGAGAAACGGAAAAACGGAAAAAAGACTTGACTCATCTTCAAGAGGGAGGAAAACAAGATGCTAGTAAGAGAAGTAATTCTAGTGATGAGGCGTTAGATATGGAGGGATGTAAACGAGGCAGAAGTGAGTCTAGTACAGGAGCTGATGAAATTAATTCTTCTAATCTTCCTATGTCTGTCCTGGAAAAACATTATCCAGATTACAACAGTGTAAGTATAGTTCAACTAATCCATTTGTTTTTATTGATGTTTGTTTTTATTTATTTACTGACATCTAACCATAATTTTCCTTCAAAATTATGGAGAATAAACATTATTTTTGATGCTGCATCAAGGCAATAAAAAGACAGTGGGGTAAATTCGGTCATAGAAAAATTATAGATTTCAAAAATAATCGTATGAGGAATATAAATTCAAAGAAAAATTTATATTGGTGGAATTGATAAAATAAAAAGAGCCCTAAATTTTGTGATCTAGAAAGTATTAAAATATATGTCATAAAACATTCTTATGGATTGTAGAGATAGTTTATAGACTTATAAAAAGTGTGCTTGGGTTTTTATCAACATCAAAGAAGTTTGACTTGACGGGCGTAACGAACAATATTCTCCGTTAATTTTTAAAATTAAGTTTAAGTAATGACTGTAATTACCTCATATATTGCGGAGTAATTGCGAATACCAAGAGTTACCTTTTTAGTGAAAGTAAATTTTATTCTATAATTTTATACTTCAAACTTAATTATTATAATTTGTAACGGATGAATTTGATTATAATTAAAAACAATATATAAATTAGAGTTAAACTTTATTCGATTGGCGTTTCTACTTAAACGCTCGTAATTACTCCATTTTTTCCTAATTGAAAAGTTATTGCTAATAAAAGTGTAAAAAATATTATTTGCATATTGTAATACTTTATTCAAATTAAGCAATCAATTGAAGTGGAAAGAATGTACTGTTAACTAATATTAATTACTTCAACTACTACTACCACTGAAGCTATCACAACCATGACTACTATCTTTAATAAAATAAGTATTAATCAAGTAATAATTAATTAGTTATTTATTTTAATGAATTTATTTGACAGAAACATAGACCATTTTCGTGGACGTCTTTCAAAAAGTGGTGTATAGCATGGTGGCATAGTGGACGTGAAGAAGATGACGAAGATGATGAAATAGGTGGGACAGAAGTCAGCAGTAGGACGGTTCATCCTGAATATGAGGAAACGCTCACACCAATATCCGTTGAAACACCGTTTACGAGTATTGTATCTCAGTATCCTTCGCTCAGTGGTATGCAGTGTACTGATAGGCAAACCCTCGATGGAGTTTCTGGAAGTATTCCGACTATTGCAGGGGAACATCACGACTACAAAAAATCTCAAACATCCAGCAGTCAAATCAGTAAAAATGTCTCTGGTGATCCGGTAAGACTCTTATTCAAATGATATTATTTCGAATTAAATTAAACTTTCTTTCGAACTTTAAATGCAAAGTTATTTTATGGTTGCATATTTGCAGTACAACAATAAATTAAATCATAAAACTTATAAAAAAACTTTTTTTAATGAGCAAAAAAAGAATACAATCAAAAGAAGTTTTTAAAAAAACTTTTCTATAACGTTTGTAAAAAGGAAGAAGTGCAATTTATATTGTGTTACTATCATCGTTATTTTAAAAAGAAAATCGACTTTGTGTCATAAATAAAACTTTTTTTGTTAAATAAATATTTTTCCAAACTACGATCATTTTTTTTTTGCTAAATGCATCATTTTTAACGACATATTCTTTTGCTCACAGATTTATAGAATTGTCATAAAACTGCCAACGACTGAGGCAGACGTAATGCCAAGTATAACAATGTATGAAGAACTCATGTCATTTCAAGTTCCACAAACAAGTAGTACTGAGGTTGGTGAAGATGGTGAAAGCAGAATAAGTCGCCGTGTTGATTCGCTTTCCAGTCAAACCAATACAATGATTCGTCGTCCATCGCAGATGCCGGATGTCAGGTTGCCTCTCAACACGAAAAATATAACAAAAGGTATCGTTTCATCAACTGGAAAAGGTGCACTGAACAAACCACAGAATAAGAAGAAGAAACGTACGCAAGATAAAAAAGCAGCAAAAACATTGTCAGCTATTCTCGCGGCATTTGTAATCACCTGGACACCGTACAATATTCTTGTACTGCTCAAACCCCTAACCAAAGCCTGTGTCGTGCAAATACCGCAGGAGCTTTGGTCTTTTTTTTATTATCTCTGTTATATCAACAGTACGGTCAATCCAGTTTGTTATGCGCTGTGTAATGCCACATTCAGGCGAACCTACGTTAGAATTCTCAAGTGCAAATGGCATAATAGAAACAGAAGTGCCGGGAGAGGATATTGTCCATAGAAAGCAAGTGTATTCATTGGTTTTAGTTATCTCTTTTGACTCTTTCTCGTATTCAAATGAAAAAAGAAAGAGGACACTTGGAATTATGTATTATTGTCTAGGACAATCGTTGAAAACTCTTAAATATTATATGTATATATAAATAAAATACAGTCATGGTCAAAATTATCCGAATGATTTAAATGAATCCATGTCACAAATCAATTCATCACTTGAACACACAAATGGAAAGTGTAGAATAGTCGATAAAGTATAATCTCTTGAATGCATTCATTGATTTTTATATTGAATATTGATTTTTTATAAAAACTATCTATCTATTATATATAAAATTAAGAATTATCATTGTTCGTACTTCTCATTTAAACTTAAAAAATTTATATAAAAACTTTTTTTACATAAAAAATAATACTTACATCTGAAAGACTACACTATTGAGAATTGTAATGGTTATTTGATACAAACTCTGTGATGATTTCGAATCGTTTAATGTTTAAAATAAATACAAAAGTTTTACTTTGATAATAAATTATTCAACCCAAAAATACAAAAAAAAAAAAAAAATAAAAATTAGTATTGATATCGAAAACAAAACGTTCGGTTACTTGTGACCATTTGCTGTAAATAAATGATTATAACTAAGAGACTTATCGAACGAGGCAAATCACTAGAGTATAATTGAACAATTTTTTACTCGCAATCGACTGCGAGCTTAACGTATGTTGGGCATAATACAAAATATAAAAATCGACCTGTCACATGTATACATGAATCATATGAATCGACAACGCAAAGTGAGATACTGCCATGGACATGCTGCATATGTATTTGTATAAATGTTTTCCTGACCTGACAGTTACTCTTTACTTTCCATGGAGGATTTTCATAGTAAGTAATACGTACCTATTACAAATAATTAATAAATGTTTTTTTTTTTTCATAAAAAGATCATTAATTTAGGGATTAATACACAGTAAGAAATCTTCGTTAACAATGTGGATTACAAAAATTTAAAATTTAAGTTGGAAAAATATTTATAAATCAAATATTGAATAAAATATTTTAAATAGTATAACAGTTTCGAGATACAAATGTAATACATTTCATTAAAAATATACCCCAGATATAATATAGGTTTTCTATATAATAATTGTTACATATTTGATTAAGAAAATTTTTAAACTGAGAATAAATATTGAAATAAAGTGATAATTATTTAGTTATTAGTATGATATTCTTACAAATGTATTTACTTTTATAAAAAAAAAAAAAAAATTACTGTAAAAGTTTAAATCATTTTTGATTTAATGCAGTTACTTTAATCGAAATTTCTAAGAGCCAATGAAAGTAAAATTTGATAATGTAATGGATCTAATGATATCATTCACTTGAACTTCTTAATTAATGAATTTCTTAATTAATTCTGTTACCAAGTCATTAAGCGTTATCCGTTTGTTTTAAATATACTATATGTATTGAAGTTATTAATAAATTTTTTACTGTGTATTATATATATAAACAAAAAATTCGCACAAAAGGTATTAAGCAAAAGCCGAATATAAATATTAAATAAAATGTCGTTGTAGTTTGAACAAATAAATAAAAAAATTGTAATGAATGAGAGAGAGGGAGAGTGTCTTTGTGTATGAAGTACGATGATAAAATTTATTAAGAGTCGCAACGACAAAAATTAATTGTACATTGTAAGCTCGTAGCAAGTGATATAAAATTGTAAATGAATGTTCTAAATGTAAAACTCATGGGAAAAGGAGTGGAGTATCAGATTAATTTAAAAGTTGAAGTAAATAACGGTGGAGTAGCATCAGAAAATATAAAGTTAGAAGCAAAGAAAAAAAAAAACATGCGAGAGGAAATAATATTAAAAACTATGTGAGTTGAAGGAATTACACAAAATCGATTGCTTCCGTACTGAATAACATTCTAATTATACGTGCCAAACAAAGCTTTAAAGAGAAAAATATTGATGTAACGAATTTGAGATGCGTAAAATTAAAAAAATGCTTTAGGAATTTCCAGTTTGAATATTAAAGACAATTTGTTGTCGACGATTGTAGATCGAAAGGTTGTGCGATTATTGATAATTAATAGTCATTTGTGGATCGAAAATAGCCAAAAAAAATACATATAAATCAACATGCATACGAATACAAACACAACTTATAAATTCAATACGAGCTATAAAAACTCGAAAAATTGTTTTGTAAATTTAAAAAAAAAAAAAAAAATACTACAGGCGCACCTGACAGCAAATTTTTTGCGCTCAAATTATTTTCATGATCAACAGCCCTGTTTTCAAGTGTCTTACGGCTACATTTTGTGGATGTACAAATAAAGCAACTAAAATAACATAATTAGAAGAATAAACTTCGAGTCTTTTTTTTTGTTATGTTGAATCATTTTATAAATATTTTCAAAACTTGTCAGACTTTCAATCATCTATGAAAAATGTTAAATATTGATTTCATTGATTGCACATCTAGATATTCTATACATCCACATTAACGATGCCCAAAGAGTTGGACACGTGGGTGCAATTGTATATCGTGAGCGTTGCATGTTCGTGTACAGCTATACCGAGCTCACAATCATGATTAAATAACTAAACAAGTTTAAAGCATACTTATGAGTAAATACCATTTACTATGAAATCTTTTATAAGTTTTCACCAGTATTTATTTCTTAATATTAAATATTTATAATTGCTGAATTAAATTTATTTATTTTTTCTATTATATAACAAATGTAATGATAAAGATTAAAGTTTAAATAATTCTATTAATAAATAAAAAGTTTTGTTTTTTAAAAATTAATTTTTTAATAAATTTTGACTGATTAATTTAAATCTGTTAATAGTTACCAATTAATTAATTAATTATTTAATCAAAATTTATAATTTTTTGACCAACGTTTCAAAAATACTCATAAATATACAAAAACAAATTATACACACACACACATTCATTCAAAAGAAAAGAATTCAAATAATATTAATAAATAAAAAAAATATATAATAAATAAATATAACATTAATAATAAAATTAATAAAAAAAAGGGTATTCGTAATGACGAAACGTTCCCGATAGTTTTTACCTGTCTGCGCTTATCTCAAATACGGGAGATGTACTTTTTTTAAACGTAGTATTAATATAAAGACATATGTATATTGTAAACACCGATGTACTCATTCTATGTTTATATACGTGTTTTATATTAATAAAAAATTAAAAATTCAGGGAGCGGTAAAAAAAGGTAATCTCTAGTGAAAAACGTATGATTATGATGTAAAAGAAGGGTAATGATATGTTGAAGAAAATTGAGGAGAAGAATAAATACAAAGGTCAACACGCCCCATTTATACACAAATGTATATGACATTTAAAAAATGAAATGTAATTACGCATAGAGCAACGACAGGTATTATGTATAGATAAATTTATTTGTCGCCGCAAGGTGTAAAATTGGAGAAATGCATAGAATACTATGAATAGTGATTGTCACTTTTAAATGAAAACATAACAGAAGACTTAAAAAGAAGATTATTAATGAAAAGTAAAGATGAAAACTGGCTACAGAACATACTCTTGAGCTTGTAATTTGTCAAGTACCATAACTTGGAATATTGTGTGACTTAAATATTGTAATTACAAAAAGAAACTTTTTGTGAGACTCGACTCAATTATTGAAAAATTTAATAAATAACAGGATACTGTTTTTTTTACTCTGTTGTAATTAATGCAGTCTACACGAAGATGATGATAATAAAAGCTATTTGACGAGTCATTTTGTTATATTATGATCTCAATTCAACAGTAAATACTTAATATTTCATTAATATTTATGTGAATAAATTTATTGACATGTTTCAATAATAAGTCATCAGTTATAAGGCACAATCTTTTATTTCGAACAGACAGTACAATTGATAGTATTGTCACGAACGAAATTCTACTTAATCTAAATACTTCATTAGCTAAATCTATACATTTATCGTCAAAAATATCCAATTTAAATTTTATTTAAATACTTAAATAATATTGATTTACTTCTTCTTGAAATATTTCTCTTTTCATCAATATTCTAATTTTATAACTATCCATAAGTTTTATAATATTGTTTGGTATCAAATGGAAGATTTTGTATTTTTAAACATTTTTATATATGTCTACCAATTATAAAATCTAATATTTACGTCTTTATCACTTTTGTAAAAAAATATTCAACTCTAAATTTTTTTAAAAATTTAACAGTCATTTTAAAAATATAATTTTAAATTGCATACATGATAATTTAAAGCCTCATGAAATACAATAAATCAGTTTGAAGATTTCTCCGTAAATTATTGCCACTATTTGTTTGATACATTAATTTTTTAACATACCAACAGTATAATAATTCTTATGTTTATTTCATTTTTTCTTTCATATTTAACTAATTTTCAACATCAGTTCCATTGGGAAAAAAACAAACAAAATAAAGCTGTCTACATAATTATTTTTGATCAATACTGTATAACGGTAATACGACATATCACTTATCTTCATATTCTTTACTGGCATCAGTTTGATTTTTTCTTCGTGGAAGATGCAACGTAATTTGCAAATTTTCTTTACTATCTTGTCTATGTTCTAAATCTTTTCGAACCATAATTTTCGAACTTGGTACGTGTTGCTCATGAGGCCAGTCAAAGTTAAATACGGGTACCTCAGAGTGCAAATCCGCTGAATCTGGTGTGTCTACAGGAGTTGTAGGAGTTGTAATATATGGACTGAGATCTTGTTGAACTACATCTGGAACTCTTTGAAGTGCGTCTGACCATACGGGACTGGAATTCCACTGTTCAACGGTTTCATTGGTGTCAATCATCATGATTCCATTAGTTTTTGTAGATCTCTTGTGACCAGAACTTCTTTCAGCACACGATTCTGCATAAGTTGCATCTAAATCCGTGTACTTGGATGATTCTCCAGATGATGTTGATGAATACTGTCGGCCATGAAGATAATGAACTGCTAGTTTTCCTCGATATCCACAAAATTTACTCATAATTCTTGAGTGAGGTTGATGTTGTTGAGGATGATGATGAAGGTGCGGGTGATGGTGATGGTAATGCTGATGATGTTGATCAGAAATTTCTTGTTTTGGAAATTCCAATGAATGAGATAGTTGATATAAAGTTCTAGTTTCATGTTCAGCACTATTTATTGACATATCGACAGGTTCTATATCTTCTTGGTTTGTAGATTCAACTTTAGTAAGTACAGTTGAAGCACTAGGCACTGGTGGATATTCAGAGTCCAATCTATTTCGATGGGGATCATCTAAACTATAGGAACTTAGTGACGATTCTGATGGATGAAGAGATTGCATTAACGCTGGTGGACGGTTGTACTGATCATGGTAAGGTATTGGATGAGAAGACTGATTTGAGGATGCACAAATGCCATAAGTAAACTTGGATTGTGAAGAATACTGGTATAACCATGAGCTTGAACGCATTACCTCAGCTTCCTTATCACTGGAATAAAAAGCTTATAAGACTTGGAAGATTTAGTAAAACTAATATTTAACTTATTCCAGTTTAAATGACTTCTAGTAAGTTAAATCTCTTTGTCAAAATTATGCCAAGACTATAGTTGCTTATAATAAATAAATAGATATCCGAGAATAATTAACAGTATGCTCTTTCAGTGAAAAATATTTTAATGTAAACTTTCTTCAATCTTTAGAAAGTAAAATTAGTTTTCAAGTGTACTAGGAGTTGAAAATTATGTACTTTGCAACTCAGTAAAATATAATAAGAATGAGATAGAATAAAAAAGCTACGACAAACAGCTGAGAGATCATTCCTTTGACTCTTTAAGAGGGCACTTAAAAAAGTGATGATTTATTCTTTAACTATAAGATTTCATTAGAAAAAAAAATTTGCTTTGTAAACGAAAAAGATTTACTCACTAAAAAAAGTTTTAATTTCAAGTAGAATTCATTTTTTAATATGGAAATATTAAATATTGAATAAATAATCAGGCTCAAATATTTAATTTTTCAAAAGTAGAATAATGATTGGAAAATACAACGTGAACAAAAAATAAATTATAACTTCCGTTTAGTAAGTGAATAAAAATAAACCATAAATATCTACTTAATATTCTAAACAATAATGAACGTATAAAATAACTTTCAACCAACACTTTATGGAAGTTTAGTAATATATGCTGAATATGTACTTTTCATAGAATAGAAAAAGAGAGAATTACCTCAACACTTGGTTTGTGCATACAATAATAGGATGCTGACATTCTTCAGAAGTTTCCTTTACTTGGAGAACACAGTGTATCCAAAACCATCGTCCTGAACGATTTTGAAGCCTTAATAACGCTGTACTAGTTCTTTCTTGATCCGACTGGATTACTAGATAAATCAACCAATATTAAAAATTACAAAATATATTTAAATTGCTTAATCTTGATCATTTACCTGTTTGATGCTTGCAGTAAGCTGTCCTTATGCAATCCCAGTGAAGGAGATTGTACCAAGAAACGCCAACTAGCTCTGATCTTGTATACTCCAAGTGACTCTCAGCCCTGTAAAAAATGAGCTAAGCTAAATTGATCCTACTTATCACGTTCTTAATCGATAATCATGCCTATTCATAACTGCCAGCAGTATTTAAAGGTAAAGAGTGCTTTAAATAAGGAGTTGTTAAAGTTATGTTATGCTGAAATGTTTATCAGAATGAGTTTTCATTTTTCTTGACACTTTATGATGCAAAATTTGTATTTTATTTCATGTTATATATTTTTCCATTTTACTCACGTCTTGTCTATATGAAGATACTTCATATCCATCGAGTGGATGGTTGTAAAGATATTTGTGGCACCTTGGACAACACTTTCACGAGTTTCTGGTAAAACTACTGGTGTACATGATGCAAGAAATACGTACTCGTTACGATTACACAATGGGACAAAAGGTAAATAATGACCTTCCACTAAAACGACCTATAAAAAAAAATATCATGTAATATAAACTTCATTAGGGTAGTTAAAATATAACTATGTCAATATTATGACAGATAAAATTTAATATTTGTATAAAATTATACATATAATTGTACAGTTAATAAAAACTGTAAGTCCTAAAGGGAATCATTTTTACGACAAGGGGAATTCAAGCTCCAATTTATTTTTATCAATATTTATTTTATCACTTCTTCTGATGTAACAGTTAGATTGAATTTTTTCTTGAAAACTTCTAACAGTAGTTAAAAAAATAAATAGACCAATTGAAAGTTTACTTTTTTTTTTGATACTTGAGGAAAATTTACTCTACTTTTTTGTAGATAAAATCTAATTGGCCGGATTTCGAGAGAATAGTGGAAAAAAGTTAAGTTGAGCCACGATAATTAACTAAAACTTGATCAATTTAATTATGTAATATCGCTTGTTAATCTCTAGCTTTCAAAATATTGATGTTAACAAAGTTATCCTCATTGATCAAGCTGTAATTATGTACTCTATTAAATGATCTTTATTGAATTATTCTAGATGAGTTTATAACTGTTAAAAATAACCACGAAACGTTGAGTTCTTGGCACAGATATTGATTTTCTATCAGATAGATTTTATCGCTCATATTATTCGAAATTTTTTAGAAATATATATTTGTTGTTCTTTATACTAATACATTGAGCTCTTTAAATCGAACTCAATATCACTAGTTGAAAAAAGAAACTACTAAAAGTAAACAGATATTTTCCTCTTTTACTCTATTCTTTATCATTTATGTACACATTTTTTATGTTACTGGTTTATATTTTTTAAAGCTAAATTCCTTTTTTAAGAAAAATTATTTTCAATATGAAAATTTGACTAAAAGTATTTAATGAATATTAAAAATTTATAATAATAAAGAAAATAGTATACCTTTTGATCTCCAAACCGAAGCTGTCGACGTGAATTTCTTGAAACATTTATACGACAAAGAAATAATCTTCTATCATTATTAGACATTGGTCCACTTCTTGCTAGTTGATTTTGCACAACCATATGATCCTGTTTGTCTATAACATCATAAACGCTATCTCCATGAATCAGCAAATCTTCCATTGAGTGTCCCAGGTACTCTGCAGCATTTTCCGATATGTACAGCAACTTCCCTTGCTGGGTCATCATCATGATGAAACCAGACATGGCCTAGAATATATTGTAATAATGTATAACATTATTTTTTTGATAAACATAACTTACATAGCAAGTAGATAAGCATATAATAAAATAGTTTATTACTTTTGAAAATCCAATATTTGGCGTTGGAATGTTCGACTCGGATGGACTGCTTTTCAAGGCTGCAATATATAAATACATAAACTAATCATAAATACTTGAACAGCTCATGAACCTTATCTTAAAGTTTTATCTATACAGAGGACAATTGAATTAAAAAAAAAAAAAGAAAGGTTTAACAACGGAATTTCTTGAACCGTCGAATCGAACGGTTTTCATGTAGAGATAAAACGACAGATTTTTAGGAAGAATGCTAAAAAGGGGATGTGTAAAAGTAGAGGAATCGCATATAAGTTGATGTGTTGTTGTGGTTACAGGGTTTCTTTTGCCGTGCATATCCATGTACAAGAAGGAACCACGGGCACTTGGTACTAGGTGTATCTTTTGCACAGGAGTATAACCGAACAGAGTGGAATAGAGGAGTAGAAATACAAGCAAAGGCGAATGAGGGATAAAGAGAGAGGACAACGAGTAGGGGGGAGCGTCCCTGTAGGGGGAGTATGGGTTACAGGAGCGTGAGAGTGTTGTTGCAGAGGCCGAGAGGTCAGCGGATCACCCGGAACTCGCGCTTAGACTTATACTCTGGTGGAGAATCAAGCCAACGGCGTTCTCTCCCTTCGACTTCTATTCCTTCCTACTTATTCTTTCCTCTATTATATAGTCAAGCTCCTTAAAGCTATTCCTTTCGTTCAAAACATTCTCTCAAAAATGCATCATAACGTTTGACTATTATTGTGAACTTTCCAATTCTCAGTGAACCTACGACTGATGATAATAAAACGTTAGTTTTACTGTAGGTTAATTGTAATATAAGATTTCAATATTTTTATCAATAGATATATAAATATATCATGACCATGCAGTTTTGTACTCATCAAAAATATAATTTATTGAATGCATTTATACTTTTCATTTCATTTTAAACATTTTCATCACTTTTCATATCATTTCTCTTTCTTCTATTCATATGAAAATTATCAAGTATTCATCTGACCCTATTTTTATCAGAATTTCGATAAAAATGTCAACTGTTATCATTTTAAGTACACTCACAATTTCATTATTGAACCACTGTGTTGTTAACTACTCTAATTCGACTCATAATCATAAAGATGGTAATAAATAAATCTAAAAGGCTCCATAGCATACATTTCACTTGCTAGGAGCAATGAAAATGGCATAAACAGGTAGTTTGGCTGATAGCTATAAATAAATTTTCTAATACTTGCTAAAGAACACGGTAATTTATCAGAAGTCTAATGTGATTTCTTAAGAAATTAGACTTTTCATTTGAATCAAAAGCAAGAGAATAATAAGAAGAGTAAAAGAGATGAAGAGAAGAAGATGGAAGAGAAGGAGGAGCAGGAGAAAAGCTAGCTGCTGGCAAGGGGGTCGAGCACCGCAGAGACGCGACCGCGACCGTTGCCGGGAGGTCCCGGGTTCGAATCTTGGAAAGACGTTCTCGTGGAATGTCGGTATAATTTCAAAGTAGTAACGCCGCCGCGACTCTGTACCCCTTTAGTATATCAACTAAACAGTAAGATATTATGCACTCTTTATCTCGACAGGATGCTAAACTTCATTTAAATTTCCACTAATACTTTAGCACAAGTTTACTGCAATAATCCTTCAAGTACTTGTTTGCCCTTATTATTATTCAACTCCACTTGTTGTATTTACTTATAATGACACTTGAAAAATGTATCTTTGTTTAAATAAAATCTCGAATCCAGACGAAGGATTCTTACCTTGCTGGAAATAGTTTGCTTTTCGTAAAAAGACACAAACGAGGGCCATGAGTTGTAGCTGCGAGAGTCTCTGTCGTGTTGACGGTGGCAGCGGTAATAGATCACGTAAATTTGCTATTTCCGCGTTTATCAGGTCCCTTCGTAATTTGCTCGCACCTTTCGTTGATTTGCTCGAATCTATCCTTCAAGAAGACAGTTCTTATGTCACTTAGTTCCAATTGAAAATAATTACTAAGCTAAGGCAATTGTTGTGATTAGTAATTTACTATAACCACTTACCGATTGAACATATTTTTCTGGCCAAAAGGATGACATTAGTGTTTGATGATGATAGATCGACGTCGAGTGGGACATCCGGGTCGGCAGGTACTCACGAAACTGCAGTTGCAATCTAACATCCGGGTCATAACGCGCTACTACACTGAACACGTGGATACTGGTAAAGGCACGTTCTCTCCTGCCTTTACTCTGTCCGTTGCTCCCACCAACGAAGCGATTTTCGTACCCGGTAAGTGCAACTCGTGGTGGTGGTGCCGAGGCGCCCGCCAAGAAGTCCTCTTCTTCTACTCTTAACTCTCTCACTTACTTCTCATATTTACAGCGTCATACAACCGTACGTTTAAGATGTTTTCGTTGTTTCATGTTACCTGTTAAATTGATTATTTAAATGTTGAAGCTGTAATCATTGTTAACGTTTTATTAGTTAACAATTTATTATCACCTAAAGTGTTGACTTGATTGTCTGAAATGTTATCCATCTCGCCTTTTCCTTTCTGAATGTCGTTTGCTCCCTCAACACTCCTCTACTAGCTTGCAATATTGTATTGTATCCTCTCAACTTCAAGCTTCTCTTGCTCAACTCTCTTTCTCTTTCTGTCCTCTGGTATTCTCCAGTGAAGTGCGGGTGGATATCGTGATATGTGTATGTGTGTATACATAAATGCATATACACCAGACGCCAGGTAGTTTACTCTTCGTACTGACCCACTCACTTTTATAAGATTCGTTCTCTTCGATAGCCTTCGCTATCGCTACCCGCTCGCTTCGGTCAATCAGAGATTTACTCTTAATGTTGAAAACTATTAACTATTTCTTCTATACAGCTTTTCTCCAATTTTTCATTCAGCATATCACGATTCATCATACTTCATTGTTTTTCTTCAGTACCACAAACTTTAAATTTAAAAGAAATCTCAATTTGAGATGATTCATTTTTCTGTATTGTATTCACTGAAACAGTAAACCATTTTATTATTCTTTACCATGATTCAGAAAATCACTACTGAAAAGCTGCGAGTTCACTGATTAATCAGTTAAAATAAGTCGGTCGCGCCAATAAATTAGCTCATACATTTTTACTGCGAAATCAGTGGACGATATTGCACACTAGTGATTGAGAGAGTTTAACGTTTTGATTTTCCCCCAGTGTCTTCTGAAAGATGAATTTTAATTTAAACTATTGAAATGGACATGATGTCAGTAATGTCATTAATTGGATCATACTTAATTAACAAGTGCCAATTTAAAACATTCATGATCTACAATAGATCCAATACAATCCAACCTTTTGAGGTTATTTTGTAAACATGAACGTTATTCTTGATAATGATTATGAGAACATTATTGTTCATTGATTGAAATGGAAAAGATTATATTTTTCATACAAAGTTGTCACCTGATCAATTTATTGTACTTTAAGCTCACATTAATTTAGAATAATATATATTCAAAAAAATTGGAATTACCGCTAATCGATGTGGTGACCAATCAGAATTTGAATAAAAAGCCAACAGATATGACGCATTAATGACATCATTGGATTAGAAATGTTTTTAAAAGTGATAATGATGAATAATTATTTAGAATTAGAGCTCCAGAGAAAAATTGCTCCAAAAATTTTTTATGCATTTAGAGTTATTTTGGGGGTTAGGTAGGAATAGAGTTAATTAGATATTCTAAAATGAAAGAGACATTTTTTATAATTTTCGCGTTTTATACATTTAAATGCATAAAAAATTGTGGAGTAATTTCTGTCTGGAGCTCCAATTCCAAATAATTAGTTATTCTTCTTTGTATCATATCATAACTTGAGTCTTACTCATAGTAAAATTAAAATAAGAATTTGGAGGAATAAATTTTTTTATCACACGTGTGGGGAAACTACTACTATTCCGCACGGGTTGACGGGTGGAAACTCTCTGATTGTCTACTATAAAGATTGCTAGCTATAATATACTGATAATTATCACAAACTCACTCCAGATTTAGATAACAACCATCATCAACAAAATGTAGACACAAAAAGATATAACATCAAGTTTTTCTTTTATAAATTTCCTCCAAAAAAATAGTAAACCATGTTAGAGTGTGGTATTGAGCTGGAAATGAGAAAATTTTATCCTTTCATAACGTATTATTAATGGTAGGGGAAAAAAGGGGGAATAATTGATTGTTAAAAGAGTGATTTGTCAGTTTATGTTAATGAATAATTATGATAAAAGAACTTAACAGATTGAAATCAAAAGTAGTGGAATTGTTATAAATCGAAGAGAAACATTATATTTTGAAAAAATAAACATAATAAATATTCTAGAAATAATATATTATACAATACATTTATAATAGAATATTCTATTTACCTTGTTCTGTAAAGATTACTCCATTTGACTTCAAAAATCTAATCGGATTTGAATAACTCGCCATTGAAAACCAGAAGAGGAACTATTTGCTGAAGCGTATTTATTTCTCATGGATGCATCGGTTTCATGCGCAGAACAAAGATCGAATCGGTCGGTACAGCTGAGAGTGGAGGTATAATGGTTTAGAGAATCTCCAAATCATGTGTTACTTGAAAATAAATTTATTATGATTTACGATTAATCTTTATCTGATTAATTATTTAATTTAAATTAAATAGTTACGTACAAGAGTGCCTGTGTAATATAATAGCGATCATATGGTATTTTCGCTTGAACTGGTAGTTTAGAACACGCAGAAGTGAAGAAACCTCTAAAATTTCATCTCTGTGCAGAATTTATACAAATTTTATTAATTAAAATAATTATATTGAAAGTAGATTAAAATCTAAAATTACTTAATTTATACAAAAAAAGATTAATCTTGCTAGCAGAACAATTGAATATGTTTATTTGTTTAAAGTTTTCGAATAAAAAATTTGAACATAAAAGTTGTTCTTAAGTTATTATATGTATTAATTATAATTATTTCTTTAGGATTGATACTTGTTAAGTTTTATTCAACAGTTGTTTTTCAAAATCCTGTCATTGGCAAACATGTAGTCATCAAAAGTTAACAAAATTCATAAAAAATCCACATCATTTACTCACCCCCATTTTTTAAACCTTCATAAACTGATACTTAATATAAAATTGAAAGACTTTTTCTACTTTACTGGTTGTTTAGGAGGCAAATAATAATTGTGAATTTATGTTATTTTTATAAACAAAAATTTTAAATCTAGGTTATGAAATGGACCTAAAATTGGAGTAGAAACCGCAACTATGTTTGGAGTTAATAGGTTTCTTCCAATATCAGAGTTTAAATTATTAATCTCTTCTATCATAAATGTAAATAAAACCAATGCATTTTGATATAAAAATAATAAATAAATGCATCCAGAAAAAAAATTACAATCAGCTAAATCAACAAGTTTGCTAGTATCACACTTTCTCAAATCTGCAACATTCTCAAAAACTATAACAGTATCACAACCAGAAATAAGTCATCATGAATTATTTGCTATCATTGATTATAAATGAAAAGAAATTGATATATTTAATTATTAAAATTAAATAAATTTTGATCTAACTATATAGATTGAAAATATCATGGATCTTTATCGGATATCACAAGAAATTAGCTCATTGATGGAATGTCTACTCTTCTAAAAACGATTTTGCCTCAAAAAAAAATACAATTTATAAAAATACCTTGTTTTTATTCACGCATTAAATAGAAATAATTGTATTTTAACACCAACCCTATAATTATTCTATGTTTTATTTGTTAAAATTTGAAAAAGAGCAATTAAGATCAATTACTCTACTCAAGTTTAACATTTTTTTGCTTTATTAAGGTCGTAAAAATGAACATCTTGACATCAATTTTTTTTAATTTATACTTGGACAATGAATTAAAAAATTAAACAACTTTATTTTGAATATTTTGCAAATTATATCGTTACATATGGTATCTATTTTATTAGCTTTTGCGAAAATTGTAGGAATATTTGTTGAGTTACAGTCGATAATAAAGTTAAAGAAATACTTCTATGACTGCCCGCTCATGCGCAGACGTAATTTTTGTCTTTTTCATTCACAATGGCGGTGAGTGTACGTAAATTTTCTGAGAACTTTTATAAAATCGATTTATTATATATTAATCTGTGAACAAATGTTATCAAATATAATTAATTATGAAAAACAAAATTATAATCTTTAATATTTTAATAATAGTTATGGAATATTGTTGACAAAATACATTTTAAAAGTGCAATGACAGGTGTATAAGGTTATCTGCTCATGTTTTCGTCAACACGTATTCTGATCATGCTTTTTATTGCAATAGCTTAATAGATTTATTTTTTATCTACGATAAATAGTAGAACTTTAATATAAATAATTCAATACAACTTAATTTTTGTTCAGGATGCCGAGAAGTCATGGAAGAAACAAAGAAACACGAAAAAGGAGCCTAAAGATGCGTCAAAGAACGTAATGCGGGAGGTTAGAATCCGCAAATTATGTTTAAACATTTGTGTTGGAGAATCTGGTGACAGATTAACTCGTGCTGCTAAGGTGTTGGAGCAGTTAACTGGGCAACAACCAGTTTTTTCAAAAGCCAGATATACTGTTCGTTCCTTCGGCATCCGTAGAAATGAAAAGATTGCAGTACATTGCACCGTACGAGGTGCCAAAGCTGAAGAAATTCTTGAACGAGGCCTTAAGGTATGATTATTTATGAAGAAATTATTGTTGTTACTAAATACACACTCATGATCATAATTAATTTGAATATTTTTGTAGGTTCGAGAATATGAATTAAGGAAAGAAAATTTTTCTGGCACGGGAAACTTTGGCTTTGGAATTCAAGAACACATTGACTTGGGTATTAAGTACGACCCAAGTATTGGTATTTATGGTCTGGACTTCTACGTTGTTCTTGGACGACCTGGTAAGTTTAAATAATTAACGTTTTAATAACAAACTTATGCAGTTACAAAATATTTTTAGTCATTATTGCACATCTCTGGTATCGTAGATTTTTGTGGTTTAAACATTGTCTACATTTGTTATTTTATAACATGTGCTAAACTAAAAGCTGCATATTTGCAACACATGCTCACTAATTTTACTGAGGGTGTTATTTAATGTAGCGATAGTTATTTTAATTATTTCTTTCAATTATATAAAGATTTAAAATTGTAAGAACATGATCTATTTCTAACAATATATGTTTCGGTTTTTAAATTGAAATTATTTGATTTTACTTATTAAATATTAGAGTTACGATTAATTGGTAATTTTTTTATTTAACAGGCTTCAACGTAGCTCATAGGCGGCGAAAAACGGGGAAAGTTGGCTTCCCCCACAGATTGACAAAAGAAGACGCGATGAAATGGTTCCAACAGAAATATGATGGAATTATTCTTACAGGAAAGAAGTAATTTACATTTGTATATTACAAAATTTAATAAATAATAAAAATAAAAACCAAAAAATTTGCGAAGATGTTTTTTATTTTTTTATGTTGATAAAGAAACAAAATCACCCGTTGAGAATAATTCATGTACTGTTATGAGGGCTATTTTTTTATTAATAACATTATTAATATAAGTAAATAAAAGAGAAAATTATTAAATGAAATAGAATAGGAAGTAAAAAAGAAAACGAAAGGAATACTACCAAGGTAGAAAATAGGGCAGAAAGCACTAAGTTAAAAAACGAGAATGATATAAAGAAATACTTTAGGAAAGAGAGTGATCGAGAGTTATAATTACGAAATAAAACAATACAAATAAGAGAAAGAGAAAAAATACCCAGGTTTAGTCAATAAGGGTGATTCGGTCATACTGTTTAATAAAATAAAGTTTATGTTAGTTAATTAATTTTTATAAACGAATCAATTAAAAGTTTATGCCTCAGCAGGAGAGATGACGAACAATTTTTATGGACGCTACTAAATATGTTATACACGTTGTTTTATTTTGGTTCATAATTGTTTATTTATTATATGATATAAATAAATTGTTTTATTATTCAATTACTCTCTTCTCATCAAAGTAGAACTTCAATTCTTTTGTCGTTCTTTTTTTTATTGTAACATAATCAAGTAAATCCTAAGCAAACCCAAGAGCTAGTAAGTATAGGGCGAGGATTTTTATAGAAAAATCTTCTTTTTACAACACATGAAATGAAGGACAATGAATTAATTATTTCATACTTGATATTGAAGGCAAAATATTTTTTTTCATTATCAGTCTCAATCAACATCCTTTTATCCCCCAATAGGATATACTATCCAATAAAATCTACATAATCTTATGAAACTTTCATTGTAAATATATGTTTTATTATGTTTGACATAAATTAAATTTATTCATATGTATATATGTATATATTAGTGTTGCAATTGTGAGCAAACACAGCCGTGAAATTATTTTATAAATTAACAATTAGCAAATTTCTCAAATACTAGATTGCAATAGTCCATTATAAATATTGAAAATTTAAGGAATATATTGCAAATATCTATTCAAAAATGCTTAAACTCTCATTATTCTCAATATTAAACGTAAAGTATGTACAATTGTTGATCAAAATTAGCAAAAACAATTTGACTAATTAAAAACTATTTAATATAATTTATTGGATCTTTTGATAGATTTAAAAAAAATCTAATATATATTCAAAAGTCAATTCTAATTGTGTCGTTTAATTTTGTTTCAGTATTTTCTAATTAATTTTTTATTCTATAAGAGATAAAATATCTAAAGAGCTCTGTCAAATAATTTTGACCATAATTATAATTTTCCCCCTACATACTGTCCATTAAATATGCAGCTAATCAATAGCTGAGTTGACCTTACTAACTATTTACATACGGTGTTGATTCTCTTCAAATTAACTTAATAATTTCTACACAAAAAAAAAGGTACATTTTCATTTGTAACCAAAAAATGATTGAAAAAAAAATCTCTGAACTAACAAAATAAAAATATAGTATATAAAGTGGAAGGTGTTAGATAGAAATAAGTGTAATTTAGTGTATATTGTGCATATTAAACGTGCGATGTATTTGTGTAAATAGTGTAAAATTTGTCAGTTCATTGATAAATTAATTTTAGAAAAAATAATAATTATATCAAGAAGAGACTCAGCACCGATGATCCTCGTTGGTGTGTTAATAGCGTCAGTATGCTCATCTTTAATATTATCATCACAGTATCATTTTACTTTAAAATTACTTTCGACTTGACCCATAAATCCGGTCAATGTTGAGCTTTTCATTGTCTGTGAACCCAAGTATGCTTTCGATTGCATTTAAGTGGCCGTGATGATTTTCTTTATCAGTTAAGAAATAATATATAGCAGATTTGAGGAACTGTAAAGTTATTTCTGGATCAATTGCTGCATTGTTACGTGACTCCACTATTCTCCTATACATCGCCTAAAAAAGAATAATAAATTGTTATTTTTTATTCATAGTATAGATTATGATCAGAAATAATATTTCTAAAAAATAATTTCAAACTTTTCAACTACAAATTGAATAATTGTTTCAATGTAACAATCACTACACATTAACAATAGCAATAAAAAAAAACATATAAAGCTTAGGTACTAAAACATTGGGATATAAAAAAATAATAGAGGCTGTTTTCTTTGGCAAAAGAATTCAAATTTCATGCTTAAAACGTTAGATAAACACAGAAGAATATTTATTTCAATAAAAAGAAAGAATAAACGACAAAACAATCATGCGACGGTCTTAAAACATATAAAGTTCAAAATTTTTAAAATAATGTATTAAAACGACATATACGAGCTTTTAGAATAATCATATTAACGTAAAAATAATCTCTAAAATAATTCATAATACACAATTTTGATTGAAAAAAAAAATTTCAAAACTTTAAAATAAAATTAATGTTAATTTTTCTACTGTGTATATCAAGACGGAATATGCAACGTAACATCGAATAGAAGATAATGATGAAATGATGTCGAAATATATGGAAATAAGAATTCACGTAAGGCATTGGATTCGCGCATACACAATACAGACCTTCCGTGTAGCAAGAACCCAAAGAGAAACAGCCTCTTGAGCACTTAATAAACATTGGCTACGATCGGCTGAAATGTGAAGTTGTGGCAAGTAACTTGCACCCTGGAATGTAAGCCGCGACAAAAAGTGGTACATTGTTAGTAAAGAAACGCTTGTGTTAATTTTTGAGTTAGGTACACTCAGCGTTGAATTAATGACAAAGGAATTTTTAAATTAACCATCTAAAAGTACAATCAAGACTAGATCAACAACACTGGGGATCCTATTTTTAAATATATACACCGTTATTTACCATATCGTTGCAAGCTATACCGATTTTCGCTTATAATTACATTATTATTAATTTTGAATATAAAGCTTTATAGACCACCGAAATATTCTGAATAGCTTTGTATACCTTAACGTTCTCCAATTCAGCTTGTGTGACACTTAATTGTTGCAATAACTCGGTTACTGAGACTTTCGGTGTTATTTCCTGAGCTTGTTCTAAAATCTGCAAATAAAAGTAAATTTCAAAAAATTGTTAGTTAAAAATAAAGAGTAGAAATAATTCAAATAGCTTAAAGAAACTTTTAAAATTCGATTATACATACTGGATCACTTTTTTCAAGCCTCGCAGCTTCTTGACCCTTCGCATACATTTTCAGGTACATTTGCTTATTCCTCTCTTCCTGTTCGTCAAACAAAACCTTTTGTTCATCAAGTTGTACTTTCTTCCGTTCAAGCTCAGCCTCCAACTCTCTAACTTTTGCTTCTGCAGCATCCAAGGACGGACGTAATTCACAGAAACGAGTATTTAACTCGGAAAATTGGCTTAGTAGACTCTCCATCTAATTTAGAAATCAACATTATTATTTAACAGTCTACAGTAGTGCTTTTAAATTAAAATTACTCTCAAAATGATGAATTAACTAAGTGAACTATTTTTAATATTAAATTAATAATATAAACCTTGTCATTATGTTTTTGTTTCAACTCCTGTATTTCATCAATATGTCTTCGATGCATTTCTTCAATTTGACTTTCATAATGATCAATAATTTTTTGCCTAGCATCGTCCGATAAAACATTAACAAAAGTATTCTCATTTTCTTTCTTCGGAGTAATTGAACTATCAACAACCGTTACTTCAGTGGAATCTTTCAAAGTAATCGACTCATCTTCAAAGTGTCCAGAATCTGCTAATGATACAGGAAATTCACTAAATTCATTAGTGTTATTTGGACGTTTTTCAGGAGTTTTTGGGCTAGAAGCTTCATTTTCTTCTGGAAGATCTTTACAAGGTGATTCAGGTGAGAAAGGATTATTTTCTCGGACGGTTAAAGCATCACTACTGTCTGTTCTATCATCTGGACTATTTAGTGAAGCTTTATAAAGCCTCAATTCTACTACTTCCTTAGTCAGTCTCAATATCTCCTGGTCTTTTTCTTCAATTTTTTCCCTGGCTATATTCAAAAGTGATTGAAATTTCCTAATTTGCCGTGCAGCCCGTTGAGTCGGTGTCAGATAATGTTCACTATCTCCATTATAATTGGAGCAATGAACAACATATTTACGAGATCGACCTGACCACGTGGTACCGTTACGGGCAAAGTGTGCGTGATCGCATGCACTTGCTGTACTACAAGCGCTACCATAACTCTTGACGCTGTCAACATCACTATCATCTGCTAATCCAAATTCCCCTGTGCCGCTTCCAGTCGCCGCGTGTCCTAAACGCGGCCTTGCTGGTGTCAGTGAGAGGCTCTAAAAATAGAAAAGTATTCAATTACTTGATGCATTATTTAATACATTTGATAGCTTAATAATATATAAATGGTTGTATGTGACAGAGTGTATTTTATAAGCTTCTTCAACAATACAGTTCAGTTTTTATTTTTATTCATAAAAATTTCAATATGTATAAATATTAAACTTTTAAATTATGTGCAGTAAATTTAAAAGCGTGATTTAATAAATTTTTAATATTGTATATGATATTAATAGTTTTTTAAAAATAGAAAATTTTTTATGCTGCGTGATAACCATGAAAAATTTTATGACTGTTATAAAAAATTATGTTTCCGTAAGAAATGAGTAAATATTAATTAAAGTCAAACACTTTCTGGTCATGATATGATCAATGATAAGGGCAGAATGATTAATGAATGAATGTTTTTAAAATAAGATAATTGAAATTTTTATCATTTATTAATCTATAAGCTCTAAAATAATGAAAAGTATGTGTGCTACACAATATCAAATAGCTAGAATTGAAATAGCTTATACCAATTAATCGATAACACTTGATAAATTAATAGTACAAATATATTTGTGTTATAGTTTGATCAAATGTTAAATATTATCAAATAAATACAAAAATTCCAACACTCGTATGCTTCACTTTTTGTGATCTCCTGAAACATACCCTTACATAACTGGTGTTTATTTGAAATGAATTAACACAAATAATTATAACACTTTTTTCAAATTGTTTTTCTTTGTATTTATATATTTATCTTTTTAAATCAACTCACCGAGGGGCAGCTACGAGAATTTCTACTTTCCTCAACATTTAGTCGACAAGAATTTGACATCTGGATGTTTACCAAGCGTAAAACAATATTCCATTAAGTTTTTGACTATTGAACTTTAAATAGACATTACCGTAAATTATTTTATAGCAATAAAAATTAGTATTATAATTCAAAAATTCATTATTAAATATTTAATTTAAACCAGCCTGTCCGGCAAGAAAAAAGTTTTCGTAAACACTGAAAAGACTCGGAAGTCTATGAGTACGATAGATCTGAAAACCTGGACAAATCTGCGCCGACGCGTATGTTATCAAAGGTCAGGCCATAGCTATAACCTCTTCAGCAGGAAGTACCTTGGAAAATTGGAGCAAATTGTGAGAGTGCGCGGGAGTAATCTTATAACTTCTTGAGAAAGGTTCTATGGTTATTAAAAATCGATTACTATATTTCCAACCTTTTGAATAAATCTTGATTACTTCCTCATAAATTACCTGCTAATTTTATCAACGATAAATCATGATATTAACTGGAGAACGATTAATTTACGTAATTGCAACAGGTACGCAAGACTAGGTTTCACTATCGATCGTTTTCTTTAGTCTTTGTTTATTTATTTAAATAATTAGCATGAATATATTTAAGAATATTTTGAATGTTAGAAAACTTACAAGAGATCGATGTCGAGGTGAATCCACACCATTCTCCGTGATTGCAGGAAATATATCCGGTTGTTGGTGGATATAATTGTTTCTGTGATGATGTTGATACGAGGAATTTAACCCAAGAGAACTTGTGCGTAAATGATGAGACACGCGTTCCCCTCGTACGCGCATGCTTGAAGAACGTCGCAAAGCTGTTGGGGATGGTCGGGGAATACGTGAATCTCCAACCGGGGAAGTAGTAGAATTCAAGGAGCTGTTTATTGTTTCACTTGGAGAAAGTGGTGATCCTCCATCGATAAACGAATTGCCATTTGATCTTGGTGAAGATGGTTGGTTTGATGGTGATGTCATTGGTGCTCTGGTTCCTGGTGATAGACCTTCACTAGGACTTGAGTGTAATGATTGTAAACTAAAATTTCTTTCATTTCTTTTGGACACCATTCTTTTTGTCAAGTACACAATATGATTTCTGAAACAAATGTGTTTGTTTGATCATTAAGTTCAATTATTGAGGTCATAAAATAATTACTTGAAAGAAAGAGAAAGAGAGATGGAATCATTTTATCAAGTAAAATCAGGTGATTGTGTAATTCAATATCTGTTGACTAGATCAGTTGTTAGGTTGCTTTAACATTTTTCAATTAATATCAAGAACCAGACAGCAGTTGGATCTAATATACTACTACATTGAATAAACTTATATCCGCATATTTTTTTCTATACATTTTAAATGTCAAAAGTTTTTTCAGTTTATTAGCATGATAAATTAATGTATTAAATAAATTACACTATAATATTACTCATTATACAACAACTTCACAAGCTGAAAGTATTATTATTTATGAGAGTTAAATTGATAAATGTGTAAAAAAGATATTTTTTTATCCTTTCATAATGTCAAATTTATACAACAAATTCTTTGTTGATGAAACGTCAATTGTTATTGTTCGAATGACCTAGGTCATTACTTTCCTTCTCTTCTTTCAACATTTTTTCACGAGTCTTGCATCACGCGAATATAAGTGAAAGTACATTCCAAATGTACTATAAGTTAAAGTTTACTTATGATAATCAGTCATTTTTTTTCTATTAGTACATGAATTGGATAGTAAATTGTTATAGAAAATATTTATTGATATCGAAATTTTAAAGCAGAGATAATTCAAGAAATTTATTTGATACCATCAATGTTTGCTCTATATTTAGTTTATTGACCACATGAACTAATATTAAATTGTTCATAATCAATATTTCTATTTTAAATAGATGCTAAAACACTTTTAAAAAAATTAAAAACAATTTATACAATTTTGTATAGATACAAGATAAAAATATCTTGTAGATTAATAAATACTTCATTTTATACAATCTTTAATCATAAGTTTTTAACTTGATATGAAGTATAAATAGTCAAAAAAATAATTGTATATTATGATTGATAATATAAAATTTCGGAGCAATGAACAATGAACATTAAAGATCGATTATTATTTACTGTTTAATGTAAGTTTAGTCAATAATCAAAGGTTGAAAAAAATTGAAAATAATGTCTCGCCATTAGTATTGGAGAATTGTTTGACAATACTTTGAATAATTTATAGACTGTCATATGATCCTAATTTCGGAGTAAAATATTCATTTACACTTTACATATGTCTCTATTTTTTGTCTGTCATTCTGATTATAACATTCCATGTAGAACACTTAAGCACACTTACCACTTGACGTCACGTAATTCAACACAAATTAACCGGCTTGATATATTTTTCAATTTATACTTAATACCACTTCATCATCAGTGAAATAACATTACGAACATATTATTACTTACTTTTATTTGCTAACAAATGTTGAAGTTTTGATTGAAGGGTTGTTTATTGATTTGGCAAATACATATTACAGGTTAATTCCGAAGGTTTCATCAAAGTTAAGACTATTGGACTAGAACGGTAGTCTAAAGACTGTCCAAGACAAGACACACCGCACGAATCTTTTGCAAACACATGGATTTATGACAATTGTACGCCACGACACATGACTTTGTCTTCAAGTGACGAAAGCGAAATTAACAAGCGATAAGCTTGTGATGTCAAATTGAAGTACTTTTTTTTCTTAGATGGCGCGCAAATAACCTTCAATTATGCCGGATTTTCATGAAAACTACTTGTCATGATTGAATTTTTAATTATCACTACCACAACTACAACGAAGTTTTTCCTTATTTTTCTTATTGACATTGAATTCATGCGGAATTTTTTGCGATAAAATCTGATTTTTGCAAATCGATTCTAGCGCCACACATAGTCGAGCTGGTACTAAACACGGTGAGCGACATTTAATCCTCATATCTAAGCTTCTATGTTTGGTGATATTTTTATTGTTGTTTGTCAGTGATAATATAAATAAATAAATTTATTTAAATATATTGACTGCAACTCTATTTAGTCATAAGTAAAATAACTTTAATTTAAAATAATTGATTACTTAAATTGTCCTAGCTCCAGATTTCATTAAACACTAAGGACCAAGCCACAAAGCAAGTACGTTGATTTTTATTTTGAGTTTAAAGTGAATATGAATAATGGATGATTAACAATTTTCTTCTTATATTTTAGAAAAATGGGAGAACGAAAAGGAACGAATTTATATTACCCTCCCGATTACGATCCTCGTGTCGGAGGGCTCAACAAATTTATGGGCACTCATGCTCTACGTGAACGAGCTCGAAAATTACCCCAGGGTATTTTAATTATTAGATTTGAGATGCCATTCAATATATGGTGTAATGGATGCAACAATCATATTGGAATGGGCGTTCGTTATAATGCAGAAAAAAAGAAAATTGGAATGTATTACAGCACACCCTTATATCAATTTCGAATGAAATGTCACTTGTGTGATAATCACTTTGAGATCAAAACTGACCCAGCTGTAAATACACTTTGTTTTTATTCATCAATAATATTGATATATACACTTTATTCCTAAGTATAGTCTTGTCTAATCGTTTCTAAAAATTTCTCATTTTCTCTCTCATATAGAACTTAACATACATTATTGAAAGTGGTGCTCGTCGACAAGAAAATCGTTGGGATCCAACAGAAAATGAACAAGTGGTTCCTGAAGACAAAGAAGTATCTAAACGTTTGTATGATGATGCTATGTTCAAATTGGAACATTCAATCGGTGATAAGAAAAAAAGTAAATCTCAAGATCCATCTTTGAATAGATTAATTGAAAAAAACCATTCTCAATGGAGTGATGATTATTCTTTAAACAGTACACTGCGTGCATCATTTAGAGTAAGTTATTTATTACTTCAACTAATACTCATTTGAAAACTCGACTTATTTAATAATATTATTATAAATTTTTTAGACTAAAAAAAAGGAAGCTCAAGAACAAAGAAAGTCTCTATTAGCTAAGAATCTTTCCTCAAGTATTGAATTAGTAGATGAACACGATGACGATGTGAAATTAGCTCGAATAATTATGAAAAATAAAAGCAATGATTCTGCTAAAAAATCAGGAAAAGCAGCATCATTAAAAAGACTGATTAGAGTGAGTCAGGCACAGAAAATTAAGAAACCAACGACGAGCACATTTACGAAAGCGGTAGTTAAGACACCTAAAAATGCTACATCATCCACAGAAACATCGTCTGGTTCTAAGTCAAATTCTATAGCTTCTTTAGTTAATTATGATTCTTCAAGTTCGGATAGTAATACGTAACGAAAGCGAACAGAGAGTAAAATGGATATAATAAAATCTCTTCGATTTAATTTTTTAATAAATTTCAATTCTGTAAATATATTAATAAGAAAATAACATTGTTACTGTATTAATGAACGAAATTTATTTTGTTAAAAAATGACTGATAAATAAACCAAAATAAAAGTATCTTTTAATTGCTGTAAAAAATTAATTTGATTATTTAAAACTTATATTTTCAAACTAAAGTCTTTTTTTATTGATAATTAATAATATTAAAGTTATGATTGTTATCAATTTGTTAAATAATAAAACACTATATTTGTTAATAAAAAAATTGGAGTAAATATTTTATTTTAAATTTCAGTTATCACAATAATGTAACTTTATTTTTTATATGTTATAAATGTATTCTTTATAAATATCATAAATGTATCAAGTAAATACTAGAGATTATAAGAATCATTATCAAAAATAATTGTATAAAATATCATTTTGTATGAATTATGATCAAAAATTAATAGTTTAAATATAATCTATAATAATACATAATAATAAGTATTAATATGCAAATAAAAGTAACTATAATACGACAATGTGACCTTGAATATTACATGATTATTAACAAATACTCTTTGTATATACAATTACAAATACTTGCAACAATCATTATAAACTCTACATAAAATAAATAAATGTAATTGCTTTTTACTAACCAACCAATTATGCAGTATCTCTTAAGCAATCACGTTTCTAAAGCTCGGAAAAGTTGTACTTTTTACTAATTACTTGTAAAAGTGTTGGAAGTACATAGCATTCAACTGAGAAGTTGATAATCATTATTCCGGAGTATTTTGAACGTTACTTCCTTCATTCCGACGATGTAGCCGTTCGGGATGAGAACATGCTAATTGACTGAAATCACGCACTACATCGTTAAATGTTTCATCCCCAGCGATTCCTATCTCTGAGTCTTTCATTTCTTCATTTAAAAGTCCTAAGCGTAAAAGAGTTACTATATCAGCATTTGCTTCCTTTACGGCAATTGATAGCGGTTTAATTCCACTTTCATCTTCAATATGTTGATCTGCCCGATGCTTTAATAATAAGCAAACTTGTGCAGTATGTCCTAACTCAGTTGCTAAATAAAGAGGAGTTTTTCCTTCAGCATCTTGGCAATTTATTTTAGCACCGTTTAAAATGAGGTATTCACATGACATCACAGATCCCTAAAAATAAATATATAGAGAAATTAATTACAAGAAAATTCATTGTTCAATTAAAACGTTAATTAATAAATTAAATAAATTAATGTACACTTATAATAGCCTGGTGTAAAGCAGTTCTTCCACGGTCATTAACGTTGCACCACATTTTATCAGCACCCGCGGCTAAGGCAGTGCACATTACTGGAAGATTATGAGCGGCAGCAGCTTTATAGAGTAGCATATCAGCATGTAAATTTTCTATATCTTCTTCATCAGCAAATTCTTCTTCTTCACCTGCTGTAGAATCTTGATCAGAGCTAAGCTCTAGACTACTTTCGATAAATGGTTTTGGCAAATCGCATCCAAACATTAAAACGTCTGATTCAAGTGATTTATCGTCACTACTACTTTCTATTAGAATTTTTTTGTGTTCTAAAGTATCACAAATTTCATCGGAAGTATCAGATATAGATCTGGTTAAACATAATTTTTTGGCCTCTTCTGTGATTTCACTGTCGTCTTGATTTAATGGTTTATAACTAATTTCGTCTACTTCTTTAGTCTGTTTATTTTCATTTTGGCTTTGCATTGTTGTTAATATTTTACCATATAATGTTGAGTTATTTTTTAAATCTACATGTCCACTTTCTGAACTCATGGAGCTCTCTTCTGACTTACAGATTTCTTCGGCTGAATTTAAACTTTCATTTACATTGATTGAATTGGATATTTCTTTTGTCCAATTTCTATTTCTATTTGAAGCATCAAATTTGTCATGACTTCTTGGTCTACGTCGCAATTTTCTTACACTCCACTTGCGAAACCGCATAATTTCACGGCTAGATTGATGCCCAGGAAGTGTGAGATTCGATAAAGGTTTAACAAACTTCCTGTCAACATATTTTGCTTTGATCCACGATTCCCGAATATTGCTGGAACATTTTGGTGTTGCTTTTTGAATGTCTGGTGAAATAGTTATGGCTTCATAAACATTATTAACAACATTGTTACCTAACTCAGCCATAACTTTAAGTATTTCTGGTTCCCAATCATCTAAAGTTAACGAACGTACTTTACTATAATGGACTCCAAGACTTCTGTGAACACCAGAGCATTCAATACAGAGAGTTATTCCTAAATTAATACTAGCCCACTTGGGATTTGGACTCCCACAATCACAACAAATATCGTTGCCAGGAATTTTAAGTAATTGTTCCCAAACCCGAGTTTTTGACCTCTGGGAATGTCTAATAGGCCCTCTCGAATTCTTTTTTTGCAGTTCAAGAGTATTTGTTACACTAGAGTAAGCACCCATTCCTCTTTGAATAGCAGCACCAATTGCTTGCTGTGTTGCAGTAACCCAGGCCAGATACATTTCTTCGCTATCAGCTTGTAAAATATGACTTTTAGTGGGGCTTAAAACTTCAAAACAATTTCTCCTATCGCAATCTACTATCGATTTAACTGTACATAAACGTAAGTCTTCTTCCATTATTGTATAATCTTCATCGCCAGTTCTTTTCTTATAAACTAATTGATGATCTTTCAAACAAAACCACCGTCTGTTCCACGTTTTAAAAGCATTACTTGTTCTTTTAAAAAGATACCCTTCCATTCTCGAATTACCAGCTGATGTGGGAATTAAGTCTCGATTTGTTACGTAACTATGACGATTTTCCATTTCTTTTTCTAGCTTTACAGATTCTGCCCTCATTGTTATCAATTCTTCGCCAAGATCTTTGAGGAATGGATCTAAATCTTGAGCTAAATCGCTCCCTTGATGATAATAAGTAAAGCAGGCATGCATGTAACTCAATAATGATCCCAATATTTCATGACGTCTACGTGCTTGTAACATCGTTAAGGCATGCACGTAATCCAATGCCGTATGACGGAAACATGATCTTGTTGCTGACAAAATATTTGAAACTTCTTCATATTCAGCTGGACGTGATTTTGGAACTTGAGAATTTCGATTTAATGCGATATCCAAGTCTCCAGATATTTTTTCAAAGTAATGTCGAGATTCTTTCACCTTTTGAATATCTCTGAAGTAAAAATAAATCACAATTACATTAGATACTTATCAATGATACTATTCTGTAAACACCTGTGGATTATTTATCTTTTTATGTATAATGTCAATATTAATATTTATTTTTAATATGTACTGATTTGATGCTAATATTGACACTGACACAATTAACATGTGATAGGGTAATAAGTGGAAAGAATTAGTTTACAATAAATAATTCACAGATTCTTTGGTAAAATTCATATTTAGACTAAACAATTAAAGGAAGATATTTTTTATTTAAATAATTTATTATTACCTCCTAATGAAAGAATGTAAATCTTTAACAACAGTTCTTGATGCTTGATCTAGTAAAATGGAATGAAATTTATTCATTTCTTGCAATGCATGGATTAATTTATTTAAATAAGCCATCATTGTTTCGTCATCACCAAAGTAAGATGATAATTCCCAAAGACTGTTAGTAAATTGACTGAAAATACATAATTAACAAAATAAATCAGGTTGATTACAAAAAAAAATAAGTGAGCTACATATACACACATGCATCATTAATCACTTATGAATGTATAGATATTTTTATAAATCTAATGTGCCAGATAAAATGCTAGCGAGAAATTAACTGGAATACTCAAGAAAAAAGAGAATGATTCATTCTCTCACGCCACAGTAATTCACCGTAATATTTTTCTATTGTATTAATAAAAATACTCACGTTTGCTGGCCGACGTATACCTTCCCAGCATCAATCATGGAATGACAAGATTTTAGTACCTGAAATTGAGTTAAATTTGTGGTAATAATGTATAGTATAATTGTAAAAAAAATGAAATAATAGTAAGTGCTATTAATATTAATATTTTCATACCTTTTCCAACTTTTGCTCCAATTGATCAATGCTTCCTTCAACATTTTCAAGACAAGACCTATTAAAAAGTCATAATCTAGGTTAAAAGTATTGTTGAAAGTGTCTATTCAATATTTACAACTGCTAATTTTAGATTATTTTTAATAATAATGAAATTCAAAACATGTTCATAAATATAACTACTTAGTAAACAATGCATATCATGAACAAAGAGTTATGATAGTTGTCACGAGGGAGAACTATCAACGAAGACAACATGTTACGTAAAAAAATAGCAATACTTCTTCCATATTTAGTGAAATATTTTCCGTCATTGTTGACCTAAAAAACTGTTATTGTTATGGTAATATTTACAAAAATAAATAAATTCTTACCGAAATTTCGGCGTATCCCGTAGACACTCGTTAAAGTCAATAAGAGTCTTCATTTTTTAAATAATCGTTGACTGGTAAGAATAATTCTTCTCCCAAACATAAATATTTATGCTTAATTATTCATACAGTCTTAAAATAATATGAAAATATTCAAAAAACAATAAACTACAACAAATAATCCTGTCTTCCTGTCCAACTTAATTGTGGTTCTCCACAAGGCTTCGGATAACCTCGGAAAATATCGGGAATCTTCGTTTGATTATCAAAGGATTTGGAACGGAGTATCGTATGATGATGTATAGGGAATGTGTGCGGTGAATAATTTTAACCATTTTGACGTAATTCGTCACTCTTTCGGTTCGTTTCGGAGTACTTCGGGACTTGGATCATGAAGATCTATAGTCATGCTGGCAACGCTGGATACCATTTATGACGCGTTGTGTATATAGTATAGTCTCTTCTTTAGAATTTTTGATTATTTCAAATAATTGTAATTAAATAAACAACATGTTTGGTCAGTGCTCAATTTGTAGTGTAAAATTTGAATCTTTTGAAGGATTATGTTCGCCTTTTTGTGGACATATCTTTCATTATGCGTGTCTTTCACAGTGGCTTGAAAGACATTGTTTATGTCTTATTATGTCTAACCTCAAAAATGGTAACATTGAACAAAATATTATTCATTTTTTTGTATAAAGAAGGTGTTGTTGATTATTAAATGTTTATTTCAGATCAAAAACATGTCCATAGTGTCAAAGAGAAACATATTGCCGCCAAGTAGTTCGGCTTTCTTTTCACGATAGCAAATATACAGATTTAGATATGTTTTAAAACCAGATGGACGACTCTGATGAAAATAAAATTAGAACTTACCAAAAAGTGAGTATATTAGTCTGTAAAATAATTATTTATTCTATTAAAAAAGCATTAAAAAAAAACATATTAAAAAAAATACTAAATGTCTATTAAAATATTGTAGAAACATTCTCCCACGAAAGGATGGAGACTAAATCTTGATTCTACTTCAATTAAAAATAACGTCGCCCTCTGCGCAAACCACCGGTAATAATATTGTTTTAAATTAATTTTATTCCGTTTTTTGTTCTTTTTTGTTGAAAGCATAATCATGCTGATGTTATTTATTCAAACGATTGCAGGCAAGTAAATGGATGAATACTGAATCACTTCAACAATATCATGGGCAATAGCTGATGATCAGAAATCAACATGCTCATTATTACAATCATCAGTTAAAGAAAAATTATGACTATCAGAATCAACGGAATCAATAGCTAATAAAAAATCCAATGATTATGAAATATTTGGACATAAATTAACTAATTATAAAAATTCATCAACACGATCATTAACTGATTTAATTGTTGTCAATGAATCTCCAAAATTGTTAGATAAATCACGTTTCTTACATGCATCAAATCACAAACTGGAAAGTGATCCCTTTGGTGATTATGCTGAGACTGATCTTGATGAGCCAACTAATTATGGTTTCCGCTATGCTGAACACAATTTGGATCAGGATAAAATACCAAGACTGGAATATTTATTCAGATTTCACATTTAATATCCAAAGCATCTTTAATGCCATCACCTAAAACTGTGTTTAGTACTAAAGTGTCATTGGAGTCGAAAGAGTCATATATGACTGGATAATGACTCCATCAAAATCATTGTTAAAACATTACCATAATATTTATTAATTTAATTATACTTCATACAATAAAGTATGATTCTTTGTTACTAATTTATCATTAAATAACGTATCTTATTTAATTTTTTTTAAGAAAATAAAATTGTAAATCAACATTGATATTTTATTGAATTTTTTTTTTGCTTAAAAAAAGTAAGAAATAATTAGAACAAACAAAAAAATGATAAGTAATTCATACTTAAAGCTTATTCTTATATTGTAATTAATTTAAATTGAGCAAAATTTAATAAAAGCATTTCTACATGTAAATAGTATTTTGAAACAACGACCGTTGTATAAAACAATACATTGAAGAAAAAAATAGCTTGTTTTTATTTATTTTATATTGTAAGTAATTAATATAATTATTAAAACACGTAATAGTTAACGTTTATTAAAAAACGTAATAGTTTAGATCTCCCGCTTTCGTTCTTACGCCTTTTTGGAGCTGCCACCTACAGTTGTTGATAAAAGCTGTATGGCAACGCTGCAGCGTTATATGAGAGACCCCAGAGTTTGGATTCCTTTTCTATAGTCTTCATGACTTGGATCATGACTAGACGTTAGATCAACATGCAGTTTGGTATTCTTCGTCTATTCATATTGTATTTAGTGTAATGATGTAGTGTATTTACTCGATCAAAGTGTAGTAATCAGTGTAAATCAAATCTTATTATTAATGCAAAACTCATCAACGAGATTATTTGTTCGGTGAAAAATTTGTACTTTGTTCTGCAGTTACTGAAAGTACATCGATTAGAAACATAACTGTCACCTTGGTATGTGTAATTAGCATTAACTTCTAAAATATTTGTGAAATTTGTACACAAGTGTGAATTGAAACATTTATTGGTGAAAAGAAAAAATTGAAAAGAAAAGGCCTTCGACCTAATAATTCATCGATTGCTCATGTGATCTGAGTAATAAATTGGAAAAAATGGAACGGACTGATCGAGAGTTTCATCGACGTACTTCTGCGTTACCGCTGAACTCTAATGTTCAAAGAATGTCGATAAAAGTATCATTATTTGTCCTCGTGATATCTTGCATTTTTACGGTAAGTCATTATTATCATTATTATTCATCTTATTATTTATGTCCTAGCTAGGACAATTAAGTTTGAAATGATATCAAAAATTTCCGACGAACCCTTGTTAACTTTAAGGTTAATTTTTTCAACGATTCATCGTTTCCACCACACCCACGTTCATTGGTAAAGTTATCAAGTATTATATTTAAGTTGGGCTTTGTGTCGTCTGATCTTTTAAAGGCCTATCAAAAGACGTTGTTGGTCTTATTAAATTTAATTATGCTCTTGTTCGTCGGTCTTCCTATCCAACAATACTCGAGGCTTCGCGTGCCTTGAATGCTTTGATTTTCGTATCCTCCAATAGGGAGGTCAGAAATGTACGTCTCAGACGGCCTCGATTGATGAGTAATCTGTATAAATTTTTTTTATACGATGTCTTTTTTATATACTTACACATCTATAAAATTAATTTTATTCGCAGTTTTCTTATCTTATGACGAACTATTTGTTCTTTATACTTTCACAAGTTTATAGCAGGAGATATTAAAAAGAAAGAACTTCGTAGATGATTTGCTAAACCATGAATAATTAGTTTGGAATGCTTGACGCACTTAATTCTAATTGAATACAGTATTGGCAAAAATACTCTATCAATATCATTTTACTTGGAAATCTACAACAAACCGTTACTTTTAGCAAATGCTCCTTGATCTTATCATTAAGAATATATTTGTAACTTAATGTTGATTTTATCTCTATTATACAATTTTTTTATCGAGAGTTCATTCATAAATTAATCATGGTTAAACAAAAATTGCAAATGTTTAGATTTGATGAGGGAAAAAGAATACTGAGATAATGAAATATCTTTGGTCTTGGATTTTATTTTGATTTGTCTTTTTATATATATATGGAAGTTAAAAATAAAAAAAAGCGATTGGATTCCTAAGCTCTTCTTAGAATTCTGTCTAGCAGTTTTTTTGCTTATCCTGCGTGTTCAGAGTCCTTCGTAATCATCTTCAAATTTCTGCAATTCTTTAGAAGCCAGACTAGACCACGCAACACGCAATGAATCTCTTGATTTATACCGCCGTGATGATTATTTTATATCATTAATTTCAAACAATATTCTATAATAATAATGATCAAATATTGCTAGTTGAAACGTAACTATTTTTATCAAAAAGACTTCAAAATGATTACATAAAAAAATATAATGAGCTTCAGGAGTAAAACTTTTTATGTGGTAGTACCTTCGCATAGCTTCTTTTAGGTTTTCGCAGAACAGGTCTACTTATCATAAATAATCTTACTAGTTTTGTTAATTTTAGCCATGACTGTATTTTCAGCAAACCATATCTCTACTTTTATATTATGAACGTATATACTTGAATAGTCATTGGATATCTATAAACACATTGATCAAAGTTTAATACTCTTACTTAACCGACTTTATTTTCTTTACAGTCCACAAATGCAGCAAATGAAGGTCATTGCATTTGGTATGGCAAATGTAATGAAGATAGTTTACAAAGAATGCAATATTGCAATTATACGGGTTCAGCCAAACCTCTGGATTCAGAAGGGTTAAAACTTCTTACTAAACATTGTCCACATATGGTACCTGATGATGGAAGTGCAGTTAGTACCTGCTGTGATTTAGAACAACTTGAAAACTTGGATAATAATATCAATTTAGCTGCTAACTTTTTGGACAGATGTCCAAGTTGTTTGAGTAATTTAGTCAAACATTTCTGCGATTTCACTTGTAGTCCATTCCAAAGTAATTTCATAAATGTCACGAAGATAGAAACCAACAGTAAAAATACAAGTATGAGTAAGTAAAAATAGCAAAAGATTGAACTATGAATGAATGGAATTGATATTTCTATGGTGATGTATGAGTTGAAGTTGGAAGCAATTTTTCCGTTTGAAGTTATGATATTGAACTTCAACATATGATATTTTTTGAGCATCGGAAAAATTGCCAATAATAAACTTGTGTAGTTCTAACATAAAGTTATATTTCATTCACGTGTACTACGATGTAGTTTTCCACAGAAAAAAATTGTTGGATGATTTGTAAAATTGATGAGTAGTCGATCCATAATTAGACATTAAGAAATGAAAAGTAACATTACAAAAAACAAAAAAATATCTCATCATTGATTAAATATTTATACATGATTAACATTTCATAAAAAAACTACGTACACAATCATCGAGATTGTAAAGATGATTAATGTTTAGTACACAGTAAAATATCGTCAAGTTATTTTTTAGTAAATTACCAATTGACAAAATAGCATGTTGAAGAACAACTAATTATGAGATAGATTTCAAATTTTTTTCTGTTTACAAATAACTTAGTTCTCAAATCATAAACCGGCCATTAATTCTGAACAATCGTAAATATTTCATTTTTTTTTTATAATTGATAGATGCCTTGAGATTTTTTCCTTTAACCACATATTAACAAATCACTAGATTTAAAAAACAATTACTTAATGACTTTGAAGCTACAAAAATTTTCTAATACTTTTCTTGCGTATTATTTTAAAAATAGTAAAAATTATAAGAATAAATATTTTTATATAAAATTACATATAATGACTACCAATCAGTATTTCCGGTTTTGATAGTGATATAGATGAATCTCATCTAATCGTACAGACTGAAATTCACTTTATGAATAGTTAGTTCTTGTTGATTACCAAAATAATGTTATTATCATGTAATTATGACCTTGGATCATTAAATAGTAGTCATTAATACAATTTAATTTCATCAATAATCATCAGGTATTTGAAAAAAAATGAATGATAATCGAATTAAAACATTTTTATATTAAACTTTAAACTTCTCTACATTAATAATTGTTCTTATCTTAATGTGCTTCTCATTTAAATTTCTTTGACATTGCTCTTCCTACAAATACTTTAAAGTTCAATTGAATGTCACAATAATTTAATTCATTAAAAACCTATAATTAAATTCTGAGAAAAAAAAACAAAATGCTATTGAACTGTATTATTGTATTTATTTAAAAATATTCAATTATTTTACAAGTTATTTATTTGATTAAAAAACCAATAATTCTCAAACAATATTTTGATTTAATAAACTTTGACGTAATCATAGAATCTGTTATTGCAAATAATAACTCGATGTTTTCTGTGTTATAAATAGATTATATCACCGAAATAGAGATCTATATTTCAAGAAAATACCTCGATGGTACATTTAATTCATGCAGTAAAGTATCAGTTCCTAGTACTGGTCAACTAGCTTTGGATATGATGTGTGGAGAATGGGGTTCAAGCAGATGCACACCTGATAAATGGTTCCATTATATGGGAGATGCAAAGAATAATTATTATGTTCCTTTCCAAATTACTTATATTGGAACTGATAATAAAGTTGGTCCATTTAGTCCATTGGATCCTGTTGTCGTACCGTGTAACAAAGCTTTGAATGTAAGTAATCATTGAATGAGTAAAGTAGTTAAGAAAAACAATATTTTTTGCAATATTAATTTGTCATTACTAATTCTAATTTATCTTAAAACCATTAATTCTGCAATTAACACATATTTTGCGACATTATGCTGCATTGATTTAAAACTTATTGAAAAAACTTATTCCATAGCATAAAAAATAAATTAAAAAAAGTCTTAGAATTGATTATTTAAATTCGCTATAAATTGTTACAACTATGGCTTGCGTTTAAAGACGTTTTATATCAAAATTATCATAATTTATTCATTAAAAACTCTAGCATTAATTTAACCTGAATAAAGAATATAGATTACGCTTTTTTAAAGAACAGTATTATGTATTATAATTTCATTCGTATAAATATTATTTTTTATTCATTTTTTTTTTATTTTACAGCCTGGAACTCCAGCTTGTAGTTGTGCTGATTGTGAAGAAAGTTGTCCGATACCACCTGCACCACCTCAACCTCCTAAACCTTTTAAAATTTTAGGATATGATGGTATTGCTGTAATAATGACGATCATTTTTGTTGGCATATCAACATTCTTCTTGTTATCAATTGTTTGCTTTAGCAAACGAAAACAAATAGGTATGAATATGATGCGTTTTCAATTAAAGTTTTGATGCCAATTGAGTACATATTATGTTCGCAATGTAGACATGGCGAACAGTTATTTTTCTCTAATACTTTTATTATTTTACTTTTATGGCAGTGGTTTTAAGGATAACGATAATTAAAATAACTTAAATTCTCATAATGTGGTATCATTACCATATTAACTGGAGACTTTTTTTTTATGATCCCATTCATTTTCAACTTGCTTTCATTTTATGGAGCAGACCTCCTTTGTTATTAATATAAAGTTAATAATTGGTTATGGAAATACATATGAATTTAACTATCTCTTGATTATCAAAATATTCCACTGATATTCAAATGAAAATTAATTATTTATTTATTCATTGATTTATCATTCTTATCCCTCAGATTAAAAATTATTCAAAAAACTTTATAAAATAATAAATAAAGTTTTTTAAAAAAAAAAACAAAATCGAAATCTGGAAATAGAATACATTTGGCCAGTTTTCAAAATTTATTATAAACGACAATATTTATCGGTTATTTATTTCTTTCGCGTGGCTGTGTATAGTTGCACGAGGTGAAGAAGTAGGGAGACAGGTTGGTAGACGTCTAGCTGCTGGGCTACATCATCCAGGAGATGTTGCGCGTATTGCACTCGCGGCTGACCAGGAGGACAGCCCACTACAATCTAAACGTTCCAGTATGTTTCATCCGTGACTATAAATAAAATTTATTCATTTACAGCGCTTCAGTGTTGTCCCCTTTTTATCTAAATTTTCTTAGATTGATGTTCAATCATTTTAACAAAAAAATGACTGTCTAGATAATTATCAGCTTAAGTCTACTTTATTTCTTCCTACTTTTGCATGCTACAAGATATCTGGTTTTATTTCATTACGTAATTGAATTTGTCTTCTACCTTCTACCTTATCTGCTTCAACTGATAATTTTCGTCATTCTGTATATGTATTTATGTTTGTCTCATTAACAATTGCACGTTTATGAGTTAATGTTTTATGTTCATTTCATATGCACATACACAATAGATAATTATTTCGTTATGTAATGTTGTGTGTACTTTTTATGACATTTTGTTGTGTATTTGTGCTTTTTCATCGATGTTTTTAGTGTTATATTTTTTCTAGAAGAAAATAATAATAAAAAGTACATTATAGGTGTCATATCAGCTGAAGACTTACCAAGCGGATTAAGTGATCAAGAGTCAACTGTGATTGAACGACTTGGTGCTAACACTGATAAATTCTTACAAGAGTTCTTTTGCAAGTGGGGAACTTGTAAGTTATTCACCAGGAAATATTAAATCTGAATTTTTGATAAATACGTTTTTTATATTACTATAATCATTATTATTTAGTAATTAAATCAATACAATGAAGGTTTCAATAACTTTGAAAAAAATATTCATATATTTTATTTATTCATTGAATATAACTCCCTTGGCAATTTTTCATTACTTATTATTCTATTTTTAAATTACTTTTTGTCTGAAATTAGTTTAGTAGAATTATTTCATTTCGCTTGCAGAAAGCAATAAAAATAAAGTTTAAAACAGCATCGATAAATTTTTTGCAGCTTTATTCACTATTCTTTGTAATACATGTATTGCTCCAAAAAAGTCGAAAAAACTCACATGTAAATGTAAATATTTACAAAACATATAAAAGATAGAATCATATGTAAATCAGTGTTAAAAATAGTTATACTGAGATTTGAAAATATAAACAACTACTTATAGAAACGCAAAAACGTATTTATCAAGCCAAAATCAATTCGCTGAAGCCATAAATGATTCACAAGTGTTCACTAATTCATTATTTATTTACAGTTTGTGCTAAACAATCATGGGTGATTTTATTAGGCGGCTTCGTATGCGTCATCTTTTTGAGTACTGGAATAAGGTACATGCACGTCACAACCGATCCAGTCCAATTGTGGGCATCGCCATCATCTCGTTCACGATTGGAACGAACCTATTTTGACAGCCACTTTGAGCCATTTTATAGGACAGAACAAATTATCATTACTTCTAAAGGCCTTCCTAACATCGAACATAATACATTCAATGGTCCAGTAACATTCGGACCTGTTTTCAATAAAACGTTCCTAGAACATATTTTTAAGCTTCAAGAAGGTATCAAAGCGATACGAACTGAAAATAATTTTACACTAGCAGATGTTTGTTTTGCTCCATTAACAAATGACTTCACTGGGCCACCAACTGTTGAAAAATGTGTAATCCAGAGCCTTTGGGGATATTGGCAAGATGATCTTAACAAATTTAACGAATCGAGTCAAGAAGATAATAAGACGATTAATTATTTAAATCATTTTCTTTCTTGTACTGGTAATGCATATGGTCCAGATTGTCTTGCTCCATATGGAGGACCAGTTGAACCAGCCATTGCAGTTGGAGGATTCCCACCTGCATCAAATCCACGCGAACATCCTTCTTATGAAAAAGCAACAGCCATTATTATGACAATTCTAGTGAATAATTATCACAATAAAACGAAATTAATACCGGCGATGGAGTGGGAAAAAGCATTCATAGAGTTTATGGAAAACTGGGTGGCGACCGCAAAACCTGAATATATGGACTTGGCATTTACATCAGAGAGATCTATTGAGGATGAATTAAACCGAGAGTCACAGTCAGACATCATAACCATTCTCGTTTCTTATATAATTATGTTTGCATATATTGCGGTATCTCTTGGACAAATGAGATCCTGTGGTCGACTATTAATTGACTCAAAAATTACACTTGGTCTTGGAGGAGTTTTAATTGTTTTAGCATCAGTAGTATGCTCTGTTGGATTATTTGGTTTTCTTGGACTTCCAGCAACATTAATTATTATCGAAGTTATACCATTTTTGGTATTGGCTGTAGGAGTGGACAACGTCTTTATTCTAGTTCAAACGCACCAGAGAGAAGGAAGAAGACCAAATGAGTCAATTCCAGAGCATATTGGTCGTACTCTTGGACAAGTTGGTCCAAGCATGTTACTTACAAGTGTCTCAGAGAGCTGTTGCTTTTTTTTGGGAGGTCTTTCAGACATGCCTGCCGTAAAAGCCTTTGCTCTATACGCAGGAATGGCCTTATTAATTGATTTTTTCTTACAAATAACTTGTTTTGTAAGTTTGTTAACACTAGACACAATTCGACAGAATTCAAACAGATTTGATATTTGTTGTTGGTTCCGAGGAACTAAAAAAGATGCTTCTGAAGAAGTTGATGGAATTTTATATAAAATATTTAAAATTATGTACGCTCCATTCCTTCTAAAGAAATGGGTACGAGCTGCAGTGATGATTATATTCTTCGGATGGCTTTGTACAAGTATAGCAGTTGTGCCACATATAGAAATTGGTTTAGATCAAGAATTATCAATGCCTGAAGACAGCTTTGTGCTCAAATACTTTAAATTTATGAATAGTTATTTATCAATCGGTCCGCCCGTGTATTTCGTAGTAAAGCCTGGATTAGATTATTCAAACTCGACTGATCAAAATTTGATTTGTGGTGGGAGATGGTGTAATAATGATTCCATTTATATGCAGTTGTTTACTGCAGCACGACAATCAAATGTGACATATATTGCCAAACCTCCCTCTTCGTGGTTGGACGATTATTTTGATTGGTCAACAGCATCAGAGTGTTGTAAATATTTCCCAAGTAATCACTCTTTCTGCCCGCATGAAGGGATATCATCATGTGATTCTTGTGATATAGAAGCTAATGAATATCACAGACCTAATGAAATAGATTTTCAAACATATATCTCATTTTTCTTACAAGATAATCCTGACGAAAGCTGCGTTAAAGCTGGCCACGCTGCTTATGGTCAGGGAGTTAATTATGTAACGAATGGCAAAACTCATTTGTCTACTGTAGGAGCATCATACTTTATGGCTTATCATACTATCTTGAAGACTTCAGCAGATTATTATGAATCTATGAGAGCTGCTAGAAAACTTTCTGCAGAGCTCACTGATATGCTCAATAATTATCTTAAAAAGGAAAATCGAAATATCACAACTGAAGTATTTCCATACAGTGTTTTTTATGTATTTTATGAACAGTATTTGACCATGTGGCCTGATACATTGAAAAGCATTGGAATATCTCTTGCTGCTATTTTTGTTGTTACATTCTTACTCATGGGTCTAGATATTTTCTCATCAATTGTTGTTATCATAACAATTACTATGATTTTGGTGAATATTGGTGGATTGATGTATTGGTGGCATATTACTCTGAATGCTGTATCGCTCGTCAATCTTGTGATGGTGATTACCCAAAAAAATTTTTTATTGCTAATATAATGTATCATATTAAATTTTTTTTGTATGTTTAAAATTGTTTCATTATTTTTCAGGCTATTGGTATTTCTGTAGAATTCTGCAGTCACTTAGTTCACTCATTTTCTATGTCAGTAAAAGAAACCAGATTAGAAAGGGTTGAGGAAGCAGTTATAAACATGGGCAGTTCAATATTTAGTGGTATAACACTTACTAAATTTGGCGGCATTATTGTTCTTGGCTTCGCAAAAAGTCAAATTTTTAAGGTAATTTTGATGATTCATATTATTTTATTTACATGGTAAATAGACTTTAATATCAATGATTACTTTTATGACATTATAATTAACGAGCAATAAAAATACCACGATACAAATTTTCCACTTACATTATTATATAAAATAATAATCTTATCAATAAAAAAAAAATTTATTATCATTTACTGTAATGAATATAACAAACACGTGACCATCAATGAAAATAAACAAGAAAAATTATTCCATATCATTTGAATGAAGTAATATTTTATGTCTATAAAAAAGTTGATGAAGTCATGTTATCAGTAATATAAAATAGGAGTAGTTATGACAGTGAATTGCTAAAATGATTGCTGAGAAAATTATTCAAACAAAACAAAGTGTTATCTTTCAAAGTATTTAGCTTACATTAAAATTTTTTCTATCATAAGCATTAAGATGTTTTTAACTTTAAAAGTATTGTTGAGTAGACAGTTTTATGAATGACTATTCTCAGCATATTCTTCTAAATTTTATGTGAATATAAAATCATCATATGAAACTTTTTTAGCTGTTTCAAGTGTCTTCTTCGGCATAAAACCCTGTATTATATGCAATTACATCAAATATTAACTCAATAAGATCTTCATTCCATTTTTAATTTTCAGGTATTCTACTTCAGAATGTATTTGGGAATTGTCTTATTTGGAGCAGCTCATGGACTTATATTTTTACCTGTACTGCTCAGTTATATAGGTACGTTAAAATAATCGTGGCGATGAATTTGTGGTGGTTTTTTTTTATTCGATAAGATTTTTTTTTAAGTCAACAGTTTTATTTTACAAGATCCCATTAAATTCTTTAACAACTGGACATATTCCACCGATTGTTAAAACGCCACGGGCTATTATTTTCATTATTTTTAATAATTTATATAATCTTAATTACATTGAATGTATGGATGTTGTAAGTAGTAACATGCACGTAGATGTTTTATTATAAATTTGAAATTAAACAAGCGATATTAATAATCTTGAGAAATTAGCTCGGCGAAATTTTCTATATTTATTCAAACAAAAACTTTCGACTGCTGGACATTCCAGGAACACCTATGAATCGAGAGAAGTTGGCGAACCATAGGAAAACCATGACTGGAAATTTGGAAAATGTCCAAGAAACTTCACTCAATCATCGAGTAAGCAAAACCAATTCATCCACTGAATGTAAAAGTACTTATAGAGTGCTTGAGTTTGAATGATAGGTACGCAATTCATTCATATTTTTTTTTTAATCATTATTCTAACATTGCCATCATCTACACTGGATGTATGTAAATATGTTGTATGTTTAATTTATCACCTTCCATACAGTCACAAAAATCAATTATATATAACAATACAATCGAAAAAATGTAAAATAATATTTATGTACACTTAAGAGTAGCTTTTATGTTTTTTTTTTAAATGGCCACTGCGTTTCGACAATCAGTGAAAACTTGATAATTAATAATAAGTAAAAAACAAAATTATTTAGATTATTGAGAGGTACTGGAGGTTTTTTTTTTTAAATTAATATATTAACATTTATACAAATCAATGATTAAATATACATATTTAGCAAAATTAATTTCAAGACAACATCAAAATTTAAAACAAATAGAAAACAGATGGTATTAATTTGAATTTTTTATACTGCTTTGTGCTACTAATATAATTTTCTTAATGCAGTTATAAAAATCCGATGATATTGACATTGTTATTAAATTAAGAACCATAGAAACTAAATTTACTACTAACAGCTGGTATTATGTTCTATAAATTATGAATGCTTAAATTTTACAATCTAGCTAAGCTTAGTTTAGTTAGTAAAAAAATAACTGTCAAAAAGTTTATCATGTTCTCAGCAAAATAAATTGCGAACAACGCACTATTCACTGCTATTTTTCGCTAACTTTTGTGCCAACATGCTTCAAATGAATATTAATATACTGTGGAACATGATGTATTTCTCTGTCATCATGTCGAGCTTTAACTACTGTTAGATATATATCGTTATTAATAGTTATTATTATAAGCTTTAGTTAATTTGCTTTTATTATTTATTAATAATGCCACGCTATAAATAATTAATTAATACTTAGTATAATTATATAAACTAATAATCCACAAAAACCAGTTTTAAAGAAAGTATCAATGAATGCCTTAGTGTTGAATCGTGATCATTATTCTCTATTAATAGCCGCTGCGTTTCGGCAATCAGTGGAGAGTCAATGAACGATGATGATTATTCAATTCTAATAGGCACTTTCTAAAGGTAAACAGTCTTAGGTAAGACTTCATTAATATAAAATTGTTCTAGACGTGATGTCCGGCAGAAGAAAACGAGCACAACTGCTCAGTCAGAGCATCAACAGGCCGACCACAAACCATCAACCTGTTGACTCCACGTCTCCTCTTGTCCAGAATGCTCCCAGCCTCGCGACCACTTCCTACGCCAGTATAAACCATGCCAATGGTTAAATGACGATTTATATTTTGTACTTGAGGCAAGTTGTATCAATCTCAGCTGATAATTCTAAATAATTATTTTACATGCATTTTCATTAGTTAAACGAATTTATTTAACATTAAATATTATTGTAATAATAATAATTATTATTATTATAATTATTAAGATCATATTTCCGTGGCGTAGAGAAAACATACTGATAAAGTATAATTTTTTTTTATTTGAGAATATTATGGTAACTTATGATATATAAGTTATCTGAAGACTTTTGGTAAAAAGTATTGTCTTTGGTTACTAAGAATACTAATTAATTTAAACAAATGTCATATCAGAATATTTTTATTCTTTATTTATATTTTTTATCAAGAAATTAGTTGTATAGAACAAGCGATTGGTGTCAATGGTACTTTTTTGATTAAATTCATTAGATTTAAAAGTCGAATGAAATCTAACTTGTTGAATGTTTATACAAATATCTAGGCGCAAATCTAATTGTTTGTAAATCGTACTAACATTTTAAGCGTCACTGATCGAGCCTAGCCATGATTTTGAAAGAAAAAATAAATTATGAGAGTAATTTTAAATAAACATTAACTTTTTGTATAACAATCCGAAGGAAAACCAGTGTAAATGTGTGGATGTTGTATAGGAAAATTCATAAACTTTTTTTAATTAAAAATGTATCCAACTAAGTTCTCGATGTCTTTTTGACTGAATTTATGTCGGAATTGTATTGTCTAGCGTATAAAGAAAAGGCTGCGTACTGAATATGGTGATGATATTGATATGTAATTTACTGTGGAAATAATAAGAAAGTTTATTGTCGAAATATATATCTCGTGAAAAGTTTTGTGAGTGTTCAATAAATAAATCTTTATTAATAAACTTACTGAATCCTGAGTTTTAAATAAATACTGAATCACTGCTGACATCGTAACTTGTGTCTTGACTTTGTACGTGTAGTCTTGTTTTCAATGCACAAGTGTAAATATAAACATGATCTATCTATTTTACATAAATCAGTAATTTTTGTTAACATAATGAGTGTAAAGGTCCAAACAGATGAGCTGCACCACAATTTTCGTCAGGGTTACCTAAAAATTGAGCATATAGTTCCTGGAAACGTGATAACGTGATGCCACCTCGTTTTCTATCTTCATCCTAAAAAGTAATAATTAATAATGAATTAATTTATTATTGCTTGTTTTCAATTCAATGAATCTAAAAATTAATTCGAAAGTTTAATTTAAACATCACTAATCTTAAACACTGATTTACATTGAACTTAAATTTTCTTATCTGGTTATCAGTACTTAGATTAATTGATTGTAAAAAAATTTAACTAACCGTAAGGAGATTTTGATAACCTTCATCTAATGTATCAATGGTATCAATGGGAAGTCGATTAATGCAGTTGTACCGGTACTCTTCGATAGCTACTACTCCATCGTCTATTAATAAATAGAATCAAGTATTAAACAAAGTGATGGATTGCATGAAAGAGCAAATAAATATGATTGTTAATTAAAACTAACTGTTTATATCCACCAACTTGAAATGGCTGTCTATAAATAATTTCATAGCTTGAGGAAAATCACGATAAGGACGTCCAACACAGGTCTTTTGAACTGCTTGTTTAAACTCGTCAACCGTTACTACTCCATCCTATATAACAATAGGAAATTATAACAATATTTAGTTATTAATATATTAAATTATTTCTTGTTTGGTTGTTTGGTTGCAAAGGAAAATGTCAAAGGTAACTCTTATATTACATACCTTGTTAAAATCTGCTAACTGTGCTATTTCCTCCCACAGTGATAACATGATGTGAAGATTCTCTTGATAGAGATTATTGCTGAATTCTCCTTTCCCTTGGATAATTGTCATCTTCAAAGCCATACACTCAAAATCATGTTGATTTAAGATTCCATTGTTGTCAATATCTGTTAATTTTGTTATTTTTAATAGTTCGTTTTTTATAGTTTTTAAAATTTATTAAAAGCAAATATAATAAATTATTTTAAATTAATTTTAATGATTAATAAAATAAATTGAAGTAAGGTTTGAATCGTGTTGAGTGATTCAACGTCTTTACACTTGTAATAATAAACATCAAAATTATGATAATTATGATTTTTCCACCAAAATAAATGTTCTAGAAGATTTAAGAATAACTAGTTCTTGGAAAAGTTGAAATGCTTCACTAGTTTAAAGCAATAAATAAACTTGCTTTTTGTAATTAAAGTATATTTTTTTTATTTTGTCCTTTTTACTTTGAAAATTTTTTACATTTTTGTAAAAATATAAATAAATCTTAATATTTATACGTTCAGATAAAAAATGTTTTAAGAATAAAATATTTTTCACTTTCACTTAATTCCTGCATTTTAGTAAATTTAAAATGGGAAATAATTATAATTGATTGAATAAATAAAATGACATAAAGAAACAACTTTTACAAATAAAAACAAAGAAAACCATTTTTTGAGAATATATTCTGTCACTCACCATATAAGATTCTGACAACAAAACCGACACGATTATCCCAGCTGTATGGACTATCAACGCTACCCATTTTTAAATTAAATTAACAAAAAATCCGTTAGTTAATTTTTTTGTTAATATCACTTGGATTGGTAAGTTTAGAGAAAGTTGAAGTAAATGATTTAGTTAAGTAGACAAAAACAAACAGAAGAAAAAACTACGGTGTGTACTCAGTCCACGGAGACTACGAAATGATCTAACTTTAGACTGATTCAGATCTTAAACTTCGTTGTCGACACGTTAGAATATAATAGAACCGGAAGATAAGCGGACGATGTCGTATAAGTACACAAACGTTGTATTTTCACGTTTTTGTTTACTCATTTGATAGTTAATACACCAACGAGTGTTGCCAATATTTGCCAATTATTTTCGAGTGACCTCGAATAAGAAGCTCTTTGCTTCTAATTTCAACGGAGGTCAAATTAACGCGAATTCAAATCTTACTTGACCGCTTTACCATCCTTCCTTCCTACTTATTTACTTTCATCGTTTCTTTTTCCTATTGGTCCTCATCGTCTCTAAGGTATTTTTGTATCGAATATATTGCAAAAACATTATAGTGGTTTAGAAAATTATATAAATATTTTAAATGTCTTTTCAATTAACATTTTGGTCTGATTGGTATCATGATTAGTTAAATCTAATTCATATATCCCTGAGTTTTCGGAACAATCGCGATATTCCTTGTTTATGTTTGTTTTATTATTGAATAAATAGTTGAATGAGAAAATAATACTTTTTACATTAATTACAGTAAAACACTTTTTAAATGTTTCTACATTTTCAGTAAGTACGATTTCGTGTATTTATGAATTTCTTCTGGATCTGGAAAAATAAATTTAGAAATTGAATTACAAAACATTCGGTTAAAATTCGATTAAATAACAAAAAATAAGAATAATTTGAATAATCTTAAATATTAATTTTATGTTTAATTGAATTTTCTTTTAAATAATCAGTATTCTTACCGAAGATTTTTTTATCTAAAATTTCAGTATGAATATCTTTACAAATCCTCATAAATGATTCCTTATCTGGTACACGTTTTGAAGGATAATATCTCATCAGATGTCCTTTCACAACTTTTGCTGTTTCAAATCGTATTTTCTTCTCTTCTTTTTTATCTGTTTTTGAAGAGTTATTACTATCATCACTATTTTTTATAGCTATTTGATTTTCTTCTGGTAATTTTTTACGTTCAGTTGACACTCGAATATTTTTTTCGTCATTTTTATGGCGTTTGTTCGGTTGATTGACATCAAGGGTATCGGAGATTTTTGTAGATGAACGTTTTTTTTTAGAACTATCATTCTTTGACGTAGAATTGTAATTAACTTTTTTCGAGCTATTTTTATTACTTTCAAGACTACTGTCATTGATTTTTGTACTATTTTTGTCCATCTTTAAAGAACTTTCCTTACGTTTTCCCAGTTCTTGTTTTTCCGTATCACAATCATTGTTATCCCTCGTGTTAATACTATTTATTTGTTTATCAACGTCACTATTTATTACCGCTGGTTTTTGAACAAAATATTTTAAAAGAGAATTTTTTTCAGATTCCTTAGATATTAGACTTTTTTTAGATTCTCTCTTCTTCGAAGAGTTGGAAGTTTTATTTTTATTATCAGTCTTTTTATCATTTTCATTATTATGAGTTTCCAAAGCGGATTGGAATCCTATTTTTGGAGTATTTGTATTGATAGTTGATTCATTTTTATCAAAATCATCAAGCTTTTCATCTGAATTTGATTTTTGTCTTATTAAACCATTAACTTTCCTTTCATTATTCTTTTTCACACTGGTTTTAGTATCATTTTTATTTTCATTTTTCATTTCTTCCATTTTCATCAGATCTGATCCTGTTACAAACCCTCCTAAATGACTAGTTTTTGGAATGTTGATATTGTTGATGTCTAGAGAATTGCATGTTGAAAAACATTCATGCATCTCCATTTGCTTAGTTAATTCCCGAATTGTTGCTACCTGTTAAAAATAATCGTTTTAGCAAATGCATTTTGTAAATTGGCACATTGTTTAGATACCTTCTGAGATATTTCTAATTTATATTTACTAGCGAGCTTTGTCTGACATAAAATATTGTATTCTAAATCACGAGCCATGTCTTCTACTTCTACTTCGCTGAACTTCTTATCAAATTCATTTTGACAAACTCGTAAATTATTTAGAAGATTATCTTTCAATTGTTGTACACAATATTCTCGCACTTGAATTGTTAGACCTTTGACTTTACGGTCTGTACATTCAGCAGCAATTACTCGTGATTTTTTTGCATCAATTTTATTTTGCTGACGTATCTGAAATTTATATTCACATTTAGAATATTTATTATCTTAGATAAGAAATGTTATCTTTGACAATTATTTTAATTCATATACCTTTTCACTAATACTGTTTTCTCCGCGACGTAGAGCAAATTGTTCATCTATTAAGGCTTTGGCTTCTCTTTTCTCGGCTGCAATTATCTGTTCTCTCGATGGACCACCCCCCAATTCTTCTCCGTCACTAAAACATTTTTTAATATTACTTCATAATTACTTATTTATGAAAAAAAAGAAAATAATTGCTAGTGATAACATACAAATTATCAAATTTCGGTAAAGCAATCCCATCTCCTACACTTTGCGATTTTTTTTGAGACTGTGACTGACTCAGAAATTCAAATTCAGCAATTTTTTGTTTTACATCCTTCTCATTTTTACATACGTCACATCGGTTTTTACATGGAGGAATATTATCCCCAAAAAATTGTGAAAACTTGGCATGTCGACATCTGAAAATTTTTTTAAATTATAATTGAAGTGAAAACAATTAAAATAAAAAATAATTAATTTTTCCCGTTCTCATTCTTCTTTAACGAAGAAAAAAGGATTTAATCAGCAGTAAAAATAATTTAACTTTAACCAAATTTTGACTTTCCTTATTTGAAGAAAGTTTTAAAATAATATAGCAGTCAGATTATCATATTTCAACGTTTGGATAAAAACTTATTGTTTACACAAAAAAAAAAATATTTACATTAAATGCTTTTACTTCCAGTTATAATATTGATAAGAATTAAGAACCAAATATTTAAAAATTTTGTACGATATTTCGTAATCAAAACAGTTTTTCATTTCAAAACGATCTTTGTTGAAAAACTCAGTATGGTTAAGTCGATAAAAGATATCTAAATAAAATTACTTTGCCTCCAAACAATACGAAACAATTTTTTCAAAGTTTTTGTATTTTGATTTGGCTACTTCTGTGGATTGTCCTGGTTCAACATCCTTCATCAAGAACTGTACAGCTTGAAATTCTTGGCTACTGAAGTAAATTCGACAGTTAGCTGATTTTCCATCTCTGCCAGCTCTACCAGATTCCTGATAGTAGGAAGCTATACTTTGAGGAACGGTCAAATGAACGACGAATCTACGTAATTTAACAAATGAATCAGCTTGAAGTTTAATTAATTTGAAGCTATTTATGTAATAACAATGATCTCATTCGAAATCGTAAACTTGGTGTGTTCTATTATTCTAGATTATTTGTACCTAACCGATCCCTTGTCTACTCCCATTCCAAAGCTGCATGTTGCTGCAATAACTGGCACCTCGCCCGATGTCCACCTATCTTGAATTTTGTTACGACTACTGGTACTCAGCCCTAGTAAGAATACATAAAAATAAAATTGTAGATGACATTAGAAAATCAATACAACCACTTAGTAGAGTAGTAGATACTCTTAATTAATCTAATAATAACTTCATTAGTGGGCTTCAGACTTTTATATATATACAACCTTGTTTTGTGATTGGTGAATACTTGTATTGCAATATATCAACCAAGTTATTATTGATAGAAAATAATTTTTTGATTTTAAATAATAGAAACTTTGAAGTACCTCCATGGTATGCAAGTGTAGGAACTCCTGCTTTACTTAATCGTTCAGCAATATCTTCAGTACTTTCTTTTTTACGACAATAAATAATTCCACAATTTTTATTATTTTTCGGCAAAGAACTGTCGTCTGAAGAAGCAAGTGCTTCAATAATAAAATTTAATAAATGATCTAATGGTTTTGTTATTGTATCTGTAAACCATAAGTCATAGAATAAATTTTCTCGAAATACTGGTGCAGAAAATATTAAAGGATCTTTCATATTTAAACTTGAAAATATATCCTCGACAACCTGTTATAATTATGAAAATAATTTCATTTTTAATTCCAAAAAGAATTTGATACTTTAAACTATAGAGTTTTATTCAAACCTCTTTTGCTGCAGTAGCTGTTAAGGCAACAATCGGAACATCAGGACATTTAGCTCTTAAGATGCTTAATTTCCTATAACTTGGTCGAAAATCATGTCCCCATTGACTCAAACAATGAGCTTCATCAATAATTAAATACGAAATAGCTTCTGATTTGGATAATTTCTCCACAAGTTTCTGTTTTATAAAGTAAATGAAGCCAATATAACTTTCTATAGCTTTCGTTTCAGCTTATGTTTCAAAATAGTGCATTAATTTAAAAATTACCTGAAAATGTTCTTGCGTACACATCTCTGGAGTAACATATAGCATTTTGATCGCTGGCTTTTTACTACATAAATCTTGCATAATTAAAGATTTTTCTTTTGCAGTAGTTTTAGAGTTTAAAGCAAATGCTCTGATCCCTTTACTATTTAAAAAATCCACTTGATTCTATAATAACAAAAGTTTAAATAATAAACAGCATTTTATAAAAGTAATGAAAGAAAAATATTTCATTGATATATTACTTTCACAAGAGCTAATAAAGGTGAAATAACTAGTGCCACAGCATTTTCTCTTAATGCAGCTGGTAATTGGAAGCATAATGATTTTCCAGCTCCAGTGGGCATACAAACATACACATCCCGTTTTCCTATAATAAACAATTTAAATCATTCTATTTAAAATAATTTCTTGATAATCATTTCAATAATATTATTTATGAAAAGAATTAAATGCTTGATTCATTCTGAATTATAAAAATTTTTTAAAAAGAAAATTGAAAGGTTATATCATACTGTCATATATTGCTGCAGTAGCTTTGGCTTGTAATTCACTTCTAAAATCATTGTACTTAAATTTTTTCTGTAAAGCTTGTTGTAACAACATAATTACTTTACAAACATATGACTCTTTGTAACCGTTTAAAACACTTGTTTTTCTATAACACACACATGAATACAAAACAGCTGATGGAAGTAAATGGTAAATGGATTGGTGATTTTATCAGATGGTAATAATTAACATAACTCCATCACCGATTGTAGTTTAAACAGTAATTTTTATAATTTTCCCAATTATTACTGTGATAATAAAGAGAAAATTAGCGCAGAATTCAAATATTCGCACACTTGGCATCGTATAATGTTAATTTTTAAAATAAATTCTGTTTTTTTTTTAAACTAAAAGTCTTTATCAACACTATTTTAATTGATCACCACAACCAATTGACATCTGAATAAACTGATAAAATAACGTTACCTCTATGACGATCAATTTTTAAAAAAAAAAAGAGGAATATTATTTATTCATCAGTTGAAAATAAAATTCTTATCGTAGATTTTTGTGTATACATAATAAAAATAAAGATTGATTATAATTCTATATATTTATTTTAGGCTATTAATAATTTTTTGACATCATTGTGCAGAACAAAAAAAAAATTGGAATAAAGTTACTTGATATTATTATTACACTTACGAAGTTTAATTAATTATTTACTACATCAATAACGGATAATATAATCCTTACAATCGCCAATGCAAACCCGTACAATATAATGAGAATTTATATTTACAAATTCATTTTTTCGAAGTTTACATTTCGAAATGATAATTCATAAAAATTTCTACGTAAATATATGTTAAGTATTACAAATTTCATCATTAGTTGTTCGCAATGATTTTCGAGAATTTTTTTTGATATTTTTATTAAGAACACTATTACAATAAAGTAGTATCTCATTACATATCAAATACTCATCAAATAATATTAATAATAATCAATAATAGATATTACTATAATTATAATAAATGATGTTTACAATCAATTTACTTTCAAATTTAATCAACTAATAAGATGACAGAGTAAAACGTAATTTTCTTTCACTTCAATCATTTAATTCACCTGATGCATGTCATAATCTTACAGTTATTTGATCATTATTCTACTGGTAATATTTAATATTAATTCATATACAAATGCTCTAAAATACATATTGTGAATTAATCATAAACGACAATTAATTTATGAATAATAGGCAAAGCACATGAATATTTACAGACGGTTAAAGTCTAATTAAATTTTCGCCTGGAATCCATTTTGGCAGTTCGGTTGCTGCAGTCTGTAGGACTTCTTTTTAATCGTATAAAAACTGTAAATTTATTAATTGAGCGCAACAGTTGCACGAGATCATTGCACTGCATCATTTAGTCGCACGAATCTTTAATAACTTTTTCAAAAATCAATCATGATTATACTTGATTGATTACTTAAACAAAACCCTTATACAAATTAATCATTTACCTAATCTTCCAAAATAATTTGTGTTGTCACGAAATATCACTTAAAAATTTCCTGAATGTTTTTTTTGTTGTTTCCATGCTGATATTCTTTCTTTCAGATCAAGAACTAGAAAAAAAAAATTATTAGTTATTATTTAAAGAATAATATGTTTTTATATATTTATTTAAAACATGAAAATAGAATAAGTACCTGGTGTAAGCATGTCTTCACTTAATGGTTGTCGACTAAAAGGATCTGTCGAGCTATTGAGTAAATGCCTTATTATTACCGCCTTATCCATAATTATTCCTGATGGCAGTTTTACAGGATCTTCCATCAACGTATCCATCAGAGGATCTCGGAACTCTTCCGGTGCATCACCATAGTCTTCTTCACGAGCACGATTATCTCGAGCTATAATCGCTGCACGCTCTGCCAGTGCCATAAATCTTTCAATTTCTGTAGTTGTTTTTATATTCGATCTTTCTAGTCTATTCGATGCATCCGTAAACAACTCTTTACAGAAAGATCTCTGATAATAAAATATTGACATTTAATATGATTGTTAAAAAAATAAAATAAGGAGTAATATAATAAAAATCTCATTTAAATTCAATAAATATTATCATAGCTTAATTAGGATAGCATAATTAGGAAATAATGGATTCACTATCATAATCTTTATCAATCTAACAAAGATAATTATACTGACCTCGTCACTGGCTAATGCTGCAGCGAAATTATCACAGTCAAGATGTAAATAAATGTCAACCAACTGACCGAGTAACGTCCGTGGTTCCCAGCCATATTTTTGAGGCTTTCTTACTTTTAAATTTTTACACTTTGGACCACAAAGCTGTTGTAAATTAAAGTTCAACATAGCACTTAAACGTCCAACAAGTTCAGGCCGTAAAAATGGTTCGGTTATTTCCGCCGTTAAGTAATGAAACATTGCAACGGTTTCCTTGGCAAGAGTAAGATATGATCTGGCTTGTCGTTCATCCGCTGCTAATTGCCTGGATCTCGATTGTTGTTGTTCATGGGACAATGCTGACCAATTAGCCGAGTCTGACATCAATTCTTGAACTTCATGAATACGCTTAAGTGATTCTAAACTTTCGTCGAGTAGAAATGTTGTATCATTCATCAACATATTAATAAACTTTACAAATTGCTTTCCGTTATTACTTTCGTTAATGATTGATATACGATGAATTGGACTATCCCACATGGATTTTAATATTAAATTGATATGATAACGAATTGAAAACTTATCGTAAAATTCTGAACTAGAACCAGTAGTTTCAACGTCGGTGTAAAATTTCATTAAATAAGAAGCTAAATGCGTCTTTGTTATTGGATGTGACATTACTTGATCATGGAGGGTATCAGTTCTTCCCTAAAAAAAAACAAAAAGTACTTATAATACTACTACACCTAGATTTATATCTATTCTAAATAAATAGCTGAAATTTTAGAGAGTAAAATTACGACTAAATAATAGGTCATTAACGTGACAAATGTAAAATTGTATGCATACCTGAACACTTGTGTTAATAACAAAGAGAACTTCAACAATCTTTGCTATTAGATAAGGATTCCGAATACAATGTGGCGTACAGATGATTACAAGGAGCCACGTAATGAGAGAATTATCCATATTATTAGCTATAATACCAGGACTAAATTGTAGAGCAAATAGTAAAAATTCTGCTATATCTTCAACATACCACTCTGGAAGAGCAGTGAATTTATGTGGTATTTGTTGTGAAAGAGGTAAAGAAGGTAAATTAACACCAGGAGTAGTTTGAGTTAAGAGTCCAAGAAGAATTTCTGCCACTGATGTGTAAAAATGTAAAGAACGTCCAAGAAGAACAGGATCGATAAGACCAGCATCTGCACATGACTTTGATTTTCCTAAACGTTTTAACTGATGTTTCCAACGTTTTATTAATTCTTTATTGTGTGCTGCGAATGGAGCATCTTTCCACTGAGGTTCCATAGCTTGGAGTTCATCTAACATTTTTTGTAATTCTCTTAATGCTCGTAATTTTCTTCGGTATTTCTGAAGCGCTGGAAGTAATGCAACGTGATGACAGTGAAGGGTTAGAAACCAACATTGTGTTGGAAATTTAGCTTCTGTCCATTTGTGACTCTTTCCTAACTCTTCTAGCCAATCTGTAACTTCTTGAGATGAAAGTTTTAATCTCGTATCATTTTTTATTTCCACAAAGCTTGATGGATGAAATGGATATAGAGGATCTACCGTGTCAAGTTTTATTTTTACAGAAAGCATTTGAAGAACAGATAAAAGATTAAGCATAAAACCATCACCAGCAAGAGAAAATTCTTCCGTTTGTATTTGCACTCGTTTTTCATTATGACGAAGTAATGTTGCTAAATAAGCAAGTGTTGCTTCACGACACGTGCTAGTTGCAAGAATTGCATGAAACATTTTATGCAACGAAGCCCTTGCGGTTTCTAGTTCTTGCTGTAATGTTAAATTTATTGATTTATCATTTGATGGAATGCCACTGAAGAATTTTTCGGCTACTTTTGGCTGGTCTTCAGCAAATACAGACACAGAGAGAAAAGGTCCGAGGAATGAAGTTCTGGTTAATTCACGTCCAACCGCAGTTGTCATTACGTCAGGTAAAAATTGAATTTGATGAGTTATCAGCCGACAAATTGGCCGGATGTTACCGTTAGTGCCGCAGCGAATATCGATCAACTCTTCTAACGCTTCAATGGGTCGACGATGCGTATTACCAACCAGACTTGCTTGCTGCATTGATAGATATAAGCCTTGAAGTAATGGCGTAAATATTTTATTGAATGTCTGAGGATTTGAATGAGTTCTTGCTACGAGTTCATGAAGAAAGCCTCTAGGGAGAGTTTGCGAAAGAACTGGGTAAAGTAGAGGACTGGTAGATGTAATATTTGTGCCATTTGGCACTCCGATCACTTCTTGAAGCACGAGACTTGCATATTGAATGCACTGAGCACGTAAACATGTCAATACGTCAGAGATTGGGGGTACACTTGATCGTTTTGGATTATTACGTTCTTCTATTGAAACTCTTGTATAGCAATCTAGTAGATAGAACAAACTTTTTGGTTGCGTTTTTTGTTCATTTGATAGAAGAGGTAATGTTGGTAAAGGACACGATGAGAGAGCTACAGCAGGGCTAACCAATGGACTTGTTTGACTATTTGGACTGTCTTCACCATCAGACAACATATCCATATTGATTTCTTTCAAAGGATCTTCACCACGAGTGAACATTTGCAATACTTCCATTAAACCTTCATTAACAATATCAGTATAATTCATTACTCTATTCTGTGATTCATTTGACGCCATGTCTGACAAAAATATCAGTTTATCAGATGATTTTTTCCAAGTTATACACAATACACGAGATATAACACTATGGATTTGCTCAATTGTAACATCAATGCTAGAACTGGTAGTCTGTGAAATGAAAAAATAAAATTATATTACGTTGCAACAACAAAACATTAAAATGAGATAATCATTACCCTTGATCTAGGTGGCATATCTTTTCGATCTGATTCTTCAACCTCCATATTTTCAATTCCAGAATCTACATCGATTCCAGAACTATTGCACTGCTTTTCACTATTATCTTCACAGTCCATGGGTACTTCTTGTTGAAAATCCGATGATTGTTGTTGCTGTAACTGTGATTGGGGCGACTGAATTGAGGGTTGCTGGATCGGAGACAACATATCTGATGATACTGTTGAAGGACCTGGAGTGCTTGGAGACTCAATTCCATTTGTTACACTGGAATTTATAACTGGTGTGCTGGTATCTAGACCAGCTAATCGAGCTAGACGACGTCTTCGCATCTAATTATAAATAGAACAATAAATATTTTTTGTTTAACGAGTAGATAAATAATTACTTTATATAATATTTACTGATAGATAAATATAAAAATGTATTATGCTCTTGATAAAATTAACAATGTAACTAAAAATAAGAAATAAAACTAGGCTAATCACGTTTTCATTTGCAAACAAAGATGTAAAAGTGTGTAATTGATTCAACAAAAATATCTCAATGCAGTAGAAAGGTACTTGGGAATTTCGGATGACTCGATATTTATGGAAAGGATAAAGAAACAAAGACAAAGATTATAGTCAAAGAAAATAACGAAATAAAAATTGAAAAATTTATTCAAGTTATATAATGACAATATGGAGTAAATAAAATAGAATAAATTTTTATTTTAAATAAAAAAAACTCTAATTATTATTGATCAAAGTTTTAGAAAATTATGTTTATTAGTGAAGTGATTTTAACTTCCATGAATGAGTTATAAAGCAAATTGAGTTTTTAACGTTACGGAAAGATAGTTATCTACTCACTTCTTCTTGGCTCAATTCACTCATGATGATAATCCTTTTATTATTGAATAATTTTCACTTAAATAGTCGATTAATTCCTCTATTTATTGACCACTAGAAATGTACAAAAGTATTCATAAGAAATTTGTTTGAATGAAATTGGGATATGTCAGAAAATTTGGACAGTCACTCTCTACATCTGTTTGAGTTTAGGCGTGGAACGAGTGGTCTTATGTCAACTCACGGCCAATCTCCACACTGTTTGCGATTGTTACGCCTCTACAGAAAAAAATCGAAACTACATACTTTTGAGAATAGTTAGTGTAACGTTCGTTTTGACTACAGTTTATGCACAATAATTTACAATCCAAACATGAGTTGTTTGATTACTTTGAATATTCTTGAATCACATTAAGTATTACAAAATAATTATGAACAATTAATTATAAATAATGTAAGCAATAATGGGAAGTTATTACGATTATTCAACAACTTGGGAGTTTTATTTGGGTTTAAGTTTAGCACTTAGTTCTAATTTATTTATCGGTAATATAAATTGTATTCTTATTCGTTCTATAAATTTTATGGTTTTTAGATGAATAAAATTATTTTATTTAATCGTAGGTACCAGTTTTATTATCAAAAAGAAAGCTTTAATTTACTTGCAAAAGTATGGTGTACGTGCAGGAGCTGGTGGTCATGGCTATTTACGACAGTGGACCTGGTGGGCTGGTCTATTAACAAGTAAAACTTTCATTCAAATGTTATATCATTAATTTTTTCAATTAAACTATTTATTCTGCGAATTAAATTCATTTTTATTTTATGTTATCAATAAAATTAATAGGTTGTCAACTTGGTTTTTTTATTGGGTCATTTTTTATCTTCATTCTAGTGGGTATAGGAGAAGCAGCCAATTTTGTAGCATATGCATTTGCATCAGCTTCAGTGATTACACCTTTAGGAGCTCTAAGTATAGTCGTGACAGCAATAATGTCATCTAAGTTTCTTCACGAAAGAATGAATATTCTTGGAAAGGTAATCAATATCGATATTTATTAAATAGAAAAATATAACATTAGGGATCATGATAAGATTGAAATATGATATACTAGTTCAATAATTTGAAATTATCATTAAAGTATTTGATAAATTAATGATCTTTTAATATTTACAGGTAAATTGATGATAGTTAATTTAATATTTATGTTATAGATAGGATGCTTCTTATGCATGCTTGGCACAACTGTGATAGTTCTGAATGCTCCAAAAGAGGAACAAGTAGAAAATTTTCCGGAGCTTATTCAGATGATGAAAAATCCTATTTTTATCGCATATGTATTCATAATACTCATTGTGAATCTCTACGTAATGTTTTATTGCGGACCACTCTATGGTCAAGACAATATAATTATCTATATTTTTATATGCTCAAGTTTTGGTTCGCTGACAGTGATGAGTTGCAAATGCCTTGGACGAGCTATTCGAGATTCTTTGTATGGAGAAATTAATGAGATGGAAAATTGGCGAACCTGGTTATTATTGTTTTCAATAATACTATGTATAATGATTCAGATGAATTATTTAAATAAGGCATTAGATTTATTTAATACTGCAGTCGTAACTCCTATTTATTATGTATTTTTTACGACTTTTGTCATGACTGCATCAAGTATTCTTTTTGAAGACTGGAAACACATGAGCTCAGAAAATATTATCGGAGGACTATGTGGATTTTTCATAGTTATAACTGCGATATTTTTATTAAATGCTTTTAAAGATTTAAATATTTCTTATAGTGATATTAGATATTTATCTGTAGCAAAAAATTCCGGCCAAAGAAACCAGAACCAAGAAAATAATAGTGATGGAAATGTTTTAGAATTGTTATTACATTCATGCAATTATAATGAATGCACTCGTGCCTGTTGTAAAAAATATAACTCGAGAAAGGAAAGTGTAACTTAATTTAATTGATGAATTTACTCAGCTCATTTTAATGAGCCTAACTTTTAATTCAAAGATAGTTTTCGATTACTATATTACATAAAAAATATATATGTAACAATTTAATGTTATTTCTTTCTATCGATTATAAATGTTCTCAATATTGACAATAATAAAATAAGTTCAAATTTTATACAGTTTCGCGCCATTTTTTTACTCCTCCTCCCTCTTTTTAGAAACTTGTTCAAACTTGTTTAGCTTAACCTAACCTTAAAATGCGTAGACGCATAAAAACAAAATATTTTTATCTAGATTTTGAATTTTCGAATTTATTCTGTGTATTGTGCTTTTATAAAGTAAACTAATTGTTTTCGTATAATTTTTAGAAACTTTTTCTGTATCTATGCAGATATAAAAGGATATACACATATTTTAAAAATGTATCGAAACTATAAATCAGTAAAAACTAAAAATGATAACAATGAAAAAAAATTTAACGAAAATCATCGATCTAGTTCATTACATGTTAATCTAAGTTTCAATAATGACTCTATGGATGCAGATAATATAAAAATAACAAGTAATTCTGTTCATAAACTAAATACAAGTGGTTGTGATAGAATTAATGACGAAGACGTGAATAATAGTATCAATGATGTTTTGAATATGATTCACCAAAAAGACGAAGCTTTAAATGAAAGTTGTTCTCGTCTACGTGATGCGATTGTGAGTAAAACTAAAGAAATATTTAATAATTACAATGATTTATGTACGAAAACAATCAAAGTGTTACAAAGTCAACCACATCAAGATATTCATAAGAAACAAAGGAAAAATTCATCTATACGTTGGAACAAAAGTCAAACAGTAGTTTCACCGAGAAGAACACGAGCATCAACAGCTCGTATTTATAAAAATAATTCAGTAATAGCAAAAAATGGTTTTTTCACTGAATCATCTGATGAAAGTATTAATTTTGGAAATCCAGTCATGTGTTCAACATTCAATAATCATCATTGTAACATACATGAGTCTTGTAATCGTGAAATAAGAAATATTAACAATATTCATGTTCAAAATATTTCAGTAACTCAAGCAGTTGTACCAGGAAATCTAAAAGAAGCTTCTCCAGCATCGTCTCCACCGAAAAAATTACCTACAGTTATTGACATTCAGCCATGCCATATTACTATTGAAAGAATAGATCCTCATATGTTAAAACGTACAATAATACAGCAAGAACCAATGGAACTAACAGAAGCTCAAGGAAATATTTTTCATGAATCAGTAGTTAATAATCCAAGCCAGAAAAAAGATCTCAACAATTTGTCCATGTGTGTTAATACCTCTCTGGATCTAATGAATCATATTCAGTCTCAAAATAATAAACAAATTGATCGGGTTCAAGATCAAAATGTTTTAAAAAATATTACCAATGTACATAATAAAAAAAGCAATATGATAGCAGTACCTCGTACAACTATCTATTGTAATACAATTAATATTATAAACTCTCCTTCAGTAATAGAAGTTAATAAAACAGATAATATGTCTGTTATGGAAATACCAAAGAATGTTTCTGAAGGGAATGTTGCTGTTAGTAAAAATACGAATGATTCTGCAAGAAAAATTTCTAGTGAATGTTCTTTTGTAGAAGGAACACCGGAAGCTCGATCAGTGTCATCGAGGACTCAAACAATGCTCAATAGAACAAAAAAAGATGCGAAAACAATAGCTGAAGTTGAAAATAGGTTGGAGGATTTAGATTTAGAAAAGACTATTAATCTAGATCAATTGGTTATTCCTCCACATGTCATTCGTAAAAGTAAAGGCACAATTATTATTCAAGAATCTTCAGATGATTCTGATGATGAGAATAGTGAACCAATTTCTAATAAGCCTCCAGCTGAAAAAGTTTTTCGAAAGAAAAGATTATTTACTCAACATGATAGTCCGAGTTCTATTAAATGCAGTCCAGCTACACAAAATATGTCACCGTTGATACCATTGAAACGAAAAGAATTGAAAAGGAAACAAATTAAAAAGCAGCTTATACCAGAATGTGTTAGAAGAAGTTATAGATTATCAAAATCGCTGTCTCAGCCGAATATTAATAATATGTCCTCGAGTTCAAGCATAGAAGATGGTGCATTGACTCAGAATTTAAAAAGTCAGAAGAAAAAAAAGAAACGTTTAATTAAAAGCAAGAAAATTGTAATAAAAAAACCAGTAAGAGCAAATATATTAAATACACTTCATAATATTTCAAATAATAAGTCTGAAGAGGAAACTGGTCTTCGGCTAGCTCGAGGCTCTGATGTTTTTATGATGAACAATAAAATTTTTAAACGAAGAAAGACTCATAATGCTCAAAGTATAGTTATTGTTTCTACGGGTCTGACTAGCCGGTATGTAACAAATACATGAAGTCATTTTTATTTTCTTCTATTGTTTTTATTAGACGAGAATATTTATGATAATTATTCAATGAATTAAGCGCAAAAAATATTGCTGTTAAGCTAGTTTTTAAAAATGTAATCTACTACTAATTCATCATTGTGTGTAATTTCAGAGATAAAGACTTGGTGAAAAATGCAGCGAACAAAATAGAGGGAGCAAAAATGGAGTCAGTAGTAACTCGAAAAACAACTCATGTTGTCACGACCGGAGTCAGAACAATAAATTTACTCCGGGGTATAATAAGAGGTTGCTGGATTGTTAAATTAGAGTGGGTGAAAAAGTCAATGGAGGCGGGAAGATGGTTGAATCCAGAAAAGTATGAAATTGATTGCTTTAGAGCTATAAAGGTAAGGATTTTTAAGTAGTATAAATATAATAATTATCAAAAACATTTCGAATATAAATTACGTGAATTGATTATGATTAAACAAATCAATTACATAGACCAATGGGATAAAAAATTGTTTGAATTTAATTTTACTACACCATATTAATAATCATTAAAAATAAATTAAAATATCTATGTGATGTCATAATTTATTAAAAGGACATCTTAAAGATCACTCCTTTTTAGTCTACACCTAGTGCAATAGCTGGGATGGAGTAAGAGGTTGTTGCATTAGGATTTAATAATAATAATTAAATATTCTTTTAGTTTTAATAAGTTAATAAATGGGATAGAATTAATAGGGATATTTATTTAATTAACAAATTAATTTTAAAGCCAATTAATAATTTATTAAATTAATAATCAAATTATAATTTTTAATTTATATAAATAATAATTTCTTAAACGAGATTGCACTTTCTTTTAAATTTTAAATAAAAATAAATATTAAGACTTACTTTTGATATTTAAATCCAAATTATAATTTTAAATCCAATTTGTATTCTTTTAATTAAATAATTATTCAAATAACTTTTATTATAAACAATTAACACTTCTTAATATTTTGATTGATAAAACTAAAGTGTCACTTAAAGGACATTTTCGGTTGTTGCTAGCAGGTAGCAACATCCCTTCTTTTACATTTTTAATTGAATAATTAATTTTGATTGGTTACAATTAAATCAATAATAATTTCTTTTTATTTTCTTTTAGTTTGTAATTAAATATTTTTGCAAACAATGCTTCTGACAACGATTTATATTTCTTGCATACTAAATTACATCTGAAGCATTGTTAAACGCAATAAAAATTAATAAGAAATATTTCTTTAAATTTTTAATAATTATTTATAATAACTTTTAAATCTATTTCTTAAATATATATTTTTAAATTTAAAACGTATGGGCGCGTAGTGCCACATGACGTGACATCTACATTGTACATGAGTACAAAGTACTCTCGAAATGTTTATTTGAATAATTAGAAAATTAGTTATAAGGTTTACAATTGAATATCATGAAATAATTAATTATTAATAATGCAGGAAAATCGACGAGACAAGGAGATATTTGGCAGTGCTTACGTTTCTGAATTATTTACAACATGTAGTCCAATTTACATTGATGAAAATACAACACCGCCAAGAGACGTTCTCAAGGAATTAATCGGAACAGCTGGAGGTTCACTGACGGAAGATAGAAGAAAAGCAAAAGTTATCGTTGGTCCTGAAGATATTAAAGAAGTTTGGGTATTAGATTCAATAACAAGCGGGGAATTGCAGTCTATTAATCAATATAAGAGATGATAATAATAAGGTAAAAGATTTACAGTCCAATTATTTTAGTAAAATACCCCTTCTGTCATATCCTTCCCATCAAAGCTTTAAGGAAATGAAAGTTTAATTGTCTTCCTCTTTGAGAAAGATCAATTGAAAGGATAATAATTCAGAGTTTGTGATATTGTGTAAATTACTTTGGCTTCAAGCGTGTTAGAATATTCATGTTGTACGTGGTTTCCTCATGAAAGGGACGATGATGAACACGGATGGTTGAGAATACGACGTTGCCCTCCGCGCGTCTCGGTAGGTACTCGAGTTTTCAAGCACAGTCGCTACTCGGGTTTGCTCGCTACCCCAAAAGTGCACCTACTTAAGGGTTGCCTCGCGAGAACGTCGCCTTAGAGCTTCATAATTCCAAAAGAAGTCGAATTACTAGAACTTTACCAGTTCATAATTGTGTCGCTACAATTATTGCTGTTTCCTTTACTATTATTTCTTTAAATGTATTTACTTAATTTTGTCACCACTATGTCAAATTACTTTCTCACTTATATTATATTTATCATAGACATCAGATGCTTTTTGAAAAATATTTTCTACGTTCCTTTGGGCATATTATTGATGATCATTTGAAAAGGTTTTCTTTATCATTTGTGTTTATTATTATTTTTTTTTTTTATTTTATAAAATCTATTGAAAAAGATTTTTAAGCACATTTCTTCTTTTAGCGTTATAGAACTCTAGATAGACTCTAAAGAGTTGAAAAATAATAACGGCGGTTATCTGAATCATCAGACTTTTAATAACGCTAATGTGCTCTTAGAAGATGTTTTGCAAAAAATTAACAGGGAATTCAAGTCTGTATTTTTTTTCTATAATTTTAATAGAAAATAATAAAAAAAAATAAATAAAACATTGAATAAAATATTTCATAAAAAATTGAATATAAAAATTTGTTGGAAATTAAGATTATAATTTGCTAGAGCAGAAATTCAGATTGATTGGTTCAGTTGCTCTCAATATTTAAAATGAGTAAAAAATTTTTGCTTTGACAATAATGAATTGCGCGATGAAAAAAAAAAATTATATTTAATCGAATGAACAGACGGAATACATAAAATAGAGTACGCTCAAGCGCGATATCAAGTAGGAAATTATTATTTAATGCTAGTGCATTATTAAAAAATGATCATCACAGTGAAAGAGATTGGATTCAAATATTCAAAATATTCACGGAAATTCTTTATGTATACCAATTAGCATAACTTTTGACAAAGAAGCACTATCATTATCAATGTTATTACAATTGTTATCTTGATAATATCCATCAAAACTTAATTAATTGGATTCTCATTTTTTCGTATGTTATCAAGTCTGGTCGATCATTAATATCTATATGCATATGCACCTTTGCTGAATATAGGGATTACATAGAAACTGTCGGTATAATGCTCTTTTGTGCTTTTTTTTTTGCAAGAAAAAAAAACTTGTAACTCTCATATTTCCATTAAGTAAGGCAAGAAGGTTGTACCTACTAGGGACACTGCACCGCGCAGCTTTTATCCTGATTAGTATACGACAGCAATAGGGAGCAGAAAAATAAATGTAGATGCATGAGTACGTGTAATGAGAATCCATGCGATTATGTAATACACGAATTATGTACTTTCATGTTAGGTATGTTATAAATATGGATAACAATATATCTGTGCTCACTTTTACTACTTTTCATCTAGTTTTTAAAAGTGAGTGTGCATATCTTGATTGAAAAATAATGGATTATATATCGATGAATTTGTGGCGCACCTGCGGGTTGTCGATATCAAATTCACATTGTTTTAAATAATCCTGATGTGTTCAAACACCACTATGGCCTCTTGTTTTTCTTTAAGTCTTTATGTAGGTGTAGTGTTTTGAATTTTTTTTTTCATTCTCTTTCTTTAAATGTTCTTCTTTAGATTAAATTACACCCCAAGTGTGGAGTCTTAATCGTAAATGATAGCTGACAAAAACACGTGTCATTTCCACTTGATTAGTTTTCTACTTTTTAAGCGTCATACATCAGGGTTCTTTGATATTTTTGATTAATTGATATTTGGAGTCCTGGTTAACGGGAAATAACTGATGAGTAATATTTAGTTTATTAATTTATTATTCATTTATAATAATTAATTTTGCTTTATTTCTTTTAATAGAGTTTTAAAAATATTTTTTGTATTTTTGTTTATAAATTACCTGAGATTTATATATGCTCTTAGGAGTCTATTCATAAAAATCAATTATAATTTGTAAACTTTATAGCTTTATCAAGTACTAACAATTATTGTGACAAGATTTATTATAAGTTTTGAAAAATAAGTAATTTATTTAAGTTTCGATTATGGTTTCTACAGTACTATTGTAAAAAAAAAGAAAATTTATTTTATCATTTTTGTTAAATTAAACGAATATTATATTCTATATAATTTGTATATAACAGAAGTAATAAATAAATATTGAATATTTATTTACTCATAAATGAAAAATTGTTGAATTGAATCTATATTATTGGTAATGTAAGATAGAACATCACGTATGGTAAATATTTAATGTCATAAGTAAATTAGATATATTTGTACATACTTAAAAAATAATATTTTATGTTAAGCAAATTTACAAGAGTATTTCACAGAAAAATGGGAAACTTTCAGACGGAAGTAATTTGACGTGTCAGAATTTAAATTGAGTTGACATAAAAAGTCTAGTTGATGAATGGAGACTACTTTTGCTACAAAGTCTCGTATTGTGTGCATTTATGTCTGAGAAGATATCTGTTTCTACAAACGATTCAGCTTTATTTTATTATACAATTTTTGTTCATATAAAATTGTGGGTGCGTATGTTTTATTATTATTATGTTTTATGTTATTTTTTATTTTTTTTTTTTCATTATGAGGGGACGTTATTTAATTGGAAAGTTGTGAAATAATCCGTCACAAACGACCGAGATCGTTACAGCATCTACACTTTCCCAAGTAAAATCTCTTTTCATAGAAAATAATTTGGAATGCGACAGTTTTTCCCTCTCGTTCTTGTAGGTTTTATGAATCCATGTGTATATGAGTACAACTGTGTACACCGTGTGTTTATTTGTTTGCTACATGTTTGTCGTTCTTCCGTTACCTGCTACGCGTTGCTTGCGTACACACATCCCAGATAAACGATTTTAACGAGGGATCGTTATATGGTCGTCCGACAGAATTTATTTTCACTTGAAAGTTCTCTGTTTCCCATTTTGCTTTGGATAATATACTCTAAAGAATATAAGTTCAATTTACTTGACATCTTTTTATTTTCATTATTCAATGATATTCGTGTGTTTTATTTTCTCTTTAATTCCATTTTCAATTTTATCTAAATATTATCGTAGAATTTCAACAGTTGCTTTTCATGCTATTTGGTGTATCAATTATCATACAAAAGCTTGGAATCAATCCATGGAGCATGATAGTATTTATTGTGATATTAATTATAACTTCATTTTAGTTTATTGACATGTTATTTTATCGGTTGTACATTATGACTTCTTATTTGCATATCATATGAATTTCCACATTTTTCTTGTTCTTTTTTATCCAACGTTCTACTCTGAGAATTGTTTCGTGAAGTATTTTTTATTCAACTTTTTAGTCGTATTAGGGGAAAAATTATTGTAAACAAAATTGAAATAAAGAAAAATTTATCGATTTTTTATGGATACGGAAAAAATAACATTTCAATTCAGTATATATCCTTATATTTTTAGTTTTTCGAGTAATACAATGCTATATTTATTCTTTATTTGATTGCTCTTGTTATCCATTCTTTTAAAAGATGGCCAATAGACATTTCCATAACCATAAACAACTTTTTATTTTTTAATACTTATGGAGAGAATATAAATATGATTATTTCGTTATTTATCTTCTGTTTGTAAAACAGCAAATAAAGTACATACGTATACAAATCCTTGGAAAATAAAATACTTCAATTTTTTCTCGATTTATCATTTTGTTGATTCAAGTGAATATATTTATTCAAAAATGAATTTTAATTCTAAAACTATTCGATTATTCTCTCTGATATTGAAAAACTAAAGTGAAATAAATTACCTGAATTTAGTATTGATTTAATTTTAGTTGTTTGTTTTCGGTATGTCTGTGTTTCTATGAAAATTTTCAGTGTGATTTATAAGAGATAAAATAAATTAAATTAAAAAAAAAAATTTTTAAATTATAAAAGTAGATTAATAAATCCTATTGAATTAAATCAACAAGAAAGATGTCAACAACCAAGTGTCCTATTGGTCTTTCTGATCCTTGTGATTCATCCATTATCAATGACACAAAGAACCAGCAATTATCCACATCAGAGAGATTGAATCAACTTGAGAAAGAGGTTAACATTTAAACTAAAAAATTCATAAATTCATTAATTATTGATCTGTGTTGAATTTAGGTTAATACACTTCGTTCAGATTTTGACAAAATGAAATGGGAACAAGCAGTGGTTGAAACAGTTATAGGACGAGCTATAATCAGAGGATCTGCTTCGTTGAGTGGATGTTATGAACTTTTATGTCCAAAGACCACAAATATTCAAGGCACTAAAAATCTTATGTTAGAGGATGGGCAAAAAGATCCTTTTTGTAATTCCAAATTAAATTTACTCCAAAAAAATTTAAGCCCGGATAAAAAAACACCACCATCACCATCACCACCAGGACAATCTGAGGTGAAACATAAAAATGAAAAAGAAAACTGCGGTGGCTATTTTACTTTTGGATAAAACATTTAATTAGTTATTTTAATTGAACTTTGCCATTTTGATCTTGAGCTTTTTAAAAATTTTCTACTCCGTTATTCCTATATTGTTCTATGAGTCAGGTTAAGTTTTCATTAGGTATTTTTCGCCAAATAAACTCGTAAACAAACAAAATATGTTACAAAGATATTAAATGCTGTGATATGTATTAAACGCGTAATTATTTTCGATAGAACGTTAATTAATAGACGGTAAATATTGTGCGATAACGAGAGAGGTAGATTTAATTACAAGTAGCGATTGTGGTACCTGTACCCTTCATCATGTTTGTATTACATACTCCATTATTTAAGGATATTAATATACAATATTTATTACTGAAAGTAATAAATACGGATATTTTTAAATTTAACTACTTTTTAATTATATTTTTAATTGATTTTAATTGAATACCAGTTTAATGGTACGGCTATTTTTGAATGGACTTTTTGAAGCATTAAATTAATCACTATCTGATCTTATATTATAGTATTATTATAGGTATGATTCTTTTTTTTTTTATTTACAAGGCTGAGTGAGAAACATACGTTGAGAAGAAAATTTAACAGAATAAAGCTTTGTCTGTACTTCTACAGATTTAGACATAAATTTCAGTATAATAATAGCTTGTTATCGTTATTATAACGATCTTGGAATATGCGTCAATAAATAGTTCAACTACGATAAATAAAAGGTAGTACGTATCGTATATCAGCATTAATTATAATAATTAATAGTGTTACTAAATATATTTATATTATTCAATAACAAAAAATGCTATTTATTTTGCAGATTATTAAAAAAAATTATGATGTTCTACTTTATGTAGAATAGGATTTTTTTATGTTAAAGATAAACTGATGTCATTCAAAAAAGAAATAAACTGTACCAGTTTCAGAAAAATCAGTTTCATGTGGGAAAATTTGAAGATTAAAGTAAAGAACTCTTTTGTGGAAGAGACGACTAAAAATTATAATTTTTTGTTGAATGTGAACCTATTCAGTGAGCTGAAAACTGATCATAGAAAAGCAATCTTCTCATATAATTATACTGCTTTCGAATATTCAACGCTTGAAGAATTTTGACAATGATTCCAACATGCATGAAACAGTGGACAAATTTTGAGATGCCTTTAATAGCAAACCTGTACTCTCATATTAGCAGCTAGTGTACCTTCAATAACAAATTATCATCATCAGTTCGTTAGTGGTAACTAAATTTCATTGATAATGAATTAGCAATTTCATATGAAATTATCTATAGAACGATTCATCTGTAATTGGTAGGGTGTGCATGTTTATTATTAACGCGTTATTTAGATGAATGTTAATTTGCTTTGAAACTTCAAAACGCTTCAAATGCATAGGAAATTTATATTTTATCTTGATCAAACGATTCTGAATTGATTTTCCAATTAATTTTGCAGTGAAAAATTTGATTTTGTTTATTTCACTCATTTCAAAACTATTATTAATTAATTTTGATATTCTACTAATCATTTGTACTACCTTTTTATTTTTTTATTTATTTACTGTATTGATTATTTTTGTTTTTGGTTAGTCCCTGGTAATTGAAACCTGAAATTTATTTATCATAAACTATTTTGATGTTCAATTACACTGAATACACACATGATGTTCACAATTATGTATTCATTCAATTGTAAACAGTGAAATGTCTATCAGGAATCAAAGTATTTTATTTTCAATCAAGGAGAAACAAATGCGACCTAATTTTTTTTTTAATTGAATTCCATGGCTTATGTAAAATCATGCTAATCTATCAGAGGGTATAGAAATTGAATGTATATTTTAACGGTATATGTTACTTTATAAACAAAAAAGAGTACATTTAATAATTAAAATCTATCAATCACGATTTTGAGAAATGAAAAAAAAATCCAATTGCAAATAAAATAGTCATTCAATTATTTTTTTCTATTTGATTAATACTTAAAAAGACTACTAATTGTTTTTTTAAAAAAAACCCAGAATAAATATTTGCTTTCATCAATCAGTGAATGTAGTTATTAGGCAATGCATAAAAGCCTCTAGTTGTCACAGACTTTGGTCATCCAAGAGATGATACCTTTGCGATATCTCTGAGCAAATATTAGATGAATCCATGCTGTCTCTAGCGTTTCGTACTAGCTGTGTTTCAATGTTTTCAGTTGATATCTTCTTGAATGCCGGAGCAGCTTAGTTCAGATACAGCATTCAACTCTAAGATTGCGCGAGCCATTTTCCGTGACCGGCAAGATGTTGTCTTTGAGATATGTTCTCAATGTCGTCACCGCAAATGACTTGGGTCCAAATAGCCAAAGCTCTTATGTATACTATAAGTTTCTAAATCACTGTAAATGACCAAGACTATACTAGGCTAGTTGCTACCGCAGACACGTTTCAACATGTACCGATAACAGAAAGCAAGAAATGACTTCTTTTTATTTAGCAAATATTCTCAAGATAATTCAAGATCTATTTATGCTGTACTTTTTCACCATTTGCTTTCTTTTCAATCGAGTTTATTCATAATTAATTTTTCTTCGTTTTTAAAATTGATGAAAAGTCTATGAATATTATATAATATCATATTGATTCCTAAGAAGAGCAGACTTAGCCCTTTAAAGTAGATGAAAGGCTATGAATTTTAATTTATGATACAGATTATTTATAAGAAATAGATTTATTGAGAAGATTTATTTGCTGATATTCCTTTGACAACATTATTCATTGGCAATATTAAATTATCGTAAAGTAAATATGTAGATTATATAAACGTCTGTGAAGTCAATTTACATAATCCTTCAAAGAAAAGCACATACAAATACTATTATTTATAATATTCTAAAGTTTGCATATCTAATAAATTACATTTTCTGCAGTACTGTAGTAGAATATAAATAATAGATTATCTCAAGTGTAAAAAGCAGAAATGATTCTTTACTAAGTATAGAGGAAAAAATTAAATCGAAGCATTCAGTATGTAATTCACTCTACAAGTGAGTGATGAAAGGTCAAGAATTAATTCATCCCATTCAATTCTCAGTAAGCATTAATTGGACAACTTTTTCTTCAAGTTTGATGAAGGTTTTTTTTTTCAAAGACTTATTTTATTGTATTTCATAAAAGATATTTGTATTAAAGTGTCAGAAAAAATGGCAAGGATGTTTTTAAGATCTTTGAAAAAAAGTCATCAGGGACAATAAATAAAACGTTAGGAAGGTCTGTCTCTATTCACACGTATGAATTCTTATGGTTAAGATCCAAGTGTGGGTTGGTGCGTGCACTTGATCCTCCAACTGCAGTTGAAAAACCAGCCATAGATGTGTGGAAGAGGATTCGTAGTGAAGTAGCACAAGCTTACGCGTGTCCACGCGCTCACACACATCCTTATACCCCAGAGTTCCGGTGAGACACACACTCTTCAGCGACTTGAACAAAGGCAGTCTTGCGACCCTTCTACAAGACTACCTCTTCTGCTACGATCGTCGTACCAGTGTTGTCGCGAACCACCCCAACTTAACCTGCTTCTGAGGATATTACCCCTTGTTGGTCGTTCTTCATAACGTGTATGACTTCTCTAACGCACATGTACGTGCATGTTTAGCTGTATAATATTCTCAGCTTTTCATTCTAAATGTATGCGTTGATGTATATATATATATATATATGCGTATTATATGCATATGAGAACTTAGAGATACTCTCCAGAGAGATAGCTGTCACTGCAAAATCAAACTCAATGTCATTACGTGTAGACAGGTATATTAGTGAGATTGTAATTGGATTGGTCAGCTCTTAATTAAACCCCAACTATGAGTAGAATAATTTAGTAATTAAAACGTTAAATGAAGTTTGAACTTTCATTAAATATCGCTATAGTATTTATTTGAGATAATTTTATTACATTCTGCTTCTCACAAAAAAGTACACCCATCAGTTTTTCGACAGTTTTCTTGCCAGTACTCATGGATTAATTTTAATTAAATCCTCTAGGTATTATTATGTATTTTTTATTATAATTCTATTTACATATTATATATAAAAATTCGTATACTTCAACATTATTTTTTTGCTTTCAGGATTTATTTATCTAGTGGTAGAATATTGACATAATTAATATGTCAACTGTGGATATTTGCCAAGTTTATGAAAACATTTAATTAAATTTCAACATAAATTTCTCGCAGACTATTTTTAATATAGTGAGTATGAAATAAACATATATGTTCACTGCCTTTGAGTAAAACAACAATTTTTTTTTTTAATTTTTTATATTTATTTTAATGTTGTCGCTCTTAGGACGAGACTTGTATCAAAATAAGACGAGACTGCAGCAGTCATCACGATGAGGTTGACACTGAAGAGTGATATATATATATTCACACGTTGGTAACTCCGTCTTTCTTCATCTCTTCTCGTTTATGTCTCTATTGCTGGTTTTTTTTCACCGTCAAAGCACTGTTTTTCATTAAAAAATTTCATCGTCAAAATTGAGCAGATTAAAGGAAAATATTATTAAATTCAACAGTGAACATTGAACAACAAATAAGAGGGAATCTTTACCTTGAATAATATGTCCAATAAATCTGTTGAAAAATTTTATTTGAAAAAAATAATTTGCTTTCATCACGACTACCCGTGGCGCTTGAACTGTGTTCCGCCTGGTCTGCATGATAGCTCTCACCCTTGAGGGATAAACTGTACGTACATTTAGTACTGGGGCATTTCTGGGGTAGATCTAGTTGGCTGGTACAGATGTGTCGTGGTGGGTGTTTCATTTGTATGAGGCGCTCATATTTTCAACTAAGCTCCAAAAGCAATGGGTAGCTGAATATCTACGCTTCACTGCTAACCCTATCTCGGGGTTCGCGATGCAATAGGATACGCGCAATAGAGTCAATGGTACTTGTTATTTTTAATTCTCATGATGCTTTTTCTTTTTCACAAAAGTATACCCAATTTTAGGAGGTACATTTTCTCATAAGACGTTTGATGTAATTGTTATTTTATACACCATCAACACTCCTTCTATATCAGTGTTATTACTATCATCAATTATTTGAAATGATCTGTTTTTTAGTTCCTCTAGATCTGGTTAGAGCTTGATGTAATTAAATCAACTGAAATATGATGATTTTTTTTTGTTAATTTTTGTTTATTAAGAATTAAATATGATATCTACATCAAAATTATAATTGGATTTTTTTTTAGAAGATTGAATATTTTACTAATTATATTAGTTAGACTTTGCTTTGATGGATATATTTGGAATTTGAATTTTCCATAGATATTTTGGATGCAAAGTGGAATGGTTCTATATGATATCAATGTTAATTAAATTAACAAGTAATGAAAAATTGGTAGAGAAGCAGAGAAATCGAATACTTGATGAAAAATTTTCTCATAAAAATATGAGAAAAAAACTTTATGAAATAGATATGTTTTATTTTAGGAAGAAAATTTGTCTCATTAAATATCTGTTATAGACGAAAATTTTCTGCAAAGACAGGTCCCTTATTAATGTATTTAATGAAAAGTTTTTTATTGAAAACTTTATTTAAAATGTCTGAAAAAGAATAAGTAAATGAAATGCAAAGGTATTTGCGTTAAAAACAAATTGTGAACCGTTTGACTCTCAGAAACTCTATCGTTCTCGAGATATTGTCAAATAAAGTTTCGTTACATGTAATTAAAGCTTTCAACGACATTATCTAGAACGCAAATTGAGCAATTTCATTTAACAAGGTGTCAATCGTTAGGTCTTGAAGTGGTTTAATGTTGATTAAATTTTGAATCAAATTCATCGAGTAACTTTTAGATCACTTTTTAAATGTTGTCCATTTTTATTTTACAAATTTAGCTTATTTACAAAATAAACAATAAACAACTTTTATAAATAATCAAATTAACATTGTATTGCTTATTAATAATTTATTAATATACATTTCCCTCAGGATATTTTAATTGAATATCCATTCATAATTTATTTCATATGAAATCATTAAACATTTTAGTAATAATCTGTTCATTATAATGTAAACATTACATTGATTCCAATATTTATTCAAATTATAATCGTAAACCTGAATGAAATATTTTTCTTTGCTTTTTGAATAAAATATTGCAATCATTAATACATTGATTTTAATTGCAATTTTAAAAAGTTCAATAAAATATTATTTAAAGTCATATATTTTGATGACATTTATTTGAAGTCAATTAATTATTTAAAAGTTGGCAGCGAAATTCAGTCAGCATCTCGTTTTTCCCTCCAAAAAAATGGCGGATCACAAAAGAGGAAAGATTTGAAAAACAAAGTAAATAAATATGGAAAAAATATTTTTTAAACTTTGTTTAATATAAGTTAAGGGTAAAAAGGTAATTGATTATTAATCTATAAAACAAATACCTAATACTGATGCATTCTATTGTATTATAAAGAGGGGGAATAGAATAATTCGCTTGGTCTCAGCGTGTATACAGATGGCGTAAAAGTGGGGATAGACCGGCAAATAGCGAGAGGGGAACGGCGAGAGTCGACAGTATACAACTCGTCGCCGCGACGTGCGCATTTCTTGGCGCATCGTTCCTCTAAGTAAAAAGAATCGCGCGCCAAATTGTGGTTTATAGTGAGCCTCGATTGTTTGTTATGAATTTATGACATTGCTTGCTTAAAATCGGCAATTTTCAGCATATTTTCATCGACCAAGCCTTCCGGATTCCTAAGAAAATGTCCAAATTTGTAATGATAAAAAATTATGCTCCAATATTTTTTGGAGTTTGAGATTACATCAAGCCGGTTGTGTTGAAAGTATTTGTGATTTATATGTGATTTAGTTTTTATTTGTTAAGTTTCGCGACAGTAAATCGAAAAAAAAAAAAAATGGAATTAAACGTGAAGGAAACTTTGAAGTTCTTCGAAAAAACAATTGACTTGATCTCTGGTGATTTTTTCTAGGAAGTAATGCTTTTTGTTGATATACGCGTCGTAAATTAAAGGTAAGTAATACAAATTATTTAAAGTAATTTAAATTATTATTAAAAAATATTGATATTTAATTTGAATATTAATTGATAATTATTTCAATAATTATAATATCATAAAAGCGCAAAGATATTTCGCAGATTCGAAAGAAAGTTTTTTTTTTTTTATTTTAAGTTGGTATATTTAAGTTGGAGGTTGAATAAATGATTTTTCTAGTCATTGAGTATTTTTCATACGAAAAGCCCGGTTTAATGAATATTTTTTTCTTTATTTATGATATTGTCAAAAGCCATCAAAACTACTCTATTTTTAGAAGCCGACAATAGCCACTGTAGTAGCGTTAACTTTAAAAAAGTAAGCGATTTTAGACGCCATCTACTATTTTTTTTGCAACAATTTTATGGACAATTTGTGAAAATAGATCGCAATCAACAGCAAGAGTCAAAACAAAAAATTTGTTAAGCCTTCGGCAATTCCGGTGCGTAGGTAATTTAGTCACTTTGACCTTGGGCAATGCAGTTAAATCAACACAATAGAGTTGATAGAATTCAAAGCTCGCTGTTGTTTTTACTCTAAAACGAAGTTATCTTATTGTAGGCCATAGAAATCGAGTAATACACTTGGCACATAATTAACTATACATTATAAATCATTTGGCAAAGGTTTAAAGGATATTTTTGCAAAAGTAAAAAAAAACAAGGTAACGAGGTAAATAAAAATGTAGTTTTAATTGGGTAAAAATGTTTGTGATGTATACTCGTGCCCTAAGAATTTATTTCTTGCTAACTGTCGAGGATAAAAGAATTAGAGAAAGGTTTCTTGGTTTCTTCGATGTAATGAACAAAAAACATTGGTTCTTTGTTACAAATGTAGAGGGAATCCTTCGAATTTGAGATCTCTATCTATAAGCTTGTTTCTTGTGTATAAAAGTTAAAAAGGAACAAGACAAGGAGAAGAGAGAAATAAGTGTATAAGAGAACTGGAGAAAGCTGCGTAAAAAGTAGAATCGCGCAGTCGTGATTTTGTGCGCATCTTTTCGCGCATTAGCGTCCTTCGAGTAAACGGAATCGCGCGCGAATTCACATACCGCTATTTATCGTGAACCGGGACGGTTGGTCGTGAATTTTAATGATTTCGATCAGTATTATCGGTAACACATCGATAATCATTTTTTTATTTATTTACAAAACTCACTAGTCGGCTTAAATTGCCAGAAACTATTTCTAAAAAAAAGTTTCAAATGCATATAAAGTTTTTTCGGAGCTCAGTTTGAAAAAGAATATTTGTTTTGTTGATAACTTCTGTGACTTTTTTTTAATCTTTTGAACTCGTTTTTAATTAAATTTTTTCCATTCATATAAATGTTACACAATATTTCTATTTTTTTAATCAACAAATAGTTTCTTTTAAAGTCAAATAAATCAATCAAATTGTTTATATTTATTTATTTCCAATGGGAATGTATATCTAAATCAGCAATCATAAAATTTTCATTAAAGTTTGTTGGTTTACTGTTTAAAGAATAATTTGATCAATATTGAGTTAATTACTCATGTAGAAGCGTAAAAATTGTGACGTTAAACCAGAGGATTAGAATTTATACCGCTAGTACATTTTTTATGCTTTGTCGGTCTTAAATCAGTGATTTTACTGTTGTTTTTATGTTTATGTTCTACTTTACTTTTCTTTGATCGTGATTAACAAAGATACCAGGCAGATCTGATGGCTTACGACGCGACGTGACACTTGCCTTAATTTCTGATTCAACAGTACGTAAGTAAATTCAAGTAATAAGTCGAGTAGTACAGGAATACAAATAGATAGGAGATATTTTATTTGATCATATGTCTTAGGTAACAAAAGAGCGTTGGATTCTCGTTAATTTTAATGTCACATTCTCATTGACCGTGAAGGGATACTTCAACGTTATATAGCACTGATGGCAATGTAGCAAATTGTACAGGCGTAAATAAACTGAAGATTTAAGACTAGAGGGGACAGAAAAATCAAACTTATTTAATTTTCTGTCAACATTTGCTTTCCTATCGAGACATTTATGTGTGTGGAGGGTAGCTTCTCGGAAATTCTCTTGCGAACAAATTAAATGAGGCTCGTAAGACTTATAAACATTACTCTAGATTTCGATGAGGATTTTATACTTGAGTTGAAAATATTATGATGATTATTTTTTTTCGACTTCAATTTGCAAGTGTAATTTATAGTTTTTAGTTACTTTTATGCAGATCATTTTTTTTTCTTGAAATGGAATTTGTTAATGAATTATTGATAGTTTTAGAAGTTGAATTATTTATTTCAAAAATAGAAAACTAAGTTATTTTAATTTTTTTTATTGTTTCCAAGTATTATGGAGAGATCCTTATGAAAACTCTAGAGCTACTTCGAAGTATAACTTTTTCATTAAAAGTAATGATATCTTTTCCATGTGTCGTCTGCAACTCAACCACTCACTTTATTCTTATTTTATGAAGTTGAATTAGAGTATTTACTTATAGAAAATGATTAACACACATCACAATTAAGTCTGCATTAATTTATTACGATTGAAGAAAAAATTTTTTTTTAATTAATAAAGTATGAAAAAAAGTATGACCTCTCATATTTACAACTCTCAAGTATTAAAAAATAATTACATTTTACACAAAAGTTCTTAGAAAATTTTTTTCAAGTTACTTTTTTATTTATCTTTTTTTTTTTCTTTTTAATATCATTTCAAAATTTTAAATTAATATATTTAATTTTCAGTATTACATTTTCAATCTTTTTACTTTTAATTATCTTTTTATGTATTTTTTATTGAATTGTTTTATTTATCGTTGAAGTAAAAGCTATATTACTCATTTTTATCGCTCATAACCAACGAGCGGATCGTTGTAGAAACTTTTCTCTATGAAGGTACTTGGTGATTGCCAAAAGTATAATTTTTATGATTACTTTTTTCTATTTAGATATATTTTCATGTTAAATCATTCTGCAAAGTTCTATAAAAAGTATCAATATTGCAGATTGTAGTTCAAATCTCTCTGAATGATTTAATTTGTCTTTTTCGTGATTCAGATGCTAATTTAAAAAAAAAATCCATTTATTTGAAACAAGAATCCTTTTTGTTTTTTTAAGGATCTTTTTAACTTATTTGAGTTTGATTTTTTCACTTGTTACACAGATTTGAAGCTATTGGAATAATTTGGGTGATGATTGCAGAGAAATTTACATTACTCATTGTCAGTACATAGTAAAATTATATTGTGAAGAGGTTGAGAATTGTGTGTTCCTCTTGTGGCATAATTAATATCTCACATTTATGCTCTTGAATACTAGAAGATGTTGAGCGAGCTACTGAATATTGCAGGCTTTGATGACACACATGAATAAGATGCTGTAACACCATAGCTGTTTCTTCAAGAGGTTATTACATGCATGATATAATACACAGCAGTGAATTATTGCTATGTACTGTAGACTGCTTAGAGTCGTTGCTTCTATCAAGCTAGGTCTACTACTCTGATGCTTTAAGTTTATGAGACATTACACCTTGAACAGAAACGCGGCAACGTTTCCTACAGACGGATTGGCACTTGACCCGTCCACTGCACGCTTTGAGAAACTCTCACCTCAATTCACACGAGCCATGTTTGCTGGTCCTTCAACGTCTCTCTTCTCTTCATCTACATTATTTACTTTTCTGTTCATGGCACTTTCTCAAATATTTTATCGCTGTTATATAAATTTCGTTCAATGCTGGATAATTATGCTCATACATTATATAGACATTGCCATGATGTAATGCTGTTTACCATGTAATGTTAAGATATTCTATTGGAAGCTTCATGGGATGTAGTTATTATTCTACTGTCTCTTAGTTATGCAGTCTGTTATGTCTTGCATATGAGAGAATTTAAATGATGTTTGATATTTTTTTGGAAGTTGATCAATTCTTAAAGATGAATTTGGTAGTATTTCTGAATTGATGTGCGATAGATTTAAATAGTTATTAAACAAAAGCAGATTAATTGTGATTAATTTTTTTGATAGATGTAAAAGTATTTTATTATGATTAAAAATAATAATTTAAAAAATAATAACTTACTTATTTAGAGCTGAAAATTACGAATTTTTTATGTTATTCGATAGTTTTATTTTTATGAACATGAATGAAAAATTTTTTTATACAATTTTTTTTATGCTGGGATTAATGAGATCTACCATCATTACAAATCTATGAATATCATATTTTTGCGAGTTATAAAAATAAACTAACTTATTTCAATTTCTCTTTTTTACAAAAAATATATTTTAAAAGCTAAAATAATCCTCTTGTAATTTTACATTAAACAAAAAATTCTCTTTTATTATTAAAAAGTATTATAAAAATTTTTTTTATCAAATAATTCATGTTTCAGAGTTGCAGATTATAAAGCATTAAAATCATGTATTTATTTTAGAAAAATTTTAATTAAAATATAATTGTACATCAGATATAAATTTTCTGAAAGGTTCTTATCATATTCGCGACCTATAAAATGATATTTCCTAATCAATTATTCACATTCTCCAAGTAATGCTAGAAGTAGTTTGGAAATTTATTTAAAGTAAAAAATCGGTAATCCCTTAGATTGGCTAATAAATGTACCATTTTTCACACTTATTTCCTAACGTGGTGTAAAAATTGATCATTAAATTTTTAAAGTGAAAACTGGTCTACTGCAATGACCGCATAAATCCATACTAGATTATTATTTATGAAGAAAGTATAGGAAGTATTCATTTTTCAGTAACACAAATGTAAAATTTATTCATCTACTTAAAATTTAGTTGGTTGTTCCATCATACTTAATTATTAATAAAACAAAATAACAACAATTCGCAGCTTTAGAAGCTTTTCCAAGTCATTATTTATTAAACAATTAAATCAGTTGATGAGTTCTTGATGATAATAAATTTTATACATTATTAATTATTTCAAAAACACTAACAAAAGAACTTTTCTGTTAAAATG